GCCCAGCTTGCCCTGGAGAGTCTCAATGGCGCAGAAGTAGCAGGATCCTCAATCAAGGTAAGCCCGTATCGTGCCCCTGCATTCATGACAGTGTTGGGCGGAGAGCAGCGGTGGGGAGACACAGCAACATCTTGTCTTCCCCCATCGTAAGTCTCCGAACTCTCCAGTACTTTGCTTCGGATATAAATTGGCTCCCATCGTCATCATCATCATCAAACCTTTTCTTGGCATCACATACAAACATCCAAAACAAATCAATACAGAATTATCACTTCTGTGGCACAAAACATTTGCTAAAAGAAAGGAGGCAGAGCAGTCTATCGTCACATCTCTAGGTCTCCAGGGAGATCAGGCGTCTGCAGTGTATTTCAATGACAAAAAACCATGTTAAGCAAAATATTTCCACAGTAGACCTGCATGTAGCCACTCGCCTGCGGCGCATACAAATTGCCTCCAGGTGATCAGGCTGCGAAAGAAGGTGTGTGTCGGGGGGAAACCCACCCTCGGCTCTGACCTGCATCTTCCAAATTCCTCTAAAGCATTTCATGCCCATTGCAAGCCCACCAGCCCCTTAGGTAATGCCCTCATTCACACAGGACAAAGGCCTCTGGGCTGCAGGATGCCAGGTGATGGTCTGTTTCTCCTCTGGTGCCTTTCAGCTTCAGAGACCCATCACTGAGGAAACGCTCGATTGTGAGGTGCTGGTGAAGGAGCTGGAAAGAGATGCAGACAATGAAGGCGTCCTTTACCTGGCAGGATTGGGGAAAGCCCAGAGCGAGGCAGGCTTGCGGGAAAAGCTGGGTTATTTGAAAGACCTAAATGCAGTTTTCCTGCCAAGAGATCCCAGAACCGGAAAACAGAGGAATTACTGCTTTCTCAGTAAGTACGGCACCTGAGGAACTAGATTCTAGGCATAATAATAATAATAATAATAATAATAATTTTATTATTTATATGCCATCTATTCCTGCAGTTTCTTGGATTGGGGAGGCAGGCTTTTGAGCAAACAAACACCATCCTGGGAATCTCCCCCAGTTAATCTTTGTTATTTGTCCTGGCTGAGGAAATAGCACTCAATTGATTTTTGTATGTGTGTTTTAGAATTCCACACAGCAGAAAGCGCCTCCCATGCTCTCGAAGCCATAAGGGAACGGACAGCCAGAGGCAGCAAAATGCAGAGCAGGAGGGCTCTCACGCCCGCACGTCTCCACAAATGGTTTTGTCAAGTGAATCAAAATGGCGGGAAGCTCCTTGCTCTACAGCCACCCCTTGAAGCTCACTTTCTGGAAAAGGAGCGGCCTTTTGCTTTGGTGAGCTTTTTGTCTTGCTCTCAACGTGTTGTGGGAAATTGGTTTGAATGCAGAGCTTGGGACAAAGGTTACCTTTTTGATACCTTCCTGAGCTTGCAGCATTGATAACGGACTCTGCCAGTGGAGTGTTCTTGATGACTGGTCTAGAAACTTCATTTGGTGTTGGAGGATATAATCCTAACCATCTGCACCGGCTTCCTGTTATTTTGCGTTCATGCGTTACTCGTAACCTTGGGACAATGTGTACTGGAGGTGGCAAACTCACGGTTGGTCTGACAGCCCCATCCACTGACATCTTCCTGCACTGGGGTGGGAGGAGAGGACAGAACAGGGCTTGATGAGAAGCAGTGGTGATGAACTGGTGGCCCACAAGCCTACTCAGGTCCATTGCACCTCCTCATTTCCCCCATGGCATAGGTTTACTCCAAACCACACCCTCCTTTCCATCACCTGACATTGTAGGATGGTCAGCTGTCCAACAGACAGACCTGCAGGGCTCCTTGTTCATTTCAGCACCTCATTCAGTGCAGAATTATATCTGGAAAGGCAGAGTTGGGAAAGGAATCTAAGTGTTATCCCTTTCCAGCCCAGCTTGAATTCAAAGGAGAACGTCTTCCTTTTTAGCCAGGACTTGAATTCAAGACATGACTGCAAAGGAAGAATCGGGTGAGATCAAAGTAGTCCGTGTGTGTGTGATTTTTGTATGCATGAATGTCCACTGTTGGAGGCAACGTACAGTTGAATACTGGTGACTGTGAATTGCAAGTGGGGAGAACAGTGTTGTGCTCAAGTTGCGCTTGCAAGCTTCCTTTGGGCTTCTGGTTCGACCCTGGGAGATCAGAGTGCTGCACTAGCTGGTCCGATCCTGCAGGGAGCTTCTTAACGTTCTGCCCATCTGCCTTGGTGAAGGTGCAAGAGTTGGGGCACAGGGGGACTGTGCCAATTTTGGCAACACCCACTTTTGTTTGGGCCGCGCCTCTTGCTGCTATGCAGTCCTCAGAGAGATGACCAACATCATTTGTGGTCCTTGGGCCAAAAAATAGAAACAAAAAAGCCATCCCTGACTTAAATGCCCACAAAGCACTTAAATAATCAGTTTATCATGGGTTCTTTTTTAATTGCAGATTTAAAGTACTGGGGACCCTACTACCAATGCTCTTTTGTCCACCGTGCAATAACTTTCTGTTGCCCTTCCCAGTGTGGTTGTGGTTATTGGGTTTTTGCTTTAAGGACAGCCTTCGTGTTATTTCTACACAGGAAGAAGATTTAAAGAAAGCCATGAAGACATTAGACCATAGAATCAAACATCTGCATCGGTGCTTGCCGAACCACATGCTCTGTGTTGTTTTGTTACCGGGCACAAACAGGTAAAAAACTTTGCGATTGCGTTGTGGCCGTTTTTTCTGCTTTCCCTGAATTCTAATGTTGAAAACTAAGCTCATCATCTAGAGCACTGTCCTTCAACCTTGGGTCCCCCAGATGTTCTCGAACTTCAAGTCCCATCATCCCTGACCATTGGCTAAGTGGCTGAGGATGATGGGTTTTGTAGTCTTAACAATATCTGGAGACCTAAAGTTGAAGAACACGGGTCTAGAGCAGGGGTTCCCAAGCTGTACTCCACGGACCACCAGTGACCTTCATGCTTCATTCAGGCGGTCCACAGGATTGTCTGCAGTTAAGTATTTGTAGCAATTTTCAATTGCCTTTTTATGTTTTTCTTCTGTGGAATGCAAATTACAGCACAATGAAATACAATGTAAGAAAATAAAAGAAGCAAAAAAAAGGCAATTAAAAATCATACAGCATCTAGCACATTGCAATTGCTACAATAGGCATGAAAATCATTAAGTGGTCCTCGAAAGACCATTGCAGGGGGTTGGACTAGATGACCTTTGATATTCCTTCAAACTCTACCATTCTGTAGGCCTTGACAAGGTGGGGGGGGGGGTTTGAATCCCCCTGAAGAATAAACCAGGACATGAAAAGGGGTGCGAATGGGACAGGCTATGGTGAATAAAAGCAGAAATTTATTTATTTGAAAAACAAATTATTAAGAAAAACAGGAATTTTTCGTCTGTGCCATTTAGATAAAATATACTAAATCATTGGGTTGGAAAAGCAAACCCTCATCATATTCAAACCAAATCTCTCCTCGCCCCCCGCACAAATTTCTTATCTCCATTTCCTCTCCCCAGCCTGGATGGGTGACCTGCTTTCATGATAAAAAAATTCCTTCCAGTAGCACCTTAGAGACCAACTAAGTTTGTTATTGGTATGAGCTTTTGTGTGCATGCACACTTCTTCAGATTTCATGAATGAGCCAGTAGCCATAGAGGACAGTCAGAAATTTGCACAGAGCACTAAGGTTCCAGTCCACAGGGCCTCAGGGGTGGCCTGAATGAATGTGGGAAGGAAAACTGGGAAAAGCCTCAGTTAGCTTGATGGGAACAAGAAGCCCTTAAAACTGACCGCAGTCCTACTGTCTCAAGCTGGTTGGAGTCTTCCAGTCCCGCTCTCAACAGCTAGCACAAAATATCAGTTGCTGCTTTATGGCTTTTCAGTTATCTCCTCCATGCAAGTGTTACATGGCTTCGGGCTCCTGTTATTATTTTTCAGGGGCTTAAAAGAAAGGCAGCCGTGCACCCTAGAGGCTAGACCGGCTTGGCTGTTCTTCAGTTCACTGGGGTGTAGGGAGGAGGGGGTCTCTTGCTGCTGCTACAGTTTTTTCGCTTGTTTGCAATAATTCTTTTAATGTGCTATACCAGTAGCTATAGATCTTTCCTCCAGCCCCCACCTCACCCAGCTCTCTTTCCTGAGCTCTGCATGCAAGACCACATTAGCTTAATCAGCCCCAGGGGAGGTCTGAATGCAGCGATGAGCCCTTGCAGGCCTTTTAAAATTCACTCTGCCTCCATCCTTTGATCCTAAACCCTCGCTGCTGATTATTTGAAGCCGGGGGGGGGCGGTGGCAGGGAAGCGTTAGATGCTTCCCAAGTAAGTCATTTTTTTGCTCCTGATAAGCCTGGGGTTACACACAGGAATTGATTCATGCCTGTATTTTCCTGCTCTTTGTTAACTATTGAAAGCTTGCCAGTGTACCATATTCCTTTTTCGTTTTTTGCACCACAATACACAGCGCAAGTGGACGCGGGTGGCGCTGTGGGTTAAACCACAGAGCCTAGGGCCTGCCGATCAGAAGAGCGACATTGTTTTATTTTTACTATAATCTCAAGATCCACCAACCAGAGGAGCATAAGAATGCTGTGCCCAGAAATTGGTTTTAATGAATGCCCAAGCTGAACCAAGTGCAATACAGTGGTACCTCGGGTTACTTACGCTTCAGGTTACAGACTCCGCTAACCCAGAAATAGTGCTTCAGGTTAAGAACTTTGCTTCAGGATGAGAACAGAAATTGTGCTCCGGTGGCGCGGCGGCAGCGGGAGGCCCCATTAGCTAAAGCGGTGCTTCAGGTTAAGTACAGTTTCAGGTTAAGAACGGACCTCCAGAACGAATTAGGTACTTAACCTGAGGTACAACTGTAGTCCTTCCACACAAAACTTCCCTCCTGGTCACCCTTTCCAAGATTTCTCACCAAGCTCCAACAATTTGACATAATGGTGTGAAAAGCAGCCTACATGCTTCTGAGGATGTTGGAGACGGAGCTTGCTTAAACAGGGCTCCAGAGAATCTGCCCTGAGGGTCAAGATGGCGTAGTGGTTATAGTGTCGGACTAAGACCTGGGAGAGGGACGCTGGTGGCGCTGTGGGTTAAACCACTGAGCCTAGGGCTTGCCAGTCAGAAGGTCGGGGGTTCGAATCCCCGTGACAGGGTGAGCTCCCGTTGCTTGGTCCCTGCTCCTGCCCACCTAGCAGTTCAAAAGCACATCAAAGTGCAAGTAGGTGGCGGGAAGGTAAAAGGCCTTTCCGTGCGCTGCTCTGGTTCGCCAGAAGCGGCTTAGTCATGCTGGCCACATGACCCGGAAGCTGTACGCCGGCTCCCTCGGCCAATAAAGCGAGATGAGTGCCACAACCCCAGAGTCATTCACGACTGCACCTAATGGTCAGGGGTCCTTTTACCTTTTAAGACCTGGGAGACCAGGGTTCAAATCCCCGCTCAACCATGAAGCTGACTGGGTGGCCATAGAATTGTAGAGTTGGAAGGGACCACAATGGTCATCTAGTCCAAACTCCCTGCAAGGCAGGAATCTTTTGCCCAACATGGGGCTCAAACCCACAACCCTGAGATTAAGAGTCTCGTGTTCCACCGACTAAGCTACCAAGGCCCGGTCGCTTTTCTCTCAGCCAAATCTTACCTCGCAAGGTTTATGTCAGGATAAAACGAGGGATCACGTGCGCCAGCTTGAGCTCCTTGGAGGGAAAGCGGGATATAATAATAATAATAATAATAATAACGACTAAATAAAGACTTTCTGCCCACACAGGGCATCTTGTTCAGCTTTCCGTTTGCCTGCAAAAAGCAGAGTTTACACAGGCCTCCACCATTCAGCACTGTGTCCCTGGAAGGAAAGTAACGCTGGTTCCTGTCGTTTGCTTTGCAGAGGCTCCGAATCGTTCCAGGGCTTCGGCCTGCTGGGAATCAAAGGAGAAAAGCCCGCCTCCTGAGGTTCCCGTTCGCCTTCACAGCTTTTAACGTCCTGGTTTTGCTAAAAGCTCCAGTGATTTCATTTAGGCTCTGCATCCCGAACACCAGCAAGCCCCCCCCCCCCCATTCCTTCAGTGTTTTAAATATTAAAATCAGTCAAGTCAAATATGAAAGAGGCTGATCCAGTTATTAATTCAGTAAGCTGGGTCCCCCCTCACTTAACCTCTGCTAACTGCTATCCAAATGTTTAGGTGGGGAGAAAGAGCATGGAAGAAGCTAATTGGGTCTGGGTTTGGTGGAGCCGAGTGAAAATGGATTCCCAAAATTCTCCCATCTTGTTTTCGGGTGGCGTGGGTTGGAGTTTCACATAATATTCTCCAGGAGAAGAGAATTCTCCAGTACTTTGGCAAGAGGGTCAGAAATGAGACTTTCAAAGCAAACTTCCATTCTGAGAAATTTCCACTCGGTTAATACTGGATAAAGCTATGTTAAGAGCCAACACATGGGTGGCCTAGAGCTTGCCGATCGGAAGGGCCGCGATAGGGTGAGCTCCCATTGCTCGGTCCCAGCTCCTGCCAACCTAGCAGTTGAAAAGCATGTCAAAGTGCAAGTAGATAAATAGGTACCGCTCCGGTGGGAAGGTAAACGGTGTTTCCATGCGCTGCTCTTGTTTCGCCAGAAGCGGCTTAGTCATGCTGGCCACATGTCCCGGAAAAACTGTCTGCGGACAAATTTCAGCTCCCTCGACCAGTAAAGCGAGATGAGTGCTGCAACCCCAGAGTTGTTCGCGACTGGACTGAACTGTCAGGCTAACTTTTTTAAGAGCCAACATTATCTAATGGTTGGATCCTAATAGTTGTCACCGAAATTCACCACCCAGATTTTCAGGAGGCAAATTTTGAGAGGGAAGGAAGAGTTTGCCAAATATATTCTCCTTGTATGTGTGTAAAATTCGCCCAACAAGTTAAGGGTTTGCTCAAATGAGAAAATTCTCAGGACATTCTTCTCTAATAAATATTGGCCTTTGTGTGTGTGAGAGAGAAATTTAACAAGAAATAATGTTAACTGTTGGAAGTTTTAAACAGGCACACCACCATGTAGATAACAAAATGCCACCCACCCACCCCCGGGGCCAAAAGGTGCATCGACAAGGGCTACCCACCAATCTCTGCCTCTTAGGTCTCATAATTAAGCTTTTCATAAACGTTTGTAGCATTTTCAACACACACACATACCATCCAGCCTGCAGGAAGTAGCACATTTTAGAGCAAAACACTTAACTTTGCCCATGGGAAAATGGAATCTGTGATTCACACATTTTGGTCTTTTTCCATCTTCATAAAAGGAAAGGTTTCAGCATGAGTGGGGTGGAGGAACACCGGGGGGCGGGGGAAGAGAGAGAAAGAGAAACTCATGCCGAGGCAGGAATGTGTATAGACTGAATTATTATTATTCATTTATTCCAAATATATTTTGGAAGCCCACATGACCATAGCTCTGGTAGGCTTGCAGCCCATTTGGTTCTAAAAGCATCTTGAGCAAAGGCAGCAGCCCCTCTGAGCATGCATAGATTGCCCTGTGCCCCCCAAAAGAGGAAAAAATGTTGAAAACGGGATTTAAGAGCAAAGGGCCTCTTAGGGAAACCAACTAATCTCTGAATACATGTTTTGGGGAGAAAAGAACTCTTTGGATTAGATTTGTTTTCAGGAATAAGAAATCATTGATGATAATACACCCAATGCCAGCTCCAAGCTGGGAACAACTGAGGGCTGTTGACATTTCCAGGCAGGGCTAAGAGCATCTCCTCCCTGAAACCTCTTGAGAGCTGCTGCCAGTCAGTGTAGGCAATATTGAACTAGATGCAGCAAGGATCGCTTCCTGTGTTCCTGAGGTTGGGTGCGGGGCCGGAAATAGACTTCCTCCAGAGGAAGCAGCCACTACTTCCCCTTTGCCTAAATGCTTGCCCTCCCTCTGGGCTCAGTCCTCACAACTGCCCAGAGGGAGAGGCCAAGGCAGGTTGGAGAAGTGTGTTCCATCTCCTCGCTGCTTCCACACTTGGAATAGGCAACTGAGAGGACAGTGACAAAGAGCAGGAATAACAGCAGGGCCAGTACATTTCGTAGGTTAGCAACAGGCCCCCAGGCGTGCTCAGCAAATGCACCACAAAGCCAGCCATTGATGCCAACTGCGATCTGCCCTGATAAGATTTTGATGCTGGTACAACTGGGTGTCTTGTCATCTTTAGGTCTGTATTGCTTTTAAAGCTCTCCTTTTTATGTTCCTATACACAGACTAATGTTCTGCAAGAGGGAGGTACAGAAATACACTTTTATGAAGAGATAGCTAGAACAGCAGCATGGGAGTTGGGGGAAAACAGCAGTCCTCCAGCTACTGTTAAGACTGCATTATCCTTGACCACTGGGCATGCTGGCTGGGGCTGGCCAGGATCCCACCTCATCTGCAGGCCCAGAGGCTGCCTATCCCTGCAACGGGAGCCTCTGAACTGCACCTGCATCGAAACTGGAGCGGCCAGAGAAGTAGAGAGGTTCGATGTGCAGAAAGCAGCAAGTGGGAAGAGTCAGTCTTGTGTAGGGCTCAGCATCAGTCTGGATTTGAACACCTGGCTTCAAAACCTACGCAGCCATGAAGATCAATGGGCCAAGCGCTACCTCGCAGGGTTGTGAGAATAAAAGCAGGGTAGCGGGGAATCATGCTTCAAGCTCCAGGGTGGGCGGGGGGAATGCAGACCCTCAAAGTGTTCCTATTTTCCAGGGACAGTCTCAGATTTACAGAAGGTTTCTGATCTGATCCTGGAATGTCCCGCTTTTCCTTTGGACGTCCCTATTTTCATTGGGGAAATGTTGGAGGGTATGGAGCTATTTGACACACACACACCCCCGAGCCAAGGAGATAAGCAACTATACAACCTTTAGAAGACATCTTAAGGCAGCCCTGTGTAGGGAAGTTTTAAAATGTTTAATGGCTTAATGTTTAACAGTTTTTTTTATATGTTGGAAGCCACCCAGACAGATGGGCAGGGTAATTTTATTATTATTATTATTATTATTATTATTATTGACATCTCTATTTTCATCGGAGAAATGTTGGAGGGTATGGAAATGTAACTAGGTCATAAATTCATGAGCTCATGACTGCAAGGCATGTTTCAAAAGTTGGGTTGGCTTAACAATGCTTGAGCTTAGATCCCCCAAGCCACACTTCAGATGAGACCCCCCAACTCCCACTTTGGGAAGGGGGCCTGGGGTCATGAGCCAATGCAACTTCACCATCTGTCTGGCTACACATCTATGGTTTTGTCCACGTACTCTTTTTCCTGTGAGGGAGGTCATGTAACACACTTTCCGTGGAGGTGCAGACCTGGCCTAGCGACCAAGGCCCAGCTCCATCCCCTCCTGACCTAATTCCAGAACGTTCCGGGCAAACAAAAATGGCAGCCGCCTGAGGGGAAAATAGGCGAAGGTGAAGCGAGGAGCTTGGCTGAGTCACAGACCATTTCACCGGGTTCTCGCCAGAAATGTATTCAAGCAACTAAATTGGTGACAACATGTAACGAAAGACAGGTACATTCTGCAGTTGTGTAGGTGAGAAAATGTCAGCAGATGGGCTTTTCGCACCTGCGCTCAGCAAGGTTTGCCTGCTCTAATTCCCCCACATTTCTTGCTTCCACAGAGTCATTGACCTTGGTTGCACTGAGCTATGAAGGTGGCGCATTTCAGAGGTGCAGAGCTTTGTGTAGCAGCAGGGAGGGTGACACCCCTATCCCCAAACGCATGCCAGGCTCGTAGGGCTGTATTCAGTGCTAGTAGACTGTGCAGAGTAGACTTTTGAAGCATGCTGAGGAAAAACTTGGTTGGCTACAAGACATAACCGTTGGGGGCAATGGTGGAGGAAAACCAGCGCAAAACAGGCAGGACGGAAACACCAGCTAATTAATGGTATTAATTAGTTGTATTTTTTAAAAGGGGGCCTCAGAACTGCATGCCATCCTAGAGCTGTGATCCCTGTCGCCATTGATCAGGACAGTGGAAAGTAAACATGGAAGCTGCCTTGTAGGGAGGTTTATCTAGCAAAGTGTTGCTTACATTGACCAGCAGCCATTCCCTAGGATTTCAGGCAGGGAGTGTTCCCAGCCCTAGCCTGCATCTTGTTCATTATTATCTCTGCAAGGGAGTAGAGCCTTTAATGCAAGATGAAAATTATGGGGGAAAGCCTGGGGTTTCCATAAGAGAACTGCTCTGGCCCCCATTCCTCACCCTTCTGTGGCTCCAAACCTATTATAGCTCTTCATTTTCCATCTCTTCTGTTTCTGCTCCAAGAATAAACTAAGAAACTCCACCCTCCGTTTTACAGTAACAAAGGGAGGGGCCTAATCCAGCCCTCCAGGTTTCCCCTCAAGAATCACAAGGCTTTACACTTCCCATGATTTTGTACCAAAACATCTAAACCATTCTTGGCAATGGCAAAGTTCGGTGGCTGCTTTGTATCAGTGAGATACAAATCTAAGAAACAAATCAATAAGGCACCAGGCTTTCGGAAGAGATAAATCACTGTGAAGGCCAATGGCCTCCCTCTATGAGGCATTTTAAGGCTTCTCAGGCTATTTCTAGGCTATTGCTCTTTTGCAGCTGGGATCCAATCACCTGTCGTCAAATTCAAGTTGGGGAACTGAAGGGATTTGTACAACAAAACTGCTTAAGCCAAGAAAAATGGGGGTGGACTTTTTGCAGTAAGTGATGTGGGGGAAACCACTGGAAAAGCAGGATAGCAATTGCTTGACATTGTGGTACCTCCCCTGCAAACAAATCGGAATCGATGCTCCATAAAGAGCGGGCGTCATGCAGCCACTCGAGCGAATTTTGTGCAAACAAATCAGGCCGAATGCTCAATAAGCAGGTCGTGTGGAAGCGAGATGAGAGAGACAAGAAAAAGCTCAGTTGCGTTTTGTCCTTCCACTTCTCCCAAGCCTTGCTGGGGGGTTGCGTGACTGGGAACCTCTTGCAAACAGGCACTTAAGAAAGCCCCATTTACAGATATTTTCAGTGTTGTAGTCTTGAAATATTAAGCACTGCGCTGTCAAAGCTGATAACTCTGACGCTAGATTCCCACAGGTACAAGCAGCCGTTAACCTAGAATTCTGGAACGACTTTTCCTGCAAAACTGTCTCACACTTGAACCACCCTCTTTAGTGTGTTGAAGAGAAAGGCTGTGTACTCGCCATAGATTTGAAGCACATTCATCATGCCAAAGAATCCTGGGAACTATAGTTCACACCTCACAGAGCTACAATTCCCAGCGCCCTCAGCAAACTACAATTCCCAGTATTCTCAGAGTGGTGTGTGCTTTAAATCTACAGTGTGCATGCAGCCAAAACAAAAGCCAATTACGAGTGAGCATGGTTTGTTTCACCTTAGCAATGGGGCCGGCTTGCTGGATGCATCTATTTGTGCCTCTTATTGCTAAACACACCCCACAAAAATACCCCTATTTATGTATTTTAAAGCCTTAGGTTTTAAAAGACAGGGAGGCAACAGGTCGAAAGGAATTGCACAACAAATGGGGGAAAGGAAAAGGAACAAAGGCAGCAACTGCTCTGAATTTGGAAAGCGGGTTACACAACCACACTCACGGCCAATTAACATCTCGGCAGGCCACTTGGTTCAGAAGGCAGACGGATGGCGTGCAAGACCTGCAAGACCGGCAGCCAAAAGAGCAAGGGAGAGACAGCACATATGCCAAGAGCTGGCACTCTACCACTTCTCACAAGTATAGTCAAATTTCTCTTTTCCCCCCACCGGAAAAAATGTTTCAAATGTCCAACATTAATCCTGTAAAGAAATGGAGCAGAGGGAAGCAGACTTGAGTTGACAAATGGAGACAACAGCCTAATTTGGAATGAATGCAGGGAGATTGCTTATTTTCCATCTTTTCCTTTGTTTTTTAAACGAGTTTTTTTTTTTTTTTGCATGTTGCAGAACTAGGGAAATGAATCAGCGTTGTTTTCCGAGAGCAGACAGGGCTGACAGACTCTTATGAAAAGCCTTTTCAGTTTTCAGGGAAGACCACCTAGTTGCTATAGACATAATAATCGGGGGGGGGGGGGGAGAGGCGTTTGTAAGAAGCCTATGCCTTTTTCACAGCATAGCTAAAGATGTAAAAAAAGCCCTGCTAGTATAGACCAGAGGCCTATCTGAGCCACCCCTTTGTTTGGTTATCTGTTTTGACACATGGACTACTTATGTGTTTAAATTAAGATGGGTGGATTATTGTTATTGTTCATGTGAGCTGATACTGCTTCTCTCTGTTACATCTGAAATTGTGTGTACACTCGGGTTGCGAACGTGATCCGTGCGGGAGGCATGTTCGGAACCCGCAATGTTTGCAACACACAGCACCGCACATGCATGGGTTGTGATTCGGTGCTTCTGCGCATGCACGACCTCCGAAACCCGGATGTAACCCGTTCTGGTACTTCCAGGTTTCGGCGGGTCTGTAACCCGAAAAAACACAACCTGAAGCGTCTGTAACCCGAGGTATGATTGTATATGTATGTACATACACAAACAAACAAACAAACGCACAAGCCCTGCTTCCCAGCAAATGTATCATATGGCCTAAGATCGAGATTTATAGCCATCAATACTAGTAAGAATACAAGAAACATTAAGATGAGCCTGTTGGATCAGGCCCACCTAGGCCAGCATCCTGTTCTCACAGTGGTCAACCAGATGGTTGTAGTAAACCACTGAAAAACTTCTCCATGAGCATGTCTAACCCTCAAAGCTGCTGGCCACCTCTACATCATGCGCCAGTTCTTTCCATACCTCTAAATCCAAACCTTAAACTCTGCATTTTGCAATTACAGTATATGCTTCCATTTGTCTCCCCAGAATCTCCTGCTAATCAGCCCCGTTGTGTGACTCTTACTTAAACTTGAGGAAGTTTCCATTCAAAGAAGTGTTTCTAACTTCCAAATTTTGGATGCAGCGCTCTCCCTGCCTCTGACGTTTCCAAGGCACACAGGGCCGTTGAGAACACATTGGCAGAAGCAACCCTGTTCTGATTGTGTGCAGTCAGCTTTTTAAGGTCTACCTGAACAGCAGTATACAAATATCTTCATAAATCAATCCTCTTGCAGCCCAGTGGCTTGCCAATGGCAGACAAGATATGCACAGCGGCAGAAGACACCCCCCCCTCCCAAAGGTGAAAATGAAGAGTATTGGTAGCAGAGTGATGTGCATGCTTCAATTCAAGAAATTGAAAGGTACATTGAACTGAAATTCAGGAGGAGCAGAATACAGGGCAAAGTCAACCCACAGGGCAAATACAGGAAGCAACTGGGTAAATCCACTCATCTCTCAAATGGGGATTTGGATAGGAGCCTATATAAACCAAGGGATTGCCAGTATGCAAAAACAAAAAACCTCCTCCCTGTTGCTTGTATCTAGTCCAAACCTCTGGCTATGGCAGTATCTGCTCAAGCCGCACATCCCAACAAAGAGAAGTCCATTTAGATATGACCCATCACAGACTTCCGGGTCAGCGCCATTGGTGAATGGCGGAGTTCCTCCGATCGGAGGAACGGGCTCTGTGAAAACTGGGTCTTCCCGCCGCGGCGAAGGTGGGGACCCGCTAGAAATCCCAGGCGGAGGAAGCCTGGGAACGTGGGGTTCGGCAGGGCACCAGAAGCGCCCCCCTACTCGCGGGGAATCCCAGCTAGGGGCTCCGGAGCGAAGTGGGGTGAGAAGCGCAGTGCTACGAACTGACTGCTACTTTCACGGAGTGAAGCCGCACAGCCATTGCCAGAGAGCACTGACTTTTTCCTGTGGACAATTGGACTTAAAACAAGTACCCGTGAGTAGAAACGGAAAATTGGATCAAGAAATTGCTTTAATTTGGTATCGAAGCGGGAAGGTGCAAACAGGAAGTCCGCCTTCCGCTTTTTTGTATATAGACTAAAGCAAAAATTTTGCAAGCTAAAGCCGGGAAGTTGTTAAAAAAGACTAAATTTCCCTCATTTAGAACCACTGAAACCCCCCCTTGGAAGCAGGAGAAAAGGGGGGGGGGACTTCGCTTAATCCCAGCAGGAGAGGGAGTGAAGAAGGATAAGTTTCCACTGTCTCTAACCTGGGAACGGGGTGTCAGAGACAGAAAACTGTCGGAGAGGTTCATTGACTGTGAACGTAACATTTTGACAGATAGCTGATGAAGAGAAACAAGTTGACTCTAATGTTGCCTTTTGCATCTTAAAGAAACAAAATACCTGAAAAATATCTGAAGTATCTGAAAAATAAAAGTAACTTTCCTTTGTCTTAAAAAAAAAAAATGGATACAAGTAGATTGTCTCCTCTAGAGGGAGTTTGCTAAATTGTTGCTGCAGCATATTTGAGACCCAACATCTGTGAGATAAAGACTGTGGGAACAGTCTTTTCTGAACTTGAACGAAGATGAGCTGGGAGAAAGACTGGGTGCTTGCTCTATGCAAGACAAATGCTTTGTTGGAACAGATGCATGAGAAGATGGACTTGATGAATGAGAAAATGGATTTGACTGTTGTGGTTAATAAAATTGATACAGAAACCATCCAAGAACCAATCTATCAATCTGCACTGACTGGGCAAGTGCAGATGACAATAGAGGAGGATGCGGCTGCACCTCAAATAGTACAAATGGAGAGACCCGAGGCCCTACAGGAGCATAAGCCGCTGTTTTTGAAAATTGAAGTTGGAGTGGGCCAAGGGGAGTCTGGAGACGAGGAGGTTCCTAGCCTTGGAGAGACCTTGAAATTTGATCTTAAATTCATTTTGGATTATATTGAGGACTGTGGGGAGTGGGACTGTGGGGAACGGGTGAGCTGGATGAAGGGTGATGGAGATAATTTTGGGTTGGAATCCCCCAGAGACCTACTCCTCAATGAGAAAGGAAAGAATCTAAGACAGAGACCAACAAAAGACAAGGAAAAGGGCAAGCACAAACAAGATGAAGAAGAATTGCAGAAGGGACATGGAAGAGATTTAAGGGCCTCGGACATAAGGCTTCCAGGTTGATGGACTAGATGGAATGGACAATAAGGACTGACATGACCCGTTACCAGGAAGAAGAGACGCTGGATGATGATTGAAAGAGAATTTATAATGGGAATTTTTTATTTTAGAATTAGTTAATGAATATTAGGGAAAATGTGGGAATGAAACTATACGACTCTAGCAGAAATGATATTAGGAGCTATGTATATTTGAAATTTAAGATTTAAGTTTTAAGGCACTTAGGGGTAAGATAAGGTCAAATAAATTAAGGTAATTTGAATAACAGAATATGGGGAAAGATGGTAAGGATTTGTTGAGTTAACTATTAGGTTAAATTGTTAAGATAAATTTTATAACAAAAATTGAGAAAGATGGAAAGAATTTGCTGAAATAATTACTAAACTAGAATACAAAAACGGAGGTGTGAGGAGGTCAATGAAACAAGCAAATGGAAATTATGGATATGCAATCTGGGATTTGTGTGCTTTTTTTTTCTTTTTTCTTCTTTTTTTACTTTCTTTTGCTGTATTGTCGTATTGGTTTTTCATGTTTTTCATATTTTGTGCTTTTCTCTTTTTTTTAATTGCTTGTCTTTTTTTCTTTTTTGTATGGTAGTGTTGTTTTTTATTTGTTCTTATTCTTGTAATTTTGAAATTATCAATAAATCTTATTTTTAAAAAAAATAATAGATATGACCCATCACATATGGACCATGGCCAACATTCAGTCTAATTGCTTACCTATTAAATGCCCATAAATAACTGATCCTAAGCCACCTCCACACAGATTGGGCTCCTATTGGGAACGATCATGTATGAGTATTTGTAGAAACATATGCAGCTGCCTTGTACCATTGTTCCACCTAACTCAGTATTGTCTGCACTGACTGGCAGCAGCTCTCTAGCAGCCTTAGACGGGCGTTCTTCCAAGCCCTACCTGGAGATGCCAGAGATGGAAGCTGAGATTGGAGCCTGCAAAGCACATGTTCTGCCACCGAAACTCTGTCTGTACAGTATTATCTGTGACAATCTACTACTGTGCAGGTGTGACTGGAACATGGATCTACACACCCCTTATCATAACAGCAGGAATTTGGCCATGCAGGTGGCAGTGCCGGCACAACCCATCCCTTTGAATGACTAATGTGTCTTGCCTGGGAACCTGCTTGAGATGAATCATGTGTCAGGCATGCAAAAGCCATGCTGCAAGGATGCTTTCCAATAGCTTGGCCTACCTGGGAGCCAGCATTTAAAATGATACCTCTGGTCAGGCTTTGTTGGTCCAGCATGGGTGTAACTTTTGGGTTTCCAAGGATGCCTCACTGCTGCCCAGGTTCCGCTCCTCTTATCTCGGGAGGCCTTTGTAAGCCACACTGCCGTGCCATCTGTAGGAAGTGTAAATATTTTATTACCAGGAAGCGGGGAGGGAGAGATAAAAAATCACATTTCTGGAAAAAGGCAGCAGGATGCCACAGAAACTACAGCCATCAACTCATTTTCCAGCCGATAATTACCACGACTGTGCTAAATGAGTTTCTGCAGCCATTTCGTTCCAAGTTGTGGAAGATTTCACTGCAGGGTCCAAATCAATACCTATTTTTACATCAGCCACATTTTTAAGTACAGTGGTACCTCAGGTTAAGAGTTTAATTCGTTCTGGAGGTCCGTTCTTAACCTGAAACTGTTCTTAACCTGAGGTACCACTTTAGCTGATGGGGCCTCCTGCTGCCGCCGTGCAATTTCTGTTCTCATCCTGAAGCAAAGTTCTTAACCCGAGGTACTATTTCTGGGTTAGCGGAGTCTGTAACCTGAAGCGTCTGTAACCCGAGGTACCACTGTACTTGTCAACATCATGTCCATTCATCACCCAAAGTTTACATGTTTAAAAGATTGTGTAAAAATGAGAAACATGCCTTTGATACTTGGCCTGTTGTTGCCTTTGATACTTGACCTGTTGTTCCATGAGAGATTCACGTTTCAGCAATCAATCAAGCTTGCCTCTCAGCTCCACCCCTTCAGAGCAGCAGCAGGGAACCTGTGGCTCTCCAGATGTCTGCAGATGCCACCATCCCTGACAACCAGCTGTGCTCCCTGGGGCTGATGGGAGTTGGAGTCCATCCATGCAGTTCCCCGCCCCTGTCCCACTAACAAAAGTGTAAAGGAGCTGCTTCTTGGTGGATTAAAGTGCCCCTCCATAAGCTACATTTGACACGTTTGTGGGCTGGGAAGCAGGAAGAGAAGTTAAGACATTTAAACTTGGGAGGCACACAAGACACATGCACAGGTTGTTGTTCACAGAACAGAGGGAAATCCTCTGGGCAACTGCAGCATATCTGTTAATATTGCCACCCTCCACTTTTCTCAGTATGGCCAGAGTTCAGGCACAATGTGTTTTATGGGCGATGATGTTTCTTCATAGATTCTGTGTCAGCTCACAGTGAAGTTGCACCAAAGAATCCCAGCACATCATTAGTCCCACTCTGTGGAGGGTGGCTTTTAGGGCTGGATGTTATTGTCCAAAACCAATCCATATTGTGCTATCGGTTGAAATAATTTTTGACCTGGCAATGTATGTTAGGGCTGGGCGATGTATGATCCAAAATGGGTTTGAAGTCCATATCGTTTCATCCGTTTCATAATTTTGACCTTGCAATATATCACGAATCATGGTGTGTATGTGTGTGCTATGCAAAAATCACAATGTGGAAAAAACCGTGAAGCCAGCCAATGCCTCTACAAAGCTCCCTTATTTCAGACATCATTATATATCAGTATATTGCAATGTTTAGTGGGTGATATATCACAATGTTGATATATCACGCAGCCCGTGGCCTTGCTCACATACTGGCACAAAGAAGGGCAATGAGAACACGCCATATTGCATGGAGCTACTATTTCTTCTGGGAATCGTAGGGTGGTAGATGCACTCGACAGGACAGCTTAATTTGCGAGCGCTCACTAGATAAAGCCAAGGACAGGGAATCTGTGGACCTGCAAATGCTGTGGGCTAGCTTATCTTCCATCCTCTCAGACCATTGGCCCATCCGATCCCTGCTCATCCCGACTCACACAAGCAAGCAACTCTTAGTTATGGAGAAGAAGATTTGAAGCAATCTGGGCAAATGTTTTTATTTCTGGAAGCCTGCCCTTATTAGTGGTGGCTACATGAGGTTCTCTCTCTTGCTGGCATGTTATCTCAGGAGGCTTAAAGAGCTTAAAGCAGGGGTCAGCAAACTTTTTCAGCAGGGGGCCGGTCCACTGTCCCTCAGACCTTGTGGGGGGCTGGACTATATTTTGGAAAGAAAAAAAAATGAACGAATTCCTATGCCCCACAAATAACCCAGAGATGCATTTTAAATAAAAGCACACATTCTACTCATGTAAAAACACCAGGCAGGCCCCACAAATAACCCAGAGATGCATTTTAAATAAAATGGCATATTCTACTCATGTAAAAACATGGTGATTCCTGGACTGTACACGGACCGGATTTAGAAGGCGATTGGGCCAGATCCGGCCCCCGGACCTTAGTTTCCCTACTCATGGCTTAAAGTGTTGGTGGAAGGTAAATTAGATCATGCGATGGAGCCTCTAGGATGAAACAGTGGGGGTGGGGGGGGTAGCACAGGTGGGCAAGGAGAGATTCTCACCTCTTAGCACTTGTGGCACATTATGTGGAAGCAGGACTTGTTGCCTGACAAGAGGGAGGGATGTTCCAAGCCTCCCCCACTCCCAAACCTCTTTAGAACTGGCTGCTGACTAAAATAGGTCTTCCCAGAACCTCTGCAGACAAGAGACTCTCAAAGGCACAGAGTTACTGCCATTCATTATGTGTTTAATAACCAAGGCTTCTTTCAAAAGCCTCTGTGGGCCAAACCTTCAAGCAGGTGGCTAAATACTTTGCAAGGTCAAGCGAGAGGGTGCAGGGCCCTCGGGAATGAATTAACACACCAAGACAAAAGGCACCCCCCCAAAAAAAATTTAGGCACACAGTTTCCTTTGTAATAAATAAATAATAACAACAATAACAATAATAATAATAATAAAGAGGATATTGAATGGAACACACATGCAGCCTTAACCCTGAAGGATGAATTTCCTTGTCTGGACTCAAGAGCAGGGGTCTGAGGAGTTGGCAGCCACTAAAACCAGCTCTCCCGTAAAAACAGCACTCCTGGTAGCGTTTGCACAATTTTAAAAAGGTGTTTTAATGCAGTCAATATTCATCAACAAACAAATGGATGTCAATTCCTGCTCCTGACAGGCGAGAGAGGGTGTGAATTTAAAATATTTTCATTTTATTTTTCTTATCCAGCTCGGGATTGTTGGCAATTTCAGATCTAGAAGAATTTGTCTTGATGGAATTACTAATTGGGATAATTCAAGTGCACCCATGCAAACTTCCTTAGGAAAGGGGAAAGGGGGGGGGATTCTAGAGAAAGAAAGGTGTGTGTGTGTGTGACTTTGAAGTGATTCTCTTGCATGAAGAGCTGTAGCGGTGCAGGAAGTGAGCTAGCCTGCTCCTGCACATTGCATGGTTACAGGGCAACTGCAAAGGGGGGGGGGTCTTCAATGCCCCTGCCCAACCTACCACACAATCGGCTTTCCCATTCATCACAAGCTACAGACAATGGGATGTTTCGGTAGATGGATTACTTTTAAAAACAAAGCTCAAGTGAGTCTGTTACTCGTTAAGCCAGGCTTCGTCAACCTGCTGTCCTCTGCATGCTGGACCATAACTCCCACATGGGATTTGTAGTCCTACAAGATCTGGAGGATACAAAGTTGGGGAAAGGGTGCATTAAGTATATTTAAAGGGGGGGGGGGGAATAAAACCTACTTTTGTGAGCCTTCACTGAGTGACTGGATATTTTATAGATTTATTAAAAAAAAAGACAGCCATATGGAGGCGAGGCTCACTTCAGGTGAAAGCCTCAGCAACTATTCCTTTCCCCAAGTTTTAAAAATGTTAACATTGTTTTTCAAAAATCCAGTTAACAACATAATCCGGCCAGTGTTAAGGAAACTCCCTTTTTTTGGTTACAACAGTTGAAAGCGAGCAAATCATCCCTAATACAGGTGAAATTTAAAAGAAATCCACCCCAAAATAAGAGGCCTACTGTGTCACTGCTAAATATTATTCCAAAACAGGGTTCCCTCCACTCTGGTTAATTCTGGGCCTTTTCGACAGCAGCAGAGGAAACAGAAATCCAAGCTTTTGCTACCTCTGAATTTCTATGTGAGCCAAAGGAACATCTGCCGAACTACCTGGCCAGGCTGCTGCTAATAAAGACACAGGAACGCCCCAGGAGAAATCGTATTCAGCTGGAGCTCATTTCTTTGAGCAGAGAAGAAATGGCCACTACTCTGATTTCAAAACCAAAGGCTTGTTTGTAATTGCTGTTGTTTTAAAACACACCCTCTTATACAGATAGTTACCAGCCAAACAGGGTTGACACTTTTATCCAAGAGTCAAATATATAAAATTAAAGCAGAGTTTTTATTCAAGTTGTGTGCGTGTGTGTGTGTTTTTATCATTTCCTTGGAGGGTAAACATTCGCCACTTCTCTCGAGGTTCATGCTCCTGAAAGAAGAAGAACCACCACCTTTGGCTTTTCAGTCAAGCAAAAGTGCTTTTGCACGGCCGTGAAAATACAATCCCTTGGGGATTTGGGGAGCGGGCGGGTAGAGGAGTGACTACAACCTTATAACCGAGCTAGCAAAGCTCTTACACCCTTTACGCACAGCGAGGGATGGCCAGTTTGCAGCCGGAAAGTGGCAAGACCTATCGTTCACACAAGTAGCCCACATGAGAGGAGAATCCCGTCACTTAATGCTATTGGAAAAGGGCTTGCATTAGCACCATCCCTGAAAGGCTGCCTAGTTTGGGAAACCTTTAGTGCTCCAGATATTGCTAAAATACAGCTCCCATCATCCCTGGCTGTGCTAGAGTTGCAGTTAAACAATATCTAGAGGGCCAAAGGTTCCCCACTCCTGGCTTAGTTTTCACCCCCTTATAGTACATGCTTGGCATCTGTGAACAGAGCTTATGTGCAAAGCTGACCCAAATTATGGCAGACTTTTCTATTTCGGGGGTGGAGGTGGCGGAGAGTGGAAGGCAAGAAGTAAAAAAACAACAGCAGCCCTCTCTACCAAACCATGTACTGCTCCCTCTTGCCTCGGAACCAAGGGTTCAAAAAAGGTTATTACTGAATTCTCAGCTGACTGGCAGGTACAGAATACTCTTTCAGACAAAAGTAAGCTTTTTTTCTCACCCATAAAAACCAGGAGCCAAATTAAAGGAAGCTAGCCATGCTACAAAAAAAAGGAAACGATGCTGCTTTCATTGGCTTTCAGAATCTTTTTTACCTGGGAATTAAATGCATTTGTAGTTAACAGTTAACACTGTTAATTCATCATGGTATGAATCTTAAAATTATCACAACCTTTTTTTAAAAAAAATCAACAATGTAAACAGCACTACACACAGTATAGACCTGCTCTGAAATATATACACACACATATATATACACACACATATATATATGTATGTATATTTGCAGAACTTCAATCTGGCACTGTATAATTTAGCGATGTTAATTTAACCTCACAAAAAGTTTTTTTTTAAAGTTGTGCAACCAACATCAATCTGCAACGTTTTTTGTTTGTTTTTTGAAAAAGAGAAAAAGAAACCATTTAACTTGCAGCCAGGGGGTCTCAAATATTTCAGGGGGCAGGAGGAAGAAGAAACGTGAAGAACCCAAAATTCAAAAGAAAGTGCCTAAAATATGGATACAGCATTTTAGAGCCCTTTCAAAAATACAAGGCAGAGAAAGGTGTAAAGTAGAAAAATCTGGAGCGTCTGTAAATTCCAGAGGAGTCCGGAGCTTATGGGTAATGAAAGGTTAACAGGTTACGGCTGTTTTCGCTGTGTTAAATGGCACTAAGTATGGTGGTCTATACACAGGCTTGTTGTCTGTGAAGCTGCAACGCATTTGGTGTTCTCCTCCTTCTTCCGCCTCTCCATTTCCCATTCCACAAAGGTATCAAAGAGACTGGGCCAGGCCTCATCTTCACTGTAATTGCTGAGGTCCGGCCCAATGACCTGAGTAAAATTTAGGAACATGTTCCACGTGTCCCGGGAGATTCCCTTAATTCCTGAGGGGTTCTCATTCAAGAAGTGTAACCACTGGTCCAATATCGGGGGCTTGTTCTGAGTGAAGACTAGTTTCCAAAGGGCAATGGCTATTTCCCGATGCAGCGACCTCTGTCCCTCCTCAGAGTCCAGGCCAAACTGAAAGGTAAAACGGTAGAGATCCTTGAACTTATCTTCTTGTTTGGCTTCGTTTAAGAGGCTGGGGAACCGGGCACATATCCCATCGATGCTGTCTGCGTTTATTGCTTTGCAGCCCTCAAAGAACTCCGTCCTAGTCAAGGGGAAAAGAAGCCAGTTAGATCACCTCCTTTTCTTCAGCATCACACGCAAAAACCTCAGGGCTAGTAGTCACAGCGGCTACATGCAACTTCCTGGATCAGGGGTGAGAACCCCCAAACCAGCACTCAGAGGGATGAGTTGGGGGGGGGTGTCAAGTGGCAAGTAGAACTGCTTCTGCTGACAAAATGATCAGAAGAGTTTTGCATTCCTCCCTTTGATCCCAATTAATTTGTGTTGGGAAAGGGGGAATCATAAAATGGTACCGGAAAGAAATGCCGGTTCAAACATTCTGTGAAAACATATGCACCACTGAGCATCATGCTACCCCTGAAGGAATTTAAACCCCCTCAGTCCTGCCTGTTGCACTTATTTCCATTCACACAGTTTTACACTGTATGCGAACATGCAAAGACATGATTCCCTCCCCATCACAATCTGAAGCCTAGTGGATCAGTCCAGCTTATTTATTGGATCAGCCCAGCTTATTTATTTATTTGATTCCTTTTATGAATCAAATAATTTTTATTTGATTCCTTTTATGAATCAAGGGACACGGGTGGCGCTGTGGGTTAAACCACAGAGCCTAGGGCTTGCCGATCAGAAGGTTGGCGGTTTGAATCCCCGCGACGGGGTGAGCTCCCGTTGCTCGGTCCCTGTTCCTGCCAACCTACCAGTTCGAAAGCACGTCAAAGTGCAAGTAGATAAATAGGTACCGCTCCGGCGGGAAGGTAAACGGCGTTTCCGTGCACTGCTCTGGTTTGCTGGCCACATGACCCGGAAGCTGTACGCCGGCTCCTTCAGCCAATAAAGTGAGATGAGCACCGCAACCCCAGAGTCAGCCACGACTGGACCTAATGGTCAGGGGTCCCTTTACCTTTACCTTTTTATGAATCAGTGCCTTTATAATATATTAAGTGATTTACAGTTAAAACATCAGCAGTGAAAACAATTCCATACTAAAACACACACACAGAGAGAGCGAATTCCACACACACACACACACAATTAAAAACACATACATAAGGCTGTTCCCAAAGGTCCACTCAGTCAAGCATCCTGCTTCCCAAAGCGGGCAGCCGGATGACTCCAGGAAGCCCACACGCAGAGATAGAAGGCAAACAACCTTCTCCTGCTGTTAACTAATCTTGGACTTATGCTCATGCACTAAAAGGTGCTTGAAGCACCAAAGATCTGTAGCTCAGTTCACAGACTTACCTGGGTTACCATGACAGTCCTCGTGGGGTAGGTCAATGGGTGAGCTGCACCCCCCTCCACAATACTTCAGCCCTGTATACCTGAAGGAGCGTCTCTGCCCCCATTGTGCAGCCTGGGCACCAAGGTCCAGCTCCAAGGGCCTTCTGGCGGTTCCCTCATTGCAAGAAGTTATAGGGAACCTGGCAGAGGGCCTTCTTGTATTGGCACCCTCCCACCAGATGTCAGAGATAGACAAACAACTTTCCATAGGCATCTGAAGGCAGCCCTGTACAGGGAAGCTTTTAATGTCTGATGCTTTGTTGTGTTCTTTTATATTCTGTTGGAAGCTGCCATAATAACAATAACAACAACAACCTAACAGGTGAGAATGGGACTCCACTTGGAGGGACCAGTTGCAAGCCTTCAAAAAGGTGAGAAAAACAACTCATTTGCACATACTTTTTTCCAAAAAGAGAAGAATCTGAGAATCATGATTTTTACAACAGCAGGTTTAAATTTTCAAAAACATTTTTTTGTAATCCAACTATTTATAAAACCTGAAACCATCACCTGAAGAGGCATCCTCTAATGTATAAAAAAGGGGGTGCCTCTTCTAAAAACGACGCAGTGTGCATCACCTAAAAGACATGGGGAGTATGGTTTCTGTTAGAATCGTTTTCTCTTATATACAGCTTATGTAGATTCACAATCAATCAGCAAGTTGGCAATCCACCAATATTTATGTAAGTCAGGAAATAGTCTTTGAGCAGGTCACAGCTGCAGGAACTCACCTTGTGAATTTGCACATGGTAGCTGCCTGGAACTTCCATGCCAGGACGAGGACTTTGAATTCAGTTGGGTCGACACAGAGGTCGTTGCAAAAATGCTCCATGCCTTCCTCCAATATGGCATCTTCTCGCTCGTCCTTGTATCTCCTAAATAATTCCTCAGTCCTGTGGAGGGACGATTCCTCCGTGCCAGAAACTGGCTCTTTCTTCGCATCCCCGGAAGAAGAAGGAGGATGACTAGACTCTACAGAGGCTTCCATCTTCTTTGTCCCATTAACCAGGATGTCCCCGGAGGATTTCCCACCGACGGTGCAGTGTTCCTCCTTGTGAATCGTGCTCCGCTTGCCGTGAGCCTTGCCGCTCGATTCTCGGTCGCCATTTTTGCTGCCAAGAGTGGAAGAAGGATTCTTGCACTTGGTGACGCACTGGCCCATGGTGTCCCACGCCCAGCGGTTAGAGCGGCCTCCTTGCTATCGCACGCCCACGCCGCCGCTGCTTGGTGGGTCTCAGCATGCCATCATTGACGGTGGAGCAACCTAGGGGGAAGAGGGTGGGGAAATTGTTTAGAACAGGGGTGCCAACATGAATAAAATATTGGGGTGTTTGTGTAAGCCCCGCCCTGCATAACTGATCACATGACGCAGTACACACACACCATTTGAATGGCAATGCCCATCAACTTGGGGGGAGGCAGCCTCCTCAGATATTTTATTGGGGGGCCAAAGATCCCACAGTCTCTAGGAGTTGGCTCCTATGGTTTAGAAATAACAATAAAATAATGAACATGGTGGTGATACAATGACTACTGCAATCGACACAAGATCTAAACTACTGAGCCTTTTAGGTTTGCCATTCGGAAGGTCGGCGGTTCGAATCCGACCGACGGTGAGCTCCTGTTGCTCTGTCTCAGCTCCTGCCAACCTAGCAGTTCGAAAGCATGCCAGTGCAAGTAGATAAATAGATACCGCAGTGGCAGAAAGGTAAACAGCATTTCAATGTGCTCTGGTTTCCATCACAGTGTCCTGTTGCACCAGAAGCGGTTTAGTCATGCTGGCCACATGACCCGGAGCGCTTTCTGTGGATAAATGCTGGCTCCCTCGGACTGAAAGTGAGATAAGCGCCGCAACCCCACAGTCGCCTTTGACTGGACTTAACCGTCCAGGGGTCCTTTACCTTTGCATGTATGCATCACAGTTGGTGCCACCTTCCAAGCAAGAGAATGGAGGAAATTACCTAAGATACCGCTGCCATCTGTAGTTCATAGAAATACTTAAATTGAAAGCAACTAACTTTAAAAAGGTGTGTTGCCCAATTAATGAAAGATGCACTTATAGTCAGTTGAATATATAGTCAGTTGCCCAAAATACCTGGAGAAGGATTTTGGGGAGCACTGGAGAGGACAGCACTGGGCTAAACAGTCCCATCCAATATATGACCTCATCCTTTGTTCCCACTTTGGATACTCTGGCTAAACTCTTATGTCATCCACAGTCTCAAGATTGCAGTCTCTGAAGGATTCTTGTGCACCCTCCCAGTTGTGCAATGCAGCCTTGCAGAAGTGCAAAATGTGTTTGGCCGGGCTTGCCCTGACAGCACAGGAAGTGGCCGTTTCTGGGGCAGTACTTTGCATGTGAGCCCTGCTGAAGCTCTCAAGGCAAGGATTCTGGTGCAGCCTGCAAATTGAAGACAACCTAGTGTAGCCTAGTGGCTAGGTCACTGAGCGATGGATGGGGAAATAGTTAGCTCGGATCTTTCCTCTGCCATGAACTCATCTGGTAATTTTTAGTCTAAGAGCCTTTTCCCCCAACCTATTTTTATAAGGCCATTATAGGGTTGCAATCAGATCGTATATGCAAAGAAGTCTAGAAATCAGAGTTGTCACAAGTAGCCAATTTCAGCCGTTGACTGAATCAATGAAAACGAAGATATTCTCCAGGTGTTTGGGGCAACTGGCTGATGACACATCATCTGGAGGTCACCAGGCTGGCAAATACTGGCCAACTTTGGTACAAGATCTCAGGGAAATAATATCATTGCACAAGGCCCTTACTAATCAGCTTAGGTCCAGGATATCACAAGGACTGCCTGATCCTTTATATTGCCACCTGATCACCAAAATATTTGAAGGGAGTCTCCATTGGTGATCAGCCATAGTTCAGAGGTGCATCTTGTGATTTACCAGAAGCCATGTATTTAGTGCATGTGATCCCAAGCCAGTAGAACTCCCTCCCAGCTGAGATCAGGTAGGCACGTCCTCCTTGCTGAACCTGCATGGTTTATGGCTACGTACAGTGCTAAGAAATGCTAATGATTAAGAGGTGTAGAAATGGCTTAAATTAAAGAATTAAATGAACAACTTCCTGCCAACTGCTGCTTTTAATGACAGATGCCAGGGATTGAACATGGGACCCCTGACCTATGGTCTTTTCCCCAAGGTGAAGCTGAACGTCCCCCCGCAGCCCTGAGAGGGCTCATCTAGCATCCTGGTATGCCCCCATTAAGACTGGCATTGTTGCTTTATCGAAGCCTTTTTAAACAGCATGCTTCTGCAATGCTGTGACCAAGGTTGTTGGTTCGCAAATTCTATGTGATTCTGCTTGCCTCTCGAGGAGGCAGGACAGGTAGCATGAGAGACATCATCACATTATTGTGCAATAAAAATTGCTTACACAAACACCCCTTGTGCTAGCTCAATATGCTTCAAATCTGCCAGGAAAAAAACCACACATGTGGATTCAGCACAGTCTCCACATTTATTGTGGGTGTACCTAAATGACCCCCCACCGCCCCAGGTCTCTCCATTTGGAAGCACCCTTTAAACTGTGTGACGCCACATTTCCTCACCTCTGCACCTAGAAAGCAGCTGTGGCTTCTCCCAGTGGCCGACTGGCAAGAGGTAATCAAAGGAAATTCCTAAAATTCTTACTGTAACACAGGGTTACAAAGAGGTCGATTCATGAGCTGAATTTGCCGAGACAGATGACTCTGACCCAGAATCTTTTTCAGGAAGCTATTTAAAAACCATAAATGCATTTTAATAGCTAAGCATCCAAGGAGCTTTACGATACCCACAGTTTGCATCGAGCTACTGCCAAGTTTGGATTCCTGGCTCCATTTGCTGCACTTTCTACCAGTCTCCAAGTTTGGATTTTACAGTGGAAATCTAAAGGCCCGCATCCTCCCCACCAAAAAACCCCGTGCTGGAGCAATGTGCCTGGGGAAAGGGGGGTGAGGATAGAGTATAAAAAGTGATACTGCAGCAATATAAAAAAGGCTATGATGGCGACAGAACGACTTGCCTTCTGTGGGATAAATCAGAGGACTGCATGTTGCCCACCCTGATCCAGTCCCATAAAAAGTGCTAAGTTATCATTAAAAAGGACATGGAGTATTGAGCCTGGCTGGGATAGCAGATGGTTCTAATCATGGCTCAAAGCTAGACTAAAGTGTGTTCTGTGCAGAGCTGTCTTTAAGGGCTCTTGGAAGCACAGCAGCCCGCCTCATAGGGACATTGTCCCAGTGGGCCAGGTAATGCACATCGCTGCTCTCTTCCAACTGGAGTGAGTGCTCAAACCTGGTTTTATCTTGGAGGCTGCCAGCTCCTCTACACCATCTTTACAAAACTTTCAGCTCTGCCAGGGCAGCCTCCCTGGCACACTCCATGAATGAAAAAGTTATCTGCCTTTCCAGGGGCAGATATGCTAACGATGCAAGTTTTTGTCATAAAAAGGGCAGCAAATACTTTCAGGTTTAAGGCAGATCTCTGATGAATACAGTTTTTAAAAGCAAGCACTCATAAATCATCCATACTTTATGGGGAGAGATGGGTGGATTTTGAGGAAAGTAATTTGGAAGCGATGTTTCACTGAACAACACTGAGCCCAATGCTGGTTAACATTGTTATAATCTGACTTTGAGGGTGCTCAGACCCCCCGAGTTTGTACGGATATATTTTTCATTCGAAAAAGAATTTTCGAGGTAGGTTTCTCAGGGAAATGTACTTGCCAGCCAATTCCAAGCATTTTCCCGCTTGGTTCAGTTCATTAAAGGGAAATCAATACTTTCAACAGTACTTTCAAGATCGAACTTTTGCTGCTCTTAGAAAAGCTTTCATGGTCCTTCATTTCCAAACAATGCCTTCTGCCTATTTGGAGGGAAAGTATAAAAGGATTCCCTATGCACAGCGGATGTGTGTTTGTGGTACCCGGTCAGTAATCACACAGTCCAAAGTTGGCGTTAATGATATCCCACCCTTCACAAAGGTATCTCAGGAGCAGTTGACGATGTTTCCACTTCCATCTTGCTTTAAAACATTTAACATTGTTAGTCACCGTAATTAACATATCATTTTACTGATTAACTGCATTCTTCTGAGATCCGGAGAAAACTTGTCTGAAGTTTGATGCTGCTTGATGCTTTCAAGATTCCCCTCTCTAGATAAAGACACACACAGACACACACTCAACACTTTGTATTAGAACAGAGCTTTCCAAACTGTGTGTCGTGACACGGTAGTGTGTTGGCTGCAATGTGTAGGTGTGTCATGTGAACGCTCCCCGCACTCTTCCCGGGGCTGGAAAGGGGTTAGTTTAGCCTCTGGTTTGCTAGCAAAACTGAATTACTGTGTCACGCGAAATGATGCATGTCCAAAACACGTGTCACAAACATGTAACGTTTGGAAAGCTCTGTATTAGAACTTTCAGGTGTTCAGAGCAATCTAGTTTTCATCCTTATAACATTTTTTTCAGCCCATGGTCTGTATCCTTAGAGGCCTCCTTCCTGAGGCTGCATGTCAATAGTGGGCAGAGCCAAGACGCACGGGGTGTGGGGATTGAGAAGAACAAAGTGCAACTTGCCTCAGGGCAAGATTTGAACCAGGGACCTTTTGATCCATAGCTCAGTATTAGTTAGCTGTTCTATGAAAGTAACATATAATGACTGGCGACAGGCACCACCATTGTTATTCAGCAGTAGTGTATCTCAGTCTCTGGATGGTGGTGGCTGTTTTTTTTTTTATCTCAAGTCTCTTCTAAATTTATGCTGCCTCCTTTCCAACCCAGCCCTGTTGAGAAGAGGCCCTCAAACTCACCAACCTGGCCCAAGGTTCAGTCCCAGAGGATGAAACATCCTGGCATATAGCTGCCTGCTGTTGCAGCACATGTGCAAAAATCAGCAGACAGTGGCTGTAATCTGAGAAGGCCTAGGATGAAGATACCAGAGCCACTGCCTCCCTTACGCACCTCTGTGATGCACGATCGGATCAGCATCCGAGGCCCTGCTCCATGTCCCTCCATCTTCTGAAATTCAACAGGTGGTATGAGAGACTGGGCCTTCTCGGCTTCTTGCAGAATGCCATTCCTAGGGAGGCCCACCTGACCCCATCATGGTGTAGCCCTTCCACACCACACGTTGAAGACCTGCCTCCATAAGAGGGCTTTTAAAGATCAGGAAACTGAGACTGTTGGTGAATCGATAATGGTTGCTATGGGTTGTTGTTCTGTGGTTTGAAAATGTCAGTAGTGCATCTCCTTCAAACTTCTTCCGCTCACTGCCTGAAATCTCTTTTCTGATAGAAAGGCAGAATCAAGACAACACACACAAATCCCACAGCGGCAGCAGAAAGGGAGTAGAACAAGACATCTCTGTTCTGGCTTTTTAAAAAGCTATACACACAGGGAAGCACCATTAGAACAAAGCAGTGGCTCTTCCCACAATAGGATGGGATGAGGCGGCCAGTGGGAGGTGGGATGGTTATGAAGAGCCTATTTTAGATGCATGACACGTTATCCTTAGCTGGCAGAACTGTGTGTGTATATGCACAGACACACACACACAAGAAGGAGAGAGAAATGATGCCAGAAGGCCCCAGCAATGCAAGAATTAGGTGTGTCCCATTACTATGCAGAGCATGAATGCAAACAAGAGCCAGTCAAGAGAGCTGGAAAGATGAAATCCGAGTGGATGTGACCCACTCCCAGCTGGCGATGAATTGGCAAAGGAAGATGACCAGTATGCATCAGTATGCTTCAAGATGGACAATTACTTCTTATTATTATCATCTCTTAAGTTGCTGTACCAAGCCAGCCATTCCTTGTCTCTATCGAGCCCTGGATCCAACAGCGTCAAATCTGCAACCAACTCACACCAGAGGCAAGCTGGGAAATATTTCTTGGCTGAAGGAGGATAGACGTTCAAAGTCTGCTCCAGAATTGGCTTCCTAGCAGGTAATCTGCAGGACAGCACCCAAATGACTTCAAGTGACTGAAGCCTAAACTTGTGTCTTACTTGCAAATGCAAATTCAGACAACTTCTCTCATGGCAGGACATATGGGGCAGGAGGGAAAAGGGCAATTGCCTAGCCCATTGGTCTTCCACTGGTGGGTCAGACCTCACTAGTGGGTCACAGCCTGATCCAAGGTGGGTTGCAACAGGAGTACTACCAACATGCAAATATATGACAAAAGGTTAGGACATGGGTTCCTATATGCACATTTGGATTAAAAGTGGGTACTGGGTCTGAAAAGGTTGAAGACTACTAACCCTACGAACCTGACCAAATGCAAGAAGGAAGCAGACACCAATTACAATTAAATGTTACTCACGCACAAAAAAACATTCCTACACTTATGCTCACAAAAGCTTTGCTGTCCCTTGTGGACAGAACTAAAAAGAACCTAGGGCTATATCCAATTCTGTTAGAGTAGACCCACTGAAATTAATGGACCTTCATTAGTCATGCCCATTTATTTCAACCTGCCTATTCTAAGTAGGACAAGCACATTGCACTTTTAATTTTTATAGGCAGAGTAGAGAACCACAATTTGTTGGAATAGATTTTCAGTAGGGAAGAACAAGAGGCTAAGGGAGACTTGCCCAAGGCCATAAAATGAGTTCAGAGACAGCGAGCGCATTTGCTTCTGACACCCACATGAAGTTTGCTGTTTGAACAGCAAAGGCTCCTGCAAAACAGGTTACAGGATATTCTTCACCCTCCAGCTCTCTATAGGGCCAGCCCAAGGGTGCCTGCCAGCCAGATTACCAAAGTTCAACTGGAAACAGGAATTGCCCATTGAATTTCATTAAGACTGTCCACACTTTGGGCGAGGCATAAACCCTAGGTTCTCAGCTTTAAGTCTAATGTACTGTTTTACTCGGTTAGACCAGAACTCATTTATGCAGAGGAAAACTACCAAACAACACATTCAAAAAACCATCACTGACATAGAATCATAGAGTTGGAAGGGACCCAAGGGTCATCTAGTCCAACCCCCTGCAAGGCAGGAATCTTAGCTCAAGCATCCATGACAGATGGCCATCCAATCTCTGCTTTAAAAGCTCCAATGAAGGAGAGAGTCCACAACCTCCCAAGGGAGTCAAGGCTCAGATTAATTTTACGGGATCACATTTTTACACAGATCCCTTGAAAAAGCTAAGTGTGAGGGCTTTCTCTCTATATATGTAGGGTGATGGTGATTAGCAGAGGGGGCGTGTGACCACAGGGAGTGGCACCCATCACACTCATTCAAAAACCCAATGTGCGTACAGACCTATAAAAAGTTGGTGAAGGGAAAACGCACAAAGTCACACATGTTTGGGGGATGGGGAAGAGAGATGAGGGCTTGAGGAGGGTGAAACTTATTTTAATCCTTTAGCATTGTGTGTCATTAAACCCACAAACTAACCAGAAGCTCTGTGCAGATTTGCATAAAGCTCATTTCAAAGTAAGTGTTTATTGCCTGTGGCCACAGGCAACTGCACAAAAACAGTAAGATTAATTACATAGGCTCCCCCCCCCTTCCTCTCTCATAACACTGGAACTCGAGGACATCCAATAAAGCTGAATTCAGGAAAGGCAAGAGGAAGTACTTCTTCACATGGCGCAAAGCTAAACTATGGAATAAGCTCTCACAAGAGACAAAGATGGCCAGCTTGGATGGCTTTAAACCTGCCTTTAGCTGCAATTCTGAAGTGACCCTGCAGTGAACCCAAATACCAGGAGAATGCAAGGGGCACGATTCCAACACTGTCTGGGTTTCAAAAGGTGCTTCCATTTTCTGACACACACTTGGCTTTCTGCTTAAGTCTGATTATAGTTCCTCCTCCTTAAGAGGTCAATCAATCCTCTTAAAATCATCATCATCATCATCATCATCATCATCATGTTTTAATCAAGACTCCAGCTCCCCTGGTTGAAGGAACCAAACAATAGTAAGCTTACATTTGTCCCACCAGGGGTGGGACTCTGTGCAAGTTGGAGCCACAGCTCTTTCCCCCCATCTGTGCACTCCTAGTTGCAGGACGCTAGACAGAGAACCAAGGAGAGTTTGGCTGATGTGCTGTCCCCCCTTTGCATCCAAACACTTCCTTAAAATTCACAACTGAAAACAAGATTATAAGAGACAAAAGATTGTGTCTATGAAAAGCAGTAGGGACCATAGCTTAGTGGTAGAATATGTGCCTTTGCAAAAAGGCTTGATCCTGGTTACACCAGTTAAAGGATCTCAGCAGCAGGTGCTGGGAAAATCACTGGCCAGGACCCTGGAGAGCTACTGCCAGGCAGAACAGATAATTCTGAGCTAGATTGTCCGATAGTTTTGTGGATCATTCCTGTTCCCTTTCTTATAAATCAGGAGAGTGATACTCATTTTCCATCCAGCAGGCATTTGGCCTGTGTTGTTTATGGAGGTAAATAAGCCAGCCAGGATAGAATTATACAACCACAGATCATAGAATCGGAAAGTTGAAAGGCAGCTTCCAATATACCACATTTACTCGAGTCTAATGAGCACCTTTTTTTTTTTTTGCCAAATTATGCTGCAAAAAAATTGGGTGCACATTAGATGGCGCATTAGACTCAAGTAAATAAGCATCTCGGCGTCAGATCCCGCTAGCCAGCAATGAGGTGTGGGCTCCACCCCACCTGTCCATTGAGGGGTGTGTGGCTGTGCGCCCCTCAATGGAGAGGTTTAAAGGACCCTGCACCTCACTGCCGGCTCACACCACCCTCCAGACACAAACAGCCCTCCAAAGACATCAGCTATAATATTGGCTCGCCAAAAGAGGGGCTGTCTTTTGCTAGTGGCAGAGTGGTCCAGACTGTCTGAGAAGCACACTTGTCTGGTCTACGAGAGAGCAACCATAATGGAAGACTTACATGCTATCCTCAGAGGAACAGGAAGGCATTGCAGCAACGAGTCCGACTCTCCACCCACGCATCAGGGTCTCTCCATGGAACACTGTGAAAAACAGGGACATGGTTTAGAAATCTTGAAAGAAGGAAATTTAAATGGCTGCGGCACATACGAAGCTCAAGTCACCACCACAAAGCAAAATTCAAAGGTGGCAGCTTCATTTATGTGGCCATTGCTCATTGCAGATGGGTTAATTCATACCAGGGCATACATGAAGGCTAGCTGCTTCCAAGTACTCAGACACCAAGTTGCATAAAGCATTTTGGCCAAGATGTCATGCACAGAGGATTAGCAATTAGAATACCAATTAACATTTGATGCATTTAGGGAAGGGGGGAGGACATCTGTAGCTCTGCAGATGTTTCTGGACTGCCACTGTCATCATTGTTGACCACTGGCTATGCTGCCTGGGACTGATGGGAGCTGCAGTCCGGCAATATCTGTAGAGCTGTGGTTTCCCTCCCCTGATTCAGAGTATATAAACAAGGATTTACAATAGCAATGGGGAACCAGTCTCCATGCAGGGATGGGACCTGGGTGCATTCAGAAGGTGTGTCTCCAACAGTATCAAATCCATGAACGAGAATGCAAGTTGACTCAGGGCAGAAGTACACTGCAATGTATTTAATCAGTTTTATGTCTTGTTTACGGGATTGGAGAGGGTCCTGAGAAGTCTGTTATTGATGCAGACACTTTCACTTCTACCTGTGAACATTTCAAGTTCACAGAGGCAGGAGAAGGTCTCAGCTGTATGCGTAGGAATCTCTAAAGGGTTTTTAGGTTGGCTGCAGGGTACCTTAACCAATACTTTCCTCTGGGTGCCCCAACACCAGAGGTGAGGTAAGTTACAGTAAGAGAAGGGAGCCTTTTTTCAATGTGGCACCCAATCAGTAGCATTCACTCTCCAGTTTTCTTTTAAGCCATGGTATTATTCTAAAAATGACATTATGAGCCATCAAGCCTTAGAATTGCAACTTTCCCTGAAAGTTCCCCCAGTTTGGGGCACTAGTATGTGTCTTCCTTACGGACACATCGTGGAGCACTATTTAGGAAACCTGGATCTAAGGGCATCTATTATATTGTTTCTTCATATTGTAAATTGCTACAGAATCTAGTGATGATGAATGGTATATCAATACATAAGATGCAATTCCTATATTCAGGGTTTTCCCCCAGCCGGAATTCAGTTCTGGCACCTGTGTGTGCTATTGCCATTGTAAGAGAACAAGGGGGGCATTCATGGGGAGCTCCAGCACCTTTTTTTCTCAAAAAATAGCACTGCCTATAATACTTCTTTTGGGGGGGACGGGACACGGGTGGCGCTGTGGTCTAAACCACTGAGCCTCTTGGGTTTGCTGATCAGAAGGTCGGCGGTTCGAATCCCTGCGACAGGGTGAGCTCCCGTTGCTCGGTCCCAGCTCCTGCCAACCTAGCAGTTCAAAAGCACATCAAAAATGCAAGTAGATAAATAGGTACCGCTCCAGCGGAAAGGTAAACGGCGTTTCTGTGCGCTGCTCTGGTTTCACCAGAAGCAGCTCAGTCATGCTGGCCACATGACCCGGAAAAACTGTCTGCGGACAAACGCCAGCTCCCTCGGCCAGTAAAGCGAGATGTGCGCTGCAACCCCAGAGTTGTCTGCGACTGGACTTAACTGCCAGGGGTCCTTTACCTTTTTTTTATAATACTTTTTTAGTGCATTCAAGTCACCTCCATTTGGCAATCCAGCAATCACACTTGCATGGTGAATGTCTGCTTTTCATCAGCGAGCTCTTCCTTACAGTACTGACTGCCCAACATGGCTTTACAAGGCCAACATGGGAAAAAACATTTGGCAACTCACTTTTCACTCCCATCAAGTTATGCATGAAAGCCTCCATGTCTGCTTGGCCAGAGACTGCAGCCCATTGCCACTTCAGTTCTGGAAAGCAGAAGGCTCCACAGACAAACCCAGCTTCCTCACAGATTTGAGCAGACCTCTTTTGTATGCCAAGGAAGGACAAAGTGATGTTCTCTTCCCCACCTAGGCTGGCTTGCAAACACACTGCAGCAAACCCAGGTGCCAAGCAATTGGAACATCTGTTGCAACAGACAACAGTGAACTCTCTCTTACTATTTTGGGTTCAGTTGTGTTGCAAATTGTTCTGTAATCGGGTTGCATGGTAGCCCTGACAACATTTGTCCATTAATAGCTGCCGACTGGAGGGGTGGCGGGGAAAGAAGTTGACATTTCCAAAAATATTTTTAGAGGGCGATATTTTTGGAGAGAGAGGTGCTTTTTCTGGGCTGGGTGCTTAGAGGGAAAAAAGACACACTTTTAAGCAGACCAAGACAAAAACAACCCTGCAACACACACTTTATTAAAGGTGACTAGCTAGTTACAAGCCTAACATCAGCGATGAGCAGCATTACACAGGAAGTTGTTTGGTACAGAGTCAGGCCATTGTTCCACTGAGCTCAGAGCCTGCCTACATTGACTGGCAACTCTCCAGGGTTTCAGACAAGGGTTCCCAGGCCTATTTAAAGATGCTGCGGGTTGAACCAGCGGTATTTGCATGCATAATATTCACTGAGCTGCAGCCTGTCCCCGAGAGCTTCCTTATCACCAGGACCAGCCAACCTTGTTGCCAAACTCTGCTTTTCAACTCTTGCCTCTCTCTTGTCACACCTCTCATTTCCTTCAAATCCTTACTCAATGCCCACATTTCCTGACACACCTTTGGCACAAGTACAGAGTCCTCTGGACACTGCAGTAGCCAAGTGAAAGCATACATAAATGAAAGCCATACATGCTCTTCCCCAATCTGCTGCCATTTCTCTAAGAGCTCTAAGCTCAACGGTAGAGCATTTGCCTTGCACACAGAAGCTCCTAGGTTCAATCCCCGACATCCCCAGGTAGTGGTTCCTGTCTGGAACCCTGGAGAGCCACGGCCAGTCAGTGTAGACTGGGCACACCAACGATCTGATTTGGTATAAGGCAGCTTCCTATGTCTCCATTCCTTCACTGTCTGTGCCAAATTTTAGATTGTAAAATACTTGGGGAAGGGATCGTGTCTTATATTCTAAAGCAGCCTTCGTCCAACTTGGTGACCTCCAGATATTGTGGACTTCCAACTTCCACACAGGATGGAGCTCATGGGAGTTGTTTCCCTTCTATATTCATTTCTCTTCTGCTGTAGGGTCTGGGCTACATTGGAGAGGAGAAAAGTAAAGTAGAATCCCATGCTAGAAAGTGAAGGATGAAGTGACAATCATAGAATTGTAGAGTTGGAAGGGACCCTAAGGGCTCATCTAGTCCAGGCATGTCCAAAGTCTGTCTTGGGAGCCTAATTTGGCCTGCCGGTCGGTTTAATCCGGCCCCTGTGGCAGCTTATTTCCTGGGGTAAAATCCTAAAAAAAAAACTCAACAACTTTGGTCGGCCCCCACGGCCCTTCACTTCATCAGATCTGGCCCTCTTTGAAAAAGGTTTGGACACCACTGATTCTAGTCCAATCCCCTGCAATGCAGGAATCTCAGCTAAAGCATCCATGACAGATGGCCATCCAATCTCTGCTTAAAAACCTCCAAGGAAGGAGAGTCCACCACCTCTCATGGGAGTCTGATCCACTGCTGAACAGCTCTCACTGTCAGAAAGTTTTTCCAAATGTTTAGTCAGAATCTCCTTTCTTACAACTTGAAGCCACTGGTTTGAGTCCTACCCTCCAGAGCAGGAGAAAACAAGCATGCTCCCTCCTCCATGTGACAGCCCTTGAGATATTTGAAGATGTCTATCATATCTCCTCTCAGTCTCCTCTTTTCTAGGCTAAACATACCCAGCTCCTTCAAGTGCTCCTCATAAGGCTTAGTTTCCAGACCCCGGATCATCTTGGTTGCCCTCCTCTAAACATGTTCCAGCTTGTCAACAGCCTCCTTAAATTGTGGTGCCCAGAATTGGACGCAGTATTCCAAGTGTGGTCTGACCAAGGCAGAATAGAGTGGTACTATTACTTCCCTCTGAATGACCTCCGAGAACTCGCATTCAGACTTCCAAATCAAAACAGAACTCAGAGAGAAGTTTGAACTTCTATATCATTTTATTTTTATGCTGCCTTTCCATATTTAAGAGCCCCTAAACTTCCCATGATAGCTGTCTACACTTCCTTGGGGAAGCCTAACTCACTTCTGACAGCTGCAGCTCTGGATAAATTCTGTAAAACCACCGGCTACAACAGGTTGCCATTTTCTAACATTACTGTATTTTTCTTGTTGGAAGTGGGAGAAAAAGTTCTTTAAATCTTAACCAAATAGTGAACCTTTCAGCGTTGTGTGGACTTTCTAATTAACTGACTTTCTAAAGAGATGCTTACATCCAGATAACATCACCATGTTATATGAATAACATTTTAGGTTCATAATCATCTACTTATATGTGTACATAGATAAAATTTATGTATCATAATCAATAAAAAATAAATAAAAATGATAAATAAATAAATAAATTGGAAGGCTGTGTGGAATAGAGGGGAGAAAGTGGAGCAATTCCGCTGAACATCTTCCATCTAAAACAGGGATGGGGACCCTCAGGCCTGGGAGCCAGATACGTCACTCCAAGTATCACTGTCTGCAAACCATGCAACCTCCCAAGCCACATCCCTCACCAGCCCTGCTTTGCACGCTCCTCATGTGTGTTTGCCTGGCTAGAATGTGTCCCTGAACTCTGATGAACTCCTTGCTTGTGAGGATGGAGGATAGAATGAGTTAAGATAATTATAGGATAGAAAACAGAGGAAGATGGAAAGGAATTGCTGAAATAATTAACAGAAGTGGAATACAAAAAGGGAGGTGTGAGGAGGTCGTGGAAATAAGTGAATGAAAGATGGGATAATGAAATTGTTTGATTTATTTTATTGTTTTTGTTTTGTTTTGTTAGTTTAATGTATTGTATTGTATTGGTTTTTTTTAGTGTTTAAATTTTTTGGAAAAGTAATAAATATTATTTTTTTTAAAAAAAGAGGATGGAGGATAGAAAGGACCTTGTGAGTGTGAAGAAACTTAGCCTGCTGTATAAAGGTGATATTCACATTTACTGCTCTTTCTGCGTTGGCCACAGGCCCTGCCCACGACTTCCACAGAGCTCCTGTGAGGTTGCCCAGAAAGGAGAGCGGCCCCTGGGAGGAACCAGCTCCCCACCTTTACACCAGCTCAGTTGGCAGAGCACGAGACTCTCAATCTGAAGGCAAAAAGTTTTGTGCATTGCAGGGGTTGGACTAGAGAACCCTTGTGGGTCCCTTCCAACTCTATGATTCTGTGCACCAAGGTGACATATCAAAATGCAGTGCTTTGAGGCTTCCATGAGCTGGAGGAGAAATTCCACAAGGAAGCTCGGTTCCTTTAAGAGAGAAAAGAGGTCCGTCCAACCATCTTAGAAAATGAAGAAGTGTAACTAGACGAAAGCCTCACCCACTTTACCCAAATTGTAACTGCGATTTTGGAGGGAAACCACCAGTTCCCCTTTTGTTCCTAACCAAGTGGTGTTTTTAAATTATTATTTTAAGAGCTGCTCTGCAAATCTAGATGCAACCACTGTAGGAATCTTTCATAAACCTTCTGCAGTGTGAGATGAATCTTCATGTTCAAAACACAGCAGCCAGTCACTACTGGGAAGCGAAGTAGCAGCAGCAGCTAGGCTCACAAAACCAATTCTGTCCTACTCCAGTCCTGCTTTTGCTATCAGCCAGCAATGTGTCATGTGCGTCCCATGCTGGCACATCCCCAAATTGCAACATCATTCATATGATTGCAAGAGCTTGATGGGAGTTCATTCTTCTAACATCTTTTCAAGGACTCCACCGAAATCAAACATCTTAAGGAACTGCCATGAAAAGAGGATCACCCAACAGCTCAACTGAAAGTCAGGTTCCTCTCCAGGCAAATGTCATCCCTAGCTAGCAGGACCAATGGTCAGGGATGATGGGAATTGTAGTCCAAAAATAGCTGGAGGCCCCAATTTGGGAAACCTTGCTCTAGTCTAATATTATGTTAGTTCATCTGTCAGTCCTATGAACACCAAGCATCAGAAACAAAGCGCCAAAACAAGGTAAGCCAGCCTTGTAAATAAGGTAACAACTCCAGAACCTGAGACTGGTTGTGGGAGTGAAGAGGAGAAGATGAACTATGTGAGACACACACACATCCCCAAAAACATGCTTTTGTATCAGCAATTCAAACATTTCTTTTGAAATGTAGATCTGGAGCGTGGAAGAGTAATTATTCTATTTCTCCCATGCACCAGCTACAGGATATATCTTTCTTTATATCACAATATTTCAAGCTCTAAATAATTCCCTTTCATGTGCAGCACTATGAAGGTCCTTCTCAGATTGAGTGTGTGTCTGCACTGATTTCTCCCGTCTATGAAGTACTGGGTTTCCCCCGGGCTTCCATTGTGTCAAGGCTAGCCCACAACCTGCAATGTGGAAATCTAAATCCCAGGATCAGAATAAATGATGCACATCCCATAGGTTTTGCTTGTGGATTGACAGTGCGGTGAGCCAATTTTAGCGTTCAGGTTCTCATCGAAGACTTCAGCAAAGCAGCATAGGAGGGGGAGGAGAGACATCAGCTGGACCAGGAGATAGAAACACCAGAAGAAACAAGGGGAAGAGCTTCCAATTTCTAGAAATCTAATCTCTAGATCTCAGTAAGACATATTCTCAATCTGCACCATTAAGAATGCACAAGATTCTTAGTAGGGCCATTACCTTCACCTCACTGGACAAGCCTTTCCAGAAAAAAATAGTGTCATTTCAGATCCACCATATACATAAACCAGCTTTAAATGCTTTTAAGAGGTACGTCTTTCCCCAGAGGTTTTGAAGTCTGTATCGTGATATCAGCTTCATAATTTTTGACCTGGCAATATATCACGAATCATGATGTGTGTTATGCAAAAATCACAACATGGGAAGAATTGTGAAGCCAGTCAATGCCTCTACATTGCTCCATCCTTATTTCAAACACTGTGATATATCAGTACAGTGGTACCTTGGTTTTCGAATGTCTCAGAAGTAAAACGTTTTGGTTTTCGAACGCCAAAAACCCGGAAGTAAATGCTTCTGTTTTCGAACGCACCTCGGAAGTTGAACAGCTTCCGCTGAGTTCCCCCCCCTTTCCTCTACTGAATTTGCAGACCGCCCTTTGCGCCTTGGTTTTCAAATGTTTTGGAAGTCGAATGGTCTTCCAGAGCAGATTATGTTCGAAAACAGAGGTACCACTGGATATCGCAATGTTTAGCTGGTGATATATCACAATGTTGAAAACCAGATAACACCCAGCCCTACTGTTTGCCTCTAGATAGTTCCATCCTTATTTCAAGCATCGTGATATATCAATATATTGTGATATTTAGCTGGTGATACATCGCAATGTTGAAAACCAGATATTGCCCAGCCCTAACTGATAGAGCTCTTTTCGATCCAGAAACCTTTGGGGTAAAGCAGAGCGTGGGAAGGGTGCAGCCTTTGGCCTAATTTCAGGTGGGTGGAAGGAGTCCGAGGGAGGAAAGGAGTTTGGAGGGTGGGAAATGGGAGAGGGAACCTGAAACAGATGGAGTAATAGAAGGAGGCTGAGTGAAAGCTGCATGCAAATTATCAGTTCACTTCTGTGGAAAGAGTGATGTGTCCCTTCCTATGCTGTCCACAGGGCAGCAGCACAGGCAGAGAGAAAGGAATGGGTGGCCCCACTCACTTTAGATTCTGGCCTCACTGCCAACACGTAGACAAAATACCACCACCCCAAGAATGCAACCCTCAACAAAATAAAGGTTTCCCATCCCTGGTGTAAAGCAACAGAGGAGACGGCTGCAAAACCACCTCTGTTTCTAAGCGCCTGCCAGTAGAGCTTAAGGAACTCGCATGATGAGAGGGGTTTTCTAGCTTGGATGCAGGCGAGACATAGAGGTTTTCCTCAACAGCACCTGCCAAAACATGCATTCAATTCTACTGTACCTTAATGCAATGAGAATCCAAATGCTTTTGTTACTGCTAAATAATTCCCACATGCCACTTGCAATCTGCAGAGCCCTTTGTGGTCTGTCTGCTTCATTCATCCACCCTGTGTGTTATTATTTCACAAGTGAAGAACCAACTCTGACCAAAATTTGGCTGGGCCGTGGCAGAGGTGGGACTTCCAATGCCGCTCTCCTAGGTGGAGAATCTTGTTTTAGTCCAAGGACCGCATTTCCTCCTGGGCAACCTTCCGGGGGCCGTATACCAGTGGTGGCAGGTTTGCCGCTGACCTAACTCCCTGACTGCACACCACGACAACCAAATGCTAAGTCAGGGGCTTTTAATTCATTAAAAAGCAGAGCTGACATGTGCTCGAGTGAGGGATGAGCCTTGCAATCCAATATGGAGGGTATATGTTAGGGGGTGGGGAACCTTCTCCAGCTCAATGGCCACATTCTACTCTGAGCAACCTTTTCTGGGGGCCATATGCCAGTGACGGGCAAGGCCAGAGACAAAGCTGGGCAGAGCAAGGAATGTAAATTTTGCCTTTATACACACACCCCTATCTGCCCTCCATGAAGGCAAGCAACAGACATTATCAATATTCAATGACACATTTCCAGCAAGGCAAAAACACTGTGAATATGACATGTCTTGCAGAGAAGGGGTGTGCTGGGGAGCGTCCCAAGGGCCAGACAGAGAAACTTGGAAGGGTGAATTTACCCTAAGGCTGTAGTTCCCCACCTATGAAGTGTTTCCCAGCTGGGTCTCCAGCTGTTTTTGGAATACAACTCCCATCATCCCTAGGTAGCAAGACCAGTGGTCAAGGATGGTGGGAATTGTAGCCCCCAAACAGCTGGAAACAAGTTTGGGAAACACGGATCTAATGATCTAAGAGCCAAATGCTGTCTAGTGGTTTTACCCTCCCAACCCCAAAAACCTACCATACCTTTGCACTATATACAGTCTCAATGGCAAAATCTATCTTGCAAACTGAAGAGCTGTCAGCAGTTCCACAACTGTGATAAAAGTTGCCATGGATGTACTTCAAAGAACCAGCAATTCCCCATCCGCTGGCATCTTTAACACTTGGATGTTAAGTGACCCACTACTGACAATAGCCCTGGTCCAAAATCAGCTGGGGGGGGGTGTAGTAAGGAGACAAATTTAAATAGGTTGTGACTGTGCTAAACACACCATGGTGTCCCTGGAGAAGCATGTTGTGTTTGCAGCAACAAGGAGGGCGCAGACGCCGCCTCTACAAAGCCAAACATTCTTTTTCGTCTTCAGGCCAAGCGGCTTCTATAAAGGAAACAGCAGTTCCTGGCTGGAGAGTTAGAAGAGCAACACATTCCAGCCTGTTCAGGAAAGGTTGCTAACAAAGCTAATTTGCATGCCACTGTTTACCTATAAATATGCAAGTCTGATGAAACCGTCGCTGTTAAAGCTCACTTTTATTTTGAGGACACTGGGTAGGTGAGGACAATTTCTGTACAGAGGAAGGAAAGGAGAACAACTCAGGAGGAAGGAACTGGGCACTGGTAGTAGTCATCAACCGGTCTAAATCATTTGACAAACCTGCATGAGCAGCTGTTCCAAGTGTTCAGTTGGGCCTCAAAGTCCCAGTAAGGACCATGTTGCACTCTTAAATGCTTCATGCAAGCCAGAAATAGCTCTTTAAAAGAGATTCCACAACTAGCAAGGGAGGCAGCTGTAGTTGCAATTGATATTGATATTCTTTGTCACCACTGCACACCAACATTAGCTTCCATAGAAAGATGTAGATAGTATCTTTAGAGCAGGAGTGGTACACTTTTGGACATCCAGATGGAGCTGATCTACAACTCCCATTTGTCCTAGCAAGCATGGCCAAGGGGCCAGAGATGATGGCAGCTGTGGTTCAGCAACACCTGGAGGGCCAAAAGTTTCCCCACACCTGACCTAGACCAAGGCGTTATGCTTTGGAAGCCAACACTGCCATCGTTTTCTTAGATCTAAACCCAGCTTTCTTAACCAAAGCCCTTAAAGTGGCCTGGGACAAAACACCAGGGATCTGTACTCCTGCATGCACTACCCATTTTCAGGGCCATAAGACAAGGTAGGCAGACTCCAGGCTTGTAGGATCTGGGTTTGCGGGGTGTGTGTGTGTGTGTGTGTGTGTGTGTGTTTTACTAGAACACCAACATCCACCAAGCAGAGACAAGGGCAAAATAGTGGCTATGGGGGTGGAGCCAGATGTAGAGTGGAGCTTGGAGTACAGCCTATTCCTTCCTGCATCCCACAAGTCACAGACTGCCAGACCTTGTATGTGCAACTGCAAATCTGTATCCCAAACCTGCTTTCTCCCCCAAATCAACAGATCAAGGACAGCCTTTCTGAATGTGAATGCTTTAATCTTAGGCTACTGCTGCTACAGGGGGGTCCTCCCAGGGACTGTTATCGATAGGAAACAACATAACGTGAGGCTGAGATTCTGCTTCTCACACGCTCCTTACAGTGCCCCAAGTGTAGTGGTAGCCCACGTGGTGCCCTCTAGATGTTGTTGGACTCCAGTTCCCATCATCCCTAGTCATGCCAGCTGGGGCTGATGGGAAGTGCAGTCCAACAAGACTTGATGTATCCAGGATTAAGTTTGCTTTGATCGCTTAAGCAGGCTTTCAACCTGTGGATAGCACAGAATAGCGGTAGCGGTTGGGACGGCACACGGGGAGAAGGGACTGACAGCTGAGTGCCACTTCCCTTCAAGATGTGCCGATTTAATGCATCCTTCAGATCTAATACATTCAACCTCAGCAGCTCTGCTGAGCAAAACGGTAAGAAACATGGTAGATTGATTTGATGTTGCTGTTTGCAGCTGAGAAAGGGCAACAGTTTGCAAAACGAAACAGACATTTAAAAGCTCCTCTTCTACTTATTAAAAACACATGTTCAAAGGGAGATTGCTACCAGATGCTGACTTTTAACAAATGATCGGCATATTGATTGCCACTGGGCCCTGCTGCTGTATAATCAAAATATTGATTAACTATACAATACAGCAAAAGTTTAAATGGAGAGGAAAGCTGTGTTTTGGCAAAAACTGTAGTGCTCCCTAGGAAATGTGCGTGTTGACAAGTGTTATTTCTTATTTCTTCAGAACCACCTTTAATAAATATTGCAAAACATCAACAGCTGAATACGCTGGGATGCCAAATCTCCATCTTGATATCCAAAGCGGCCTCTTAGCAGAGCAGGCTCCAGAAGGCTTTGAGTTCAGGGAGGGTTGCAGCTCCCTGAAGCAGCAAGGAAGAACAAGAAAATCAACAGCCCCCCAATGTTCACCCCTGAGCACACCATGACATGCGCTACCAAGAATCCACTGAGCAAAGACGCTGTAGGGATTGGATGCATTAGATCAGCACATCGGAAGGGAAGTCTTCACAGGCACACTCAACACACCAAATCCACAGAGACACTTGCCCTTGGTTACAGCAGGGAAAAGGTTCAAAACACTTTTGTTTACTGACTTGGAGAGGTCTGCTATATCAAGGATGAGCAATTCCTGCTCTTGGCCACCGTTTACTATCAACACCAGTGCAGAATGGAATGTTTTCTGCAGAACGTTTATTGCAATGGAAAAATATATAAAAAACCTTCCAAAACAATTTTCTACGGACAGTTACACCATTTCTAAAAATGAACTGTTTTATAAAATTAATTAATAACATAACGAATGGACACAACAGCGCTGCATTGCAGCAGAAACACTCTGCAGGGGAGTGTTTCAAGTAGCAGGAGAGAGATTCAAGAGCAAAGCTGTGCTGTTTTCAGCGTGGCACAGAGGTTAAAGAGGACCTGGGAGACCAGGGTTCAAATCCCCACTCCGCAAGGAAGCTCAGTGGGTGATCATGGAGACTAATCACCATCTCTCAGCCTAAACCGCCTCACAGGGTTGTCGTGAAGATAAAATGGGGAGGGGGAGAACCATGAATGCCACCTTGAGTTCCTTGCAGGAAAAGCGAGATATAAACGGAATAAAATTAAAATTAAAACAATCCAAAGAGAGGGGGGAATGAGAATATATTAGCAGCTCTCCTAGTTGTTTGGGGAGGGGTATAGGTTTTTTTTTGGAGTGGGGCGCAAAGGAAGGAGCATAGTTCAGTGTTTACAGCATGTGCTTTACATTCAGAAGGTCCCAGGTTCGTCCTTTTGTCTCCAGGTAGAGATTGCCGTCTGAAAGCCTTGAGAGCCGCTGCCAGTTGGTTTAGTAGCAGACGCTGCTGAGCTAGATGGACTAAGGGCAGATCCACTACCATAGACTTATAGGTCATCCAAGGCACATTTAAAGCATGTGATTTCACCCAAAGGATCCTGGGAACTGTAGCTTTGTTAAGGGTACTGTGAATTGTAGCTCTGTGAGCCAGAAACGACACTTCCCAGGATTCTTTGGGGGAAGTCAGGTGTTTTAAAAGTGTGTTTGGTGTGCTTTTAATGTATGGCGGGTGCATTTGCCAGACTTATCTGATTCCGTATAAGGCGGCTTCTTCAAGTTTCTCATCTGGATAACTGGTTGTCTCCAAGGCCTCCCCTCCTGGGTGTTGTAAGTAAGGAAACTCCCAGGCTTGATGTAAGCAGCTCCCAGGCCCTCCTCAAGAGTGACTGTACCAATACCTCTGCACCCAACATAAGGAAGGACATAGTGAAAGTACAAGCTGTTCAACACTGGAACAGGTCGTTTTGGAAGACCGTGGACTCTCCTTCACTAAGAGGTTTCCAAGCAGATGCTGGCTGGCCGACTATCAGAGGGACACGGCATCAGCAGATTTCTTGAGCAGCAGGGGGTGGGCAAGGTGACCTGTGAGGTCCCTTTATGACTCTGAAGACGTAGAAAAATCTGGCTAAGATTGCCTGCGCTTGGCACTTCTGAGGAACCAGCTGCCGATTATATTAGATACTGAAATCTGGAAAAGTTTTATCATATTTGGCTCCAACTTATGTACTTTTGCTTTAAAAATTGAGGCTGATACTGCCCATCTTTGGGGGGGAAAAATAATGTGAATTATTAAAAGTGTTGGAGTGAACAACCTTTCTTCTGCCAAGGACCACATTCCTTCAGGAGCCAGTACCAAAAGTTTGTTCGTTCCCTCTTTTGGATACCCTCTTCTCACCCTCCAGGAGGCAGCTTGCAAACGGACAAATCTCTCTTGCCAGAGGCTTTTGGAACGAGACCAAGTACTAGGCTGGCCAGTGGGGGTCAAAATGAGGCCAGGGCCACTGCACCTTTAACCATTGACTGGATATAGCTCAGTCAGTAGCACATGAGACTCTTTATCTCAAGGTTTGATGCCCACACCGGGCAACAGATTCCTACAGTGCAGGGGGTTGGACTAGATGACCCTCACGGTCCCGTCCAACTCTACTGTTCTGTGATTCTAAGGGTGCAGACTAGGGAATTTCAACAGGTGTAACTGACATGGTGGGACCCGGGTGGCGCTGTGGGTTAATCCACAGAGCCTAGGACTTGCCGATCAGAAGGTCGGCGGTTCGAATCCCCGCAACGGGGTGAGCTCCTGTTGCTTGATCCCAGCTCCTGACCACCTACCAGTTCGAAAGCACGTCAAAGTGCAAGTAGATAAATAGGTACCACTCCATTGGGAAGGTAAACGGCGTTTCCGTGTGCTGCTCTGGTTCGCCAGAAGCGGCTTAGTCATGCTGGCCACATGACCCAGAAGCTGTACGCCGGCTCCCTCGACCAATAAAGCGAGATGAGCGCTGCAACCCCAGAGTTGGTCACGACTAGACCTAATGGTCAGGGGTCCCTTTACCTAACTGACATGGCAAGCAACAGGAACACAGGAGGTTTCCTTATCCTGAGCTAGACCATTCGTTAGCTGAGCACTGCCTCCTACACTGACTGGCAGCAGTTCTCCAGAACGTTAGGCAGTTGTCTTTCCCCAGCTCCACCTGGAGATGCCAGGGACTGAACCTTCAAAGCAGCTGCTCTGCCTTCTGAGCTATGGTTATTCCCCCAAATGATTCGGCTGTGTTGTTCTGAGTCAGAAAAAGTGACCCATCTCGCTCAGTATTGTCTACACTTTCTGATAGTGGCTCTCCAGGGTTTCATACAAGTCTTAGCCCTACCAGGAGATGCCGAGATGCATGTAGAGGAACCTTCTACATGCCACGCAGATGCTCTGTTACTGAGCTATGGTCCTTCCCACACTGCTCTCAGGGGATGCCAAAAGCAGCCAGGGGAAAGTTTTCAGTCCCTTCTTTTTTCCTCTCTCTTAACATTTTTAAGGGAAGGGTCCCGTCTTACACTATTTGCAGATATTCAAATAGAAATGCTTTCAATAAAACCAGGAACGGCTTGAAAAGTGTACACTTTGTCGATTTCCAACACCAACACCACTGCCTTGCCCTCAATCAAATATTTCGTTTCAACTCTTTGACTATTGGAATAACTTTTTCTTTTAAAGATACAGGGCATTGGGACATTTTCCAGAGTTTTCTGGGAAATTTGCCAAGGCAAAGTTTTCCAGAAAACCCACATCGCTATCTGGGAAATGTGTGTGTTCTTGAAAAGGGGTGTGTGTGCGAGGGGGAACCAGCAACCCAGATGCAAATCTGCATTTCCCTAAAACTCTGAGCCAAGCTACACATCCTGGTAATAGTGGGTTTACAATTGCATGCTTAGATGTATGGCCAGTGCTTTCTTTCGGTTTGTTTGGTTTTTTAAGCAGCAACTAGGAAGTGCAATGAAGAGGGAGTGGCTTAACCCATTCCCCACATACCACTTTCCCACTGTTATTCCCCCATTCCGCCCCCCCCCCCCGGCAAAGTGCTAGTTTCAGCAGACAGCACCAATGTGTGCAACTAGCAGCTTCAACAGATAACATTTTCTGGTGATCAGGAGCTAATCCCCTACCTTGTAGATCTCATCTGGATTTCACCACCACTTCTTTGTTTCCTGAGGTTAGAGCATGGTGTTGATAGCGCCAAGGTTGCAGGTTCGACCCCCGTATGGGATGGCTGCCTGTTTCCGCATTGCAGCGGGTTGGACTAGATAATCCTCAGGGTCCCTTCCAACTCTATGATTCTAAGAAAGCACTTGCCACACTTCTAAGGGCGCAACTGTAAACACATCCTTAATGGAATGTATAGTTTGGCCCTCACATGCATTTTGTAATGGTCCAGACATGGGGCTGTATCCAATGCAAGCCTTACTCAGAGTAGACCCATTGAAAATAATGGGCAATACCAACCTAGGTCCATTAATTTCACTGAGTTTACTCTGACAATAGCATAGTTGGATACAATCCTTGAGATCTAGCCGCCCACGTATGAGACAGAGAGTTCCCCCACTTTAAAAACTACCGTATTTGCCTGAATATAAGCCTCACTTTTTCCCCAAATTCCGACCGTGAAAAGTGAGAGTGTGGCTTAAATTTGCGAACTTACAAAAATAGGCTTTTCCGATATCTCTCCTGAAACAGACATATGGTAAAATGGAATGAGTGTGAATGCCTGCGGAATTTTAAAGGAGTGGCTTATATTCGGGTATTGTCTTTTTTTCTTTTTCCCCCTTCAATTTTAAAGATGCAGCTTATATTCAGGCCAATACGGCTTTTATTATGTTTCTATCTCACCTTTCCTTCAAAGAGCCCAAGGTAATGCATATGGTTCTCTACTCCCCCATTTTATCCTCACAACAAGCCTGGGAGATAGGCTAGGCTGAGAGATGGGGACTGGCCCAAGGCCACCTGGGGAGGCGTATGGTTGAGCAGGGCCCCACTCAGCTGCCTTAAGCAAGCCTCAGCTTCTCCCCAGTCCCATTTGTTTTATCAGGATTAACTCTGCACGCCTGCTTTAGCTTCCTGCAGAAGCGAATGTACATAACTCTGAATGCACAAAGTGCCCCATAACTGCCAAGCATTGTTCTTGGCCACCCACATGCTCACCGTTGAAAAACAAAACACCTTGTACCTTGAACTCAAGGCCCTCAAGATGACAGCATCTCACATTCCAGCGCCACGGGTTCAGCAGCCCCTAAGAGAGACCCACTTCACAGAACTCTAGCTAGTTCTGCCTAAAAAGCTACTTCATAGCAGTCAACACGGAAAAAGCTGCTGCAAGTCCGGCACAGCTTTTAACAGCCCCCATTGTGCTACTGCCGAAATCCCAGATGCCTTTGACCACCCCTTGATTGTCACTTAGCAGCAACCATTCCATGAGGAATCCCGAACTGTTTCCATTTCAGCTGGTAATGGCAAGAGCTGCACCTTTAAGACCTGATGCTTGAGCTTGCCCTTTTCCTCTGCCCTTCCTACCCCTTTTTCCTTATGTGCCATGTCTTTTAGATAACAAGCCAGAGGGCAGAGACCGTCTTATTACCGCCCCTTGTAATAAGAGCCTTCTTGGCTAAAGAGCAGGGTAAAAAGGCTATAAATAAAATGCAAGTTGTCTTCATTGTGTGGTATTTCATCATCCCTGGGATAAATCAAACACCAGTTATTTGCAGCATTATTTAATGTGGATATTCTCAACTACAACACATTGGATTTCCTTTATTCTTCTCTCTGCCATCCCGCCTTTACTTCTTTTGAACCTTTCTTCAGTTCCTGCATATGCTTGCAGAATGCGAAAGTCCGTATATGTGTCTACTACAACCACAAATTGCTTAATATGTGACTTTAAAGACGCAGTACTGTACACAGGGACGCGGGTGGCGCTGTGGGTAAAACCTCAGTGCCTAGGACTTGCCGATCGCATGGTCGGCGGTTCGAATCCCCGCGGCGGGGTGCGCTCCCGTCGTTCGGTCCCAGCGCCTGCCAGCCTAGCAGTTCGAAAGCACTTCCGGGTGCAAGTAGATAAATAGGGACCGCTTACCAGCGGGAAGGTAAACGGCGTTCCGTGTGCTGCGCTGGCTCGCCAGATGCAGCTTGTCACGTGACCCGGAAGTGTCTACGGACAGCGCTGGCTCCTGGCCTATAGAGTGAGATGAGCGCACAACCCTAGAGTCTGGCAAGACTGGCCCGTACGGGCAGGGGTACCTTTACCTTTACCTTTACTGTACACATTTAGGAAACTACCATGACATTTGAGGTGGAGATTGGTGGAGATGAGGAGGTGAGAGATGTGGGAAATTGAGGCGCAATACTATATGTCCTGTTATCACCAAGTGTGCAACTAGGGAGAGGGAATTCTTCTACTGTGAAAATCTTAAAACTTTTCTACAAATAAACAAAGGTGTTCTGGGGAGTGGGTGGGAATCCAGTGCAACTAATAGTATAACAGAGAGGTTTAAGAGTTTCCATTGGAACGAAGCTAACACAACCAGACTGTTAATCTACCAGCATCCAGCATTAACACTGCTTGATAGGAAGGACAACTTTTCATTCATTCTCCGAAGCTTCCTGACTTGCAATCACAACACAGCTAAGGGAGGATTTCCCCCTCTCCTCCCCACTACCTCCTAAGGCTGAGCAGCGCAGATCTTTACAGAAGCAGATACATACCCTGTTCTTCCTGGCAGGGTATTCCAAGGGTGCCTCTTCTCTCGCAGTGAGTGTATAGACCATGAGCCCAACAGCAGTGGTCACAAGTCTTCAAAACACGGCTGGGCATTCATGAAGTCCAGAACCTACGATTTCAAAATAGTTACTTTTATTTTTTGAAAAGGAGAGATAGTATAGGTTTTCAGTTACAGGTAAAAATCTGGGAAAGATGTCCTGTCCAATGGTTAAGATCCTAATCTTATCCACCCAACATTGATGGTACGCACCCACCCACCTTCCTTGTTGATTATTACCCTTCCATCCAGACTGTTAAAACTCTTGCCAGTTTTTAATGCATATCAGCAGTGAAGCATCCAAAATGGAATGTCTAGTTGCCATTTTGGGGCTTGATGGTTTGTAAGTCATGTTTTTCAATATGACCTTCTGGCTCCTGAAATTCATTCTGATTGTGCAGATAAAATAGATCAGGTACAATTCTACAAGATGTGTTGCTGGTGTGTGAAAACTGTTAAGATCCAAGGATCCCCAGGCATGCAGCTCCAGATGGTGGAGATGTCAGGTGCCATTCTGACGCCCAGGCATCTTCACTTGGTCGCAAGTGGCCAATAGCCAGGTGCAAAACGCGTCTGGCAACTTTTGAATGCTGCCTATGTGACAACTATACCACAATCAAAATTCTTACTAGTATTGAAGGCTCAAAATATCAACATTTGTAAAGATAAAATAAAGGCAGCCTGAACATCTGATGCTACAGAGAACGTCTAAATCCACCCCATCACACATAACAGTGCTAAAAAGTGATGTTTGTTGGGCCATGCTTTGGTCTTCATGCTAAAACTTAAAGTGGGGCAGGGAGAAGCGTTAGCTTGGAGCATTGGAAATCTCATGGTCTCCAGAGCTTATTCAGATTCACTGGCCGGGTGGCATGAGGGGCTAGGGTTTTGCATATTTGATGTTAACCATTCAAAACCAGAATTATTGCAGGAGTGAAACGTATCTGTCTCTCGCTAGTTGGCACCCAGCACATTTGTGGAAATGACCTACAAATTATGGTAATTACATGCAGCTAATATATGCAACTTGCTCTAGCCCTTGGGCTTGAGATACATTTCCAAAGCTACCACCCTTTCTTGAATGTTTGAAAAAAATTGCTAAGCCCTCCATCACTGAAGTTGCTCAGTTGGGGATGGGAAGAAGGACTGGAATTAGATGCCTACTGGAAGAGCAAAGGTAGCCATGCTGACCCACTAAAAAAAAATCCAAATTCCAATATTAATGAAACTGGATAGAATACACCTCTATTACAAAGGCCAACTGAGAGTCTGTGCTGTGCAAAAAGTGATCTGTGAGTCTTAAGGAAGATGAAGTTCTTCTTTAGGAGTTCAGTGCCATGAAGCTACCTAGTTGGCTGTCAGCTAGACAACAAATATCTAATACCTAACAGGGTTGCTGTGAGGAAAAAACAGGGAAGGGGAGAACCATGTGCACCACCTTCAGCTATAAACGCAATAATACTAATAAAAATAGCATTTGGTAAGGCCACAGTCTCCCCACCTCTGCTTTGAGTAGCACAGCAAGGCAATTGAAAAACGCAGAGCTTCCAGGAGCTTTAGAGGAAATTTGTGGTTCGAAAGTCTATTCAAAGAATTTAAGGGATAGGCATCCCACTGGAGTCCAAAGCCATTCTGGAAGAGACAGAGCATCAATTGTTTTGGCCAGATTGCCTGAAGAGTGCAAACATTCTTCTCAATGGTAGCCGTAAAAGGAAACAACTTCCAGTTAATGTTTGCTTAACCACTGCTTGCAACAATTGTTAGTCATTTGTCATTAACAAACACGTTTCTATTACACTGCCACAAATTGGTTAACTTAACACTATGGCCTTGGCATCGTGTTACCACTGCGTGCATATTTAAATGTGTGTGTGGAGGGGTAAACCTGTGGCCCTCCAGCTGTTGTTGGACTACAACTCCCATCATCCTTGACCGTTGGTCATGCTGGCAGGAGCTGATGGGTGGGACTGCCCAACCCTGGCTGGAAGAACATCCCTGATTTAAATGGATAGTCCAAAATATCCACTAGCCATCCCTGATTTAAATGGATTGTCCAAAATATTTTTTTAAGAGCAGCACTTCATTATACTGGCAGTTCTCTTTCATTAAAAAAGATACCCTCAGAAATGCACACCTTAAGATTTGCTTTTTAAGAAAGAAAGACAAAAATCTAGTGGCTGCATTTAAATCTAAATTATAAGAGATATGTATTTTATGAACCTACTTGGCCACAACTTTTAGCTCAAAGGCCAGTATTTCAGAAACAAAGAAATACAAATTGTGCAAAACGAAGTATTTTAGGTTATTAGTATTAACTTTTTTTAAAAAATGAATATTGTTACTTTATTTAAAAACACACCTCTGAACTCACTGCTCGAGTAAACACTAAACCCCCTTGGGGGCAGGGTGTTATGCTTTTTTTAAAAAAATCTACCTCCACACCCTTCAGATAGGAAGAGAATATGAATAATGACTGGAAAAGCAAACCACACTGGAATGTGGCGTTTTGTTTGCACGTTTCCTACACAGCCAGTTAAAAAAAAGGGAACACATTTTCTACAGTTAGGGAAATCCCACTTCTCGTTTCACTAGCTACAAAGCACTTTCGTTGTTATCCCTTAATTCTTCAGAGAAAAAGACACCCAACTATCTCTTTGACAACCACTGCAAGCTCCTCCCCAAGACCTGGATCCTGTACCTGAGCCACAAAAAAAGAGTAAGTACCACAAAAAGATTGGGGAGCCCCCAAGCAGGACCCAAACACAAGAGCGCTTTCCCTCCTGTGGTTTCAAAAGCATTACTGCAAGTAAGCAGAGCAAAGCCATCATGGCTAGTAGCCATCAAACAAAGGCGATAAAACATCTAAAAGCATATCCGGTACAGATGCAGACTAGGAAAGGTCTCTTACTTAATAAGAGACTTGTTGAAAGGGAAAAGGCAACAGAGACAGAGCTGTCACCCCAAAACCTCACCCTGTATGAAGGTGGCAACGAGAAGTCTATACTACTAGGGCACCAGCGAAGTCAAGAACACTGAGTGCTCCACCCCATAAATTAAGTAATCCTCAGCATCTTAGAACAGAAGAAAAGATCTGCTAGTTCAGACCAAAGGCCCATCTAGTCCCGCATTTCATTCCTGGTGGTGATCACCTGGAATGTTTTGGGAAGCCCACAACCAGGGCACTGAGCCCTTTCCCAGGAAGACTTTGGTCACCCCTGAGGATGTGTGCAAGTCTTCTGAACACAATGGATCTCCTACTCATTTTTCCCTCACTTCCTCTCCTGTTTGTCTCATGTCTATTTCAGGATGCAAGCTCCTCAGGGCAGGGACCTGTCATACCTGTTTTTTTGTAAAGCAATTTTGTAAAGCAGTGTCATCCACATACATGATGTAGATGACACTAAAGAAATAAATAAGGGAACAGCCTCTTCAGCACTGAGGTATCAACAAGAGGTCATATTTATCTGACCCTCAATTGTGGAAGCACCTCCAAAATGATGTATTATGACCACAGTCCAAAAATTGACTTCCTGAAGGAGGAGACAGGAGATTGGTGATCTTGCACTACTGGTGGTGGGGAAGGTGTCAGTGTGCCAGACTTTGGGGGCGTGGAGGGGAAGGGACTGACCCTTTCCCATTTTCCTCCTCTCCCTTGGGGACATTCATTTGGAACAAGAAAAACCACACCCACGTTCCATGCTCACGACTAACACAGATTACAATATTTCACAGTATAGGGAGGTAGCGAAAGCGTGTTTGGGGTGGATTTAAGCGTAGGCGGAAGAATGACCGAAAAACATCAGTGTCAACTGCCTCTGCATATTAAATGATCTTTAATTTCTGAAAGGGGGAAGTGCCTCCTTCAAAAAGAAAAACCCAAAACCAATGACCACACATTCCAAACATTTATGAGAAAGTGGTGTGCGCATATGTGTTTAACCACAGTTTAACCATCCCACTCCGAGCACACCAGGATGGTTAAAATAGCAGCTTCCACCCTGCCACCACTTCAAGCCACATATTAAAAAGGTGCAGTCCCACACACTTACTTGGGAGTAAGCCCCTTTTGAATTTGGGCAACCTGCCTTGAGAAAACTTGCCCAGGATTGGACCATGGGTGGATCCTTACCTTGTAGCCTAAAAAGGGGAAGGGGGAGTTCCCACCAAAAAACAAAACAAAACAAAACCACACAATTTTGTGAATAAGGGCGGGTTTAATACCACTCCAATCTAAATTCACCCTGGCACACAAAGTGGCAGTGACGCCCCCCCCCCCAATCTCCTAGTCACACATCCTGGGGTGGGAAGCAAGCCTCTGAATTTACCAAGTAAAAATGCACCCAGATCAAGCGGATCCTAAGACCTAGCTAAAAGGAGGGGAAGCTTCCACAGACACAAAATCTGACTAGAGACTGCAACCAACTCACCTTCTGAGATGGGGGAGGAGACACTAATATTTGGGGTGGGGGTGTTGGAGAGGTGGGAAGTCAGGGAAGATTTACATGCCCCAAAGTTGGAAGGAGGGGGGGGAATGGAAGGCTCTCTCACCCCCTTCCTCCACTGCCCCTGCTTCCCTCATGGGGACTTTCAGGGGCCCCTCATGACCCACCCCAACCCCTCCAAGGGAACACGTATCCCCCCACCAGGGCTCCAAATCTTCCTCCTCCCTCTCTCCCCACCCCGAAGCCCCTTCTAACTCAGGGCAGTCCAAAGGGGAAAGAGAGACAGAGAGAGGGGGGCGATGGGGGGGAGAGAGCTGAGGACCTTGGCAGTTGCTCAAGGTGGGGGGGGGCAGGGAGCCCGTGTGTGAGGGAAGGGAGTGGGGGTGGGGGGTGGGGGAAACCGACGCCCCATCCCGAAACGGACGGGAAGAGAGACAGCCCAATTCACTCACCCCTCCGCACCAGCTCCTTACAGCGGCCAGGGCTCCCACTCGGGCTCAGCCTCCCCTGCATCACTTCCGGGGGGCGGTGTCCGTTTGGGGAGTCAGCTGGCGACGCGCTGACGCAGGGCGGCGCCCGCGCCGACGTGCCTGACGCCGCACGCCGTGAGGGCAAGAGGGGGCGCTGGACTCCCCCGCCCCTCCCTCCCTCCCGTCGTCCTCCTCCTGCTTCTGAGGTAAGTAAGGCAGGAAAGCCGCGTCGGGTGAAACTATGCTAGGCGGGAGGGTGGGGAAGGGAAGGGCGATGCCTGCCTCAGGTAAGGGAAGGTTGGAGTGCTCACGGGGGCGGGCGTGTCACGGTGGAGGCCAAGGGAAGCGTTTTGAAGTGAGGAGGTGTTGGTTGTGGGTGTGGCCTTCCGCACTCGCCACCCCGCTCCCTTCGTATGTTGGTACAGCCCAGATGGCTCCGCGGGCTCCCTAGAGCGCTTGACTTGTTCCTGCCCTCTCCTCTAGAGGGCGCCAAAGCACCTTGGCCTGGCGACAAAATGGCGTCGCCAATGTCAACCAAGAGAGGAAGAACCTGACCCACTAAATGCACCCCTTTATAACACCTTGACGCCTTAGTTGGGTCTCTTGGCAGTCAATCACACCCCCTGCCATCTCCTCCCAGTGCTGTGCCATTGCTCGCCTGCTGAAGCTGCCATGACAACCTCATTTTCAGGGGGTGGGGCTTGAAGGAGCTCAAAGGCGGGGCCTTGAAAACCATGGGGCGGAGCCCGATGGCTTAGTTGTAATTGGTAGTTGATAGGATGCTGCTTGAGACCGTGTCAGTCCATTGGGAGTCTAGTCTCCCAGGGTGAACCCCTAACACATTGCCCACCACCATTCCTGAAAAGATGCAGATTTGCATTGCATTTCTGTATTCAAATTTTTATTTATTATTTAATATGATTTATATGCCGTTCAAGTTCCCATCAGAAAAGGTAAGGGCTCCACCCCACCCCGCCACTGTACCCTGAAACTCAGGCTTTCCACGTAACATGCCGGTCAATTCTACACTATATACCGTATTTTTTGCACCATAACACTCACTTTTTTCCTCGTAGAAAGTAAGGGGAAATGTCTGTGCGTGTTATGGAGAGAATGGCTACGGGTGGCATGCCTACGGATTTTCCTCCTCTAAAAACTACGTGTGTGTTATGGTCGGGTGCGTGTTATAGAGCGAAAAATACGGTATGTAAAGCACAGTTACACCACTTAAAACAGTTACAGCTATTCCCTGGTCATGGGAAATGTAGTTTGTTAAAGGTGATGGGGATTGTACCTCTGTGAGCTCAACACCCTTTGCAAACTACACTTCCCAGAATGCTTTGGGAGTAGCTATTTTGATTGGATGCCGGGTTAGGGGTGACCACAGTTTCTGTTGCCCCATGACACCATCTCATGTGTTCATCACCACCACCCATAAGTCATAGGTAGATAGGGCGTTAGCCACGAATGGGGAAACTTTGGGGTCTCCAGCTGTTGCTGGGAGCCAACAGCTTTCACCCCCAACCATTGGGCATGCTGGCTGGGATTCTTGAGTTGGATTCCAACATTTGTAGAGACACAGTTGCCCCACCAATGGTCTTAGCTGATTAAATTATTAAATTATATTCAAGCCAGCAGTTAAAACATCAGTGACAACTGAGCAAAGCTGAAGCCCGCAAAAGAAACCCAGGAACCCACGAACGTAAGGGAAGCCTTTGTTTTAAGCCTACCCTTGAAAGCAATAAGCGAAACTGAAATAAGGAGAGGAGCAAGAGCAGCACTTGCTGTGTGTATGTGGCTTTCCACCTTCAACCCAGAAACCATCAGCATTACTGGAGCATCTTTTGAATGGGCTCAGTTGATCTGAGTCAAAGCAATGGGAGGTAGGAAGGAACTGGTCATATCATGGGCAAGCGTAATTCATGGGGAATAATTAGTTTCATTAATATTTAGATCCATTGTTTTATTTTGGCCTTGGCCCAGTACTTGATAATTTCTATTATTTTCTGCGTGCTTAGTCACCTTTGCCAAAAGGCCAAAAATGAATAAGAAGTGCAAATCTATTATTTTGCTCCGGATTTGGGTTGTATATTTTTGGATGCCTTATTCTTATAATGAGTGCAGAGATAGCTGAGAATGTCATTTGTCGTGCTGAAGAAAAAATAAATAAAAGAAGAGTTCCAGGAAAAGACTTTATTCATGCTGCTGAGAGTGAAATTAAGGTGAAATTAAATTGCTGGGCTACAACGTTGGCCAAATTCTACATGTATTGATGTTTTGGGAGAATTTCCTAGGGGGTGGGAAACTGTTGTCTGATTGCATTTTTAAAAATGGAATAAGGCAAATCTTGTCCCATTAGTCTTCATCAGAACATTATTTTTATTTTATATAACAAAATTTATATAATTGATTGAGTAGAACCTCAAAGCAGTTTACATACAGAACAAAATACTCAAATTATCATTAAATACAATTAAAAGTGGGTATTAAAAACATTCGAAAGCAGCTGCAAGCTAAAAAGAGAGTAAAAAAATCAATTTCTGTATGTCTGGATAAGCTTGCCTAAACAAAGATGTTTTAAGAAGGCACTGAGAAGAGTCCAGCAAAGGCATTTGCTTGATGTCAACAGGCAAGGAATTCCCAAGTATAGGAGCTGCCACAGTAAAAGTTTCATTTCTTATGAATGCGGAACAAATATTATGTGGCACCTCTAGCAGTGCCAATTCCATAGATCGAAGTGGCCGAGTGGGCATACTGAGTGGGTAAGGCGATCCCACAAGTGCAAAGTATAAGAGGCTGAGGAGTTCTAAATTTTCTTTTTTAAATTATGTCACCAAATAGGAGCGAGAATAACGTTTGAAAAAGCAAGGAAATGTGCCTATGATCCTTCCCTCTCTCAATTCCACCCCATGGTTGGTAACGTTACTATCCAAATTGCCTTTGGTTTCAGGTCATCCGTGTACATTTTTTCCTGACAGAGCAGATCTTGGATGTATTCGAAGCAATGAAAGGATTTCTCTAGAAAAGAGCTTGAGTCAGTGTTTTGCTTCCGCAACTAGGAAATGCAGTGAAGGGCAGGTAGAAGTCCTTGCAAGATCATTGGCGGCTCCTGAGCAGGTCCATCTCTTGTTCCTCTGAACCGCCCAGTGCTAAGAATTGCTGCTTTTTATATTTATTTTTTAACGATGGGTCCATCTAGTTCAGTATCCAGCTTCTGACTATGGCCAACCAGACTGTTTCTAAAAGATTGGCTATTTTGTTTATTGAAAACCACCCCCTCTCTACTGTTCAGGGAGAAAAAAAGACTCCCCAAGTGAGGACTTGAACCCAGGTTCTCCAGCCATAGCCTAATACATTCACCACTACATTGAGTTTCAGAATCACAGCTGCCAATGCACAGGAACGAATCAGGGACCTTTAGATATTGGCTGCATTCGTATCTAATAGTAAGCCATAAACCAGAGATGGGGAGCCTCAGGCCCGTGAGGCAAATGCGGTCCTCCAGGCATCAATCCCACATGACAAGAAGGGCTGCAACCCAGTAGTAGAGCATCTTCTCTGCGTATCGAAGATCCCAAGTGCAGTTCTCAGCATCCCCCATTAGGGCTGGGAGAGAACCCTCTTGGTAACCCTGGAATGTCGCTGCCAGTCTGCGCCAACACTGCTGAGCTAGGTGGAACCAAGGCTCGGTTTAAGGCAGCTTCCTAAAATTCCCGACTTCACACGGAAGATCAGAGCAGTGCATTGCTAACCGGCTTGCAACCTCTTCAGCAGCTGCAGCCCTAATCCCGTTCCCCTTTTGCTCAAATCCCAGCGCACTAGTCGAAACAGAAGCTTGCCCAAGTATCTTGCACAAAGAGGGGGGCGTTTGAAATGCCCACCTGCTCCTGGCATCGTTAAACCAGATGAGCTGTTGTCACAGGGGGGGAAATGAATCCTGTTCATGCCAAACGACTTGATAGTTTAATGCGTAACTGTGCACTGGAAAGAAGGTGATCTTCTCAGCCAAGCAAAGAATCCTCCTTCGTTCCCCTTCTCTTCAATGTCACGGGGGGCGAAGCATGCCAGCTGTTCATTCTTCCTACTAGGAAATCTGCTGAATGTCCACCCCAGCGGCAGGCCTGTTGGCTTTCTTCGCTCGTGTTTTACCCCAGGGTTGAATTTGACCCACTGACTTTTCCGTTGTTGCTGCAGCTTAAATGTGCGGAGCCGTGAATGATGATCTGTCACCGCTCCCAGCTGCAGAGCAATTGTGGGCCATCACTTCAGCTAAGTGTTATAATTTAGCTCTTAAGACAGCGAAATGGGGACTCCCGACACCGGCCGTTCTTGGAAAGGCGCCCGAGAGTGGCGTTAAGCAGGCGCCGAGAACAAAGGCCAGAACGTCCCCTGCTGATGTGATTCCTCCGCAGGAAGGTAGAACAGTTGCTTTGTATCGAGAAGGTCCAAGTTCAACCCCCAACATCTCCATATGGGGCTGGACGAAAAACCAAAGGTTCTCCCGATCTGACCTGCACTTGGTGAGGACAGTGCTAAGATAGATGAGCCAATGGGTCTGATTCAGTATAAGCCAGCCTCCTGTGTTCCTGTGCACACATGGATGTGTGGTATTAAGAGGCAGACAGCGGGAGACCTCCTACCCCCAGAGGGATCTTAGAAATGGGTTTCCTTTCTGAAGCTTTCTGAGCTCAAATTAGGAAGCTGCTGTGCCTTTAGTGTACAGTTGTGGGGAACTGTCAGCCTTCCAGATTTTCCTGAACTCCAAATCCCATCAGCCATCAAGCATGGCTCAAGGCCAGGGATCATGGGAGTTATAGCAAGATCTTGAGGGCCAAAGGTCTGCACACCTGAGCTAACTGCTTAGCATTTTTGTGCAGCAGGGATGGGGGCCCTGTGGCTCTCCAAATGAAGGAGCTGGCTATGTTGAGCCTGGAATGAGGAGTCAGAGAGGATATCTGATAGCCATCTTCAGATATCTCAAGGGCTGTCCCATGGAAGATGAAGCAAGCTTGTTTCCTCCTGCTCTGGAGGGTAGGACTCAAACCAGTGGATTCAAGTTACAAGAAAGGATATTCCGACTAAACATAAGGAAGAACTTTCTGAGAGTAAGAGCTGCTCAGCAGTGGAACGGTCTCCCTTGGAAGGTTGTGGACTCTCCTTCCTTGGAGGTTGGCTGGCCATATGCCATGGATGCTTTAGCTGAGATTCCTGCATTGCAGGAGGTTGGACTAGATGGCGCTTGGGGTCTCTTCCAACTCTACAATTCTATGTTTATACGATTCAAATGTTGTTGGACTCCAACTGCCATTAGCCCCAACAATTTTGGCCAATGGACAGGGAGGACGAGAGTGGTAACTCAACATCATGTGGAGGGCCACAGGTTCCCCAGATGTTGCTACAACTTGCATCATCCCTGGCCATTGGCCATGCTTACTGGGGCTGATGGGAGTTGCAGTTCAGCAATATCTGGAGGGCCAAAGGTTACCCATCCTTGTTCCAGAGTGCTGAACAGTGGCCAAGTGCCCAGTCCAGCTCCAAAACAGAAAACGTCGTATTCACGGTGATGCTGTGGTCCCTTCATTGGAGGAGAGGTTTAAATCTGGTTTGCCCAATAACTGCACCAGCCAAATCCAGCCCCCTAATCCCCTGTTGTGGGACAGGCAATCTGGCTTGGCCGGTTTCTGAGCCGTTCTGAAAGACCACCATTTTCCTTCAGTCTCCCAAAGCCTAGTTAAACATTTGCCATCTGTTCCTTGAGAAATGACAATAGGTCGCCTTTGCTGAGAACAGTTAAGAAAGGGAGTATTGTGCCCATCTTGTTGAGAATTGCTATCTGGATTCACAGACAACGAAAACTTAGTCTTGAGTTCACAGAAACCTCCAGCATTAAAAGACCAGAAACCCCGAACAACAGACAAGCTTCTGTTCTGAGACCTAGGTTGGATCTGCATTCATCGTCCTTGAGTCAAATGTGTTCGTGTTTTAAATGGATCACTGGCTTGGATCCAACATGCCCTTTGACATACCCTCAAACATTTCTCCGACAAAAATATGGACGTCCTAATTTTACTATTTATACCCCACCCATCTGACTGGGTTGTCCCAGCCACTCTGGGCAGCTTCCAACATATATAAAAACATAATAAAACATTAAACATTAAAAAAACTTCCCTATACAGGGCTGCCTTCAGATGGCTCAGGGATCTGATAATTCCATAGCTTCCCAACATTTCTTTACTGAAAATAGAGACGTCCTAAGGAAAAACAGGACATTCCGGTGTCAAATCAGAAACTGTGGCGGCGTCTGTAAATCCGGGACTGTTGCTGGAAAATAGGGAAACTTGGAGGCTCTGGGATTCCCACCTCCTTCCCCCAAGTTGGTACACGGAAAGTAAATGTTCTCTGTCATTGGCAGATGATAGTAGTTTTCTGTCTTTTCTGGTTCTTTGTGTTCAGCTAAGAGCCATTAAAATATTTGAAAACTAATTAAGGAGTATGTGAAAATGTCCCATCTGTTTGGAGGCCTCCTCCCACCCCCACAAGCATAAATGTTGGTGGGTCTGTTCCCTGTTTCTCTAGATGACGCCCGTCACCCGTCAAGAAGTTCTTGGCCTTTATCGCAAGATATTTCGCATCGCCAGAAAATGGCAATCGGCATCCGGCCAGATGGAAGAGACCATCAAAGAAAAACAGTACATTATAAATGAAGCAAAAACGTTATTCCTAAAGAATAAAAATGTGAGTGTTTGTCTTGCTGAATATTTATGGGTTTTGAGTTGGCATCGAAGATGGCAGGAGGACTGGCTTCTTCCTGCTCTGTCCCAGCTGACAGGGCAAATGTTCTTTGTATGCAGACGGTTGCTTCTTTTTAGACCAGACTGTGATCATCATCGGGTTTCCCCATGGAAGAAACAAATCCAGGATCTATTATGAAACTAATGAAGCTTAAGCTTCAGGGCCCCTAATCTTGGAGGGGACGCAGAAGCAACTGTAGTAAAAAATTTGGGTCTATTAGACCCAATTTGAGTTGCAATCCCAAAGTCAGCAGCACAGATGATGTAAAGGTGTGGTGATCTGTGATCTGTTAAGATAGCAGTGGTTACCCAGACCTTGTTATCGGTTGCGAAGGGGCCCCCATGACAGTTCAAGCTTCAGGGGGCCCCAAATGTACATCTGCCAATGAGCAAATCATAGGTCGGGCAGGGGCCACATTTCCTTCTTGGCAGCCTCCCAGGGGCCACATGCTGCTGGTGGGTGGGGCCATATGTAGAAGAGGGCAGAGTACATAGCTGTCAACTTTTCCCTTTTCTTGCGAGGAATCCTATTCGGAATAAGGGAATTTCCCTTTAAAAAAGGGAAACATTGACAGCTATGGCAGAGTAACAAATGTGAATCTCACCTTTGTAGAATAAGCTAGTTTCTGCACCGGCTCAGACATCCCTCTCTTCCTTCCATCCAGATGTAAATCCTACTGAGGTGGCGTACAAAAAAACTCTGACCTGTTGTTGTTTTTAAACAACAGCAACAAAAACCACATACCCACCCACAACAATACCAGCATTTGAAAAGCAATCAGGATCCTTCCCACAGAGCAGTTCCTGGTTAAATGGCCTTAGCACAGGGCGCAACCCAGTTGTAGGTCCTGAAGGACCAGCTGAAGATCAGTGTGGTGAAATACCACCGTAATGGGCTGTAATCTGATGCAACTGTGTCGAATCGTAGAGTTGTAAGGGACCCTAAGGGACATCTAGTCCAACCCCCCGTAATGCAGGAAATCTCAACACTGTCCTCCATCCAATTTGAAACTCTGTCAATTTGAAATCTCATCCAGTTTGAAACCAGACCAGACCCTGCTTTTCTTTGCAAACCTGCTAGCAGTTTTATTGCTGCACAAAGACAAAAGCCTGTGGTTTTTAGCCCCCTAAGAGTTCAGTAGCCTGTGTTTTCATGTTGGCTGTAGAGGTGGGAGAGGCTAGTCCAGGCAGGGAGCCTCTTAGCAGGCTAGTTACAAAAAATGCCTTCTGCCAGGCAGGCTGGCTAAGCAGGGGGTTCCATCCCTGCTCCAACCAGCCTCTTGGATTTCCATCTGTGGAGGAAGAGGCTTTCCTTTCTTCAGATGCTGCTGCAACTCTGATCAGCCCCAGCAAGCACGGCCGATTCAGCCATGTTCAGCAATGTCTGGAAGGCCAAAGTTACCCCACACCAGCTCTGTGCATAGCATAGCAAGAGGTGGACTGTAGTGACCCATTCTTCCTTTGCCAGCCTGCTCATTCACTTGCATGGAATTCCTGTTCGCCTATGACTACCAGGCGAAGGCTCAAATGTAAAGCATGCGAGTTCTGTTTTAAGAATTCCTCCTTTGGAATGTTTGGGAGACAAAAAACCCCATGGTTTTGCTTTCCTGAACTGTGAGCGATATATATTTTTATCAAAAGTAGACCTACAACTTAATTAAAAGACAGCGCAGTCCAAATGGGTAGGCACGAAAAGAGCTCAAATTAGACACTCCGTGGGAGAACAAAGAGCTGCTCTGAGTTAAATTTGGAATCAATCAAAGGGCCGCTCAGAACCCAATCCAGAGAAGAGATATGGGTACCTCACATTTAACAACGCTCTTTGATCCCATTGATTTAAATGGCACTTAGGCACACAAATTTCCTTCCGAGTGTGCTGTGTGGCCTTGATCAGCAGCGGACATTGAACGATGCTAAAATTTGGCACCCCGACCTCTCCTGATCCGTTCTGTAGCATTGTTTCGGCACCCCCTGCAGGCTGACGCCCAGTGCTTCCGCAGCGGTCCTGCTAGTCTAAAACCGCCTCTGCCTTGATACTTGGCCCAGTGGAGGCTGGTTTGTTAAGGTGAATGGGCCATTGCCCCACCAGCCTCAGCCTCAACCTCAGATTCTATTTTTTAATAAAGAGAATCAATAGAATGTCATTGCCTGGGCTAGTGGGAGAGGGAGGGGGGAACCCTGCAAGGTGATTTTTGAGATGGCTAATTTCTACATGGATTCACAGCTTTCTATTTTGATTTCTGTTTTGTCTTATGTTGTTTGAGAAGTTAACAGATCCGAAGCTGATTAAACAATGTATAGACGAATGCACAGCGAGAATAGAGATAGGACTTCACTATCACATCCCATATCCAAGGCCTGTAAGTAGAAATCCACCTGATGTGAATATCTTGGCCCCATTACTCCATAGAATTCCACATGTTCTAGACAGAAGCTACTGAATCATCCCATTTGCTTCTCCAGGAACAATCCTACAATTACTGCTAAGCACATGAGTCAGATTGAATCAGGAGTATATCTTCAAAGATGTCTCCCACATCTGCAAGAGTCATTAAAATGATGTCTTTTAGTAACACAAGTTGCTTGGAGAATCAGGATGTTGGCTTGATATTTAATTACCATGTAGCACCGATTCTCAAATTTTTAGACTTCAAATGATATTAATTATCAGCCCACAGACAGTCACAAAGACAGTTCCTTCTGTCAGCATTCAGTTCTTTTTGCAAGTGGGGGTCCAATATGGCAGTAATCCATTTGTTTCCCCCCTGCCCATACAGTGTTTACCATGATTTTACTCCCCAGATCTCAGAACCTAGGCTGAATTGATAAACCACATTTTTGAGATCGGCTGGGAAATCAGAGACCACAGCCAGAAATTGGATTGCAAACCCTCATTTGGCAGAATGTTTGAATTGACAAACCATGATTACGTCCATTGTTGTGCTTCCAGAGGCCATTGGCTCAGAGACATGAGCACGGAGCGAACAGAAAACAAAAGCAGACCCACAGCTCTAAATTATGGTTTGCCTGTACCTTTGGAAGCTCACTTCATGGTTTGGGTTCTGAACGGTGGTCAGTGGAAACCATGGTTCAGCACAATATCTGAATTGAACCTCTGGTCTTACTTCAGTGTAACAGTAAATGGTGAAAATACTAATCTTGGTCAGTTGGTTCCTTCTCACCCTTTCTGGAGCAAGGGGTGGGAAAGGAACCCTGGCTTAGCATTAAATCTGAAGGAGATATACTGGTTTGTTTGCTCCCAAAGCCAAAGTTAGCTTACTTACTGATCATGATTTCTTAGAGCAAAATCACTAATGATCTCTGGTTTGGAAACCAAACTGTTTCCTCCACACACTAGGAAGGAGGAGATAAATGGTCCAGAAATGCATGTCCATGGTAAACATTAGCTATGGTTCAACCTAAGGTGTGAAAAGATGGACCATGGCATGCCTTTATGGGGACAGAAACTGGGATGTGACTCCACTTCTTCCAGGCCCACATGCAACACCCCCTTCATTGGGCTATGGCAGGGGGGTGGAACTGGTTGCATGTGTGTCTGTTTTCTGATTTTTTGCAGTTTCCAAACGTTTGGGTTTTTAAAAATTATTTTCTCCTTGCTTCTCATAGACTCATCTGCCTCCCATGGGTCTCGCCCAGCAGCACGGCCGTACTTTTCGACATCAAGAGAAGCTGAGGAAGCTTTCCAAGCCAATCTACTTGAAATCCCACGATGAAATTTCATAATCAAGACTGTTGCCTGTGCCATCCCGGACTGCTTGGCAGATTCCTTTCATGCATAAATGAAACTGGTGTGGTTTGCACTTGCTGACATCGCCCTCAAGGCCAGGGGCCCACTTGATCCTGAGAAGGCGATGAGTAAGGAGACAATCAAACGGTCTTGTATTTATTAAGAGTCAGCAGATGACTCACCAATAAAAGTCAGATGATTTATGATAGGAAAGGCAAAGTGTGATGCGTCTTGCATTGTAGAAGGATATAGCACCATGCAGAAAGGGTCAATAATCTTCTGAAACCTAAAATATTGTTTTTCAAAGACTACAGCAGCATGGTGTGGCAAGTAGAAAACACCTCTAGTAGACAACAGAATGGTCTAGTTTGGGCAATATTTTCCCCGGCCTTTTTGCACACGGCTGAGGAGTGAGATTGTGCCTTCCATTCCTACCCACTGGCGGCCCTAGTCTCTCTCTACATCCTCATGCAGAGCCGTAACTTGTGCATAAAATCCAACGCATGGAGGCCTAGCCAGTGGGAGATCCTGGCATGTTTCATGTGCGCCTATTGGGAAGTAGATGTCAGCCCACAAGCACTCATTCAGCATGTTACCCACCCAACTCATTTTAAGGCTCTTGTGCCTTTGATGAAGCACTCGGTCGGCTACTGTGCCCTATGTTTGAAAAAGGACAGGGTTGAAAAACATCAGCAAAGACAGAAAATAACCCTCTGGCAAGATGCCTGAAATAGCCCTCCAATTTAGACCAGGGTGGGAAACCTTTGACCCTACAATATTTGAGGGAACCACAACTCCCATCACTCCTGATCATTGACCTTGCTGGCTGGAGCTGATGGGAGTTGGGAGTCCAACAACATCTTGAGGACCACATGTTCCCCATCCCCGGTTTAGGCCTCCCTTTCAATGGATAACACTGTAATTTTAAAGCAGGGATACAGATCCTGTGGCCCTCCAAATGTTGTTGGACTCCAGCTCCCATCAGGCCCAGCCAGCATAGCTGATGGTCAGGGATTATGGGAGTTGTAATCTAACAACATCTGGAAGACCACAGATTCCCTTGTTTTATAGCTGAAGGTCTAATCTAGATTTGCGTGTGGGTCAAAATCTGCCCTGCTATTAAGAACATACTGTTCATGTCAGGAGATGGTACCGGCCAATTGTTAACATAAACAGAACTCCAGACAAAGCATGGAATAATCTACCTAAGGTTAGCAGGATAGTAGTGTCTCTGGCTGCCATAGGAATAATGCAGGTCAGCCTGAGCTGTTTCATTTGAATGGGGTGATGCGGTGAACAGCAGCTTATGAACACTTCTTCAAGTGTTTTGTGTTCTTGGTAGCAACTTGTGTCAACAGGGTATGACTCAAGTAAGAAACCTTTTTCATGCAAATGACTTGAAAGCACAACTTTTATCCCATCAGAGAATTCTACAAGGTAGAAATGCAAAGTCCTCTTCTTTTATCTCTGTTAAGGCTGAATTGTTTCTTGTGTTGTATTTGTGGAAACGTCATTGTAAGAGGCCTGAGTTACTCTTCCCCAGAATGTGTAGCTTCAGTCATTGCACACGTCCTCTAAAATGTGTCCAGCCCATTCACTGCTTGAGATATATGTTGTCCATTAACCACAGACAGCTGTGCAGAGGGTTTTTCCCCTTTGAATATCCATCTTTTGAATTCTGGGCTTAAAGGAACTAAAAGCTTGAATATCCAAAGTATATAAATAAGGCAAGTGAGCTGGTGCAATGAGGTATTGCGTGGCCTAATTAGCTGAGTCAATATTACTATCTGGTTATGGCAAAAGCTCAGGGGTAGAACACCCAGTTCTGCAAGCAGCTCACTAGATGGCCCCAGGCAATCAGAAAAGGGTCTCTCTTCAACATTCATGAATTAAACAGCATCCAAACCAGCTGACTCCTGGGAAAATGCAACTTGGTTTTAAAAAAGAGCAACAACAAAACCGAGCCCCAACAATATACACCTTTTCAGCTTTTGAAATTTGATCAGGGCGTCTTGAAATTGCTGCTCTTTGAAAACCTGAAGTTATTACACCTACGATCCCCTTTCAAAGCATTTTGCGCTTCTTTGAGAAAAGACTCTGCATAAGCAGAAAACAGTTTCACGGAGTTAATTAAAGCTTCCACAGGAGAAGGCTGGAAGGTACTGCCCAGCAGAAAGTGCATACCTAAAAAGAGGAGCTGCTGCTGCAGGCTCCCCCCCCCCCACTCCTCGGAGGGGCAAGGCTGGTTTCCCCACACTGTCTGTCTTGTGCCTCGCACCCCCCCCCACTTCAAGTGGACACTTCCCTTCTTTATGTTTTTCCCCATGAGTAAGGGTTACAGCATTTGGGGCATTTTAGCTCATCAAAAAAACAAGGACATAATAGAAGTGGATACAATTGTGCATCATGAGGAGAAAATGGCCATGAACAAACCTTTTTTCCCCCTCTTAATACCAGAGCCAAGGAATCAGCCAATGAAACCGAATGGCTGACAATGCAGTGTCTTCCATAGTTCATCTGTGCACAATAGGCTATTGGCACAACAGCGCCCTCCCCACTTGTGATTCTCAGCAGCTGGCACTGAGTGGCAGACTGCCTCTGGCAGTGTGAAGCAGAACACAGCCATCATGGCTAGCAGCCATTGATTGCCTTATCCATCAAATCCGTCAGCCTTTGTTTTTAGGCAAGTCCATATGTCCTCTGATATTTGGGGAACACCATTGCTCACCATAGCTTTGCATGCAGAAGGTTCCCAGGGTCAATCTCCAGCAGAAGGTGATAAGAGAGAGCTCCCATTTAAGGAGCTGCTGCCTTTCAGAGTAGTAGAAACAAAATTAAAAAATTCCTTCCAGTAGCACCTTAGAGACCAACTAAGTTGGCATGAGCTTTCATGTGCATGCACACTTTTTCAGAGTAGGTAACTGCGTTAGGCAGAGATATACTCTAACCTGGTCAAAGGCAGCCTTCCTATAGAATTGGCAAACCAAGCAGGCCACATTCCAAGTTTTTCAACCTTGGCACAAGACAATTTCCCTGGAAGCAGATGCTCTGCCATGTGTCTTTCCATCCTGCATGTCTTCCTTGCTGCTCGAGATACAATTATTCAGACATGCAGCCTATGTGTCATATTTGACTCATCCTCTTCTTTCTTCTACATCCAATCCAGTCATTTCTTCCTGTCCAACTGACTACAATAATAGCTTTTCCCCTTTGAAGTTGTTCCTTATCTATCCTACTGCTTTCTATGCTGCTGTGGGTGTCTGTCCCATACTAAATAAATGAAAAGGTGTGTGTGTGTGTGTGTGTGTGTGTGTTGACTAATCAAACAGCAACATAAAGGGGGAGGGGAGCAATAAATAAATAAAAATCAAAGGTGGCAGACTTAAATAAACTTTGTGATGCCCAAAAATCTGTGTTCCCCTCACAGAGCTGCAAGCTCCAGAGTTCTCTATGAAGAGGAACTAACCACTCTTGGCACCCTTAATAACTCCAGTGCCCAGGATTTTAGAGGGGGAAGTCATGACTGTGTAAATAGGTATGATACTGCTTTAAATGTATGGTGCAGATGGGGCCTAAAACCACAAGATTAACATCTGAGGCAGAGAGGGGAAGGCAGAGGGCAAGGAAGACGTTACATAGGAATGGATGGATTATGAAATCACAGAATCAAAGAATCATAGAGCTAGAAGGGAATAAAGGGTCATCTAGTTCAACATCCTGCAATGCAGGGGCTCAAACCCATGACCCTGACCTGAAAATGAAAGCCATGGTAGGAACTGGGGAAAGCCAGAAGTGAAGTTGAATGAAATGCCAAGGCAAAGAGTTCAGTGAGAGATCTGGCAGTGGTGCCTTTTGCTTCCTCTTTCTGGGAGCACCCTCCTGAGTCACCCTGAGAGCAAACGGGTTGCTGTGAGTGTGGCTGTTAGAACAGGGGAAAGGAAGGGCCCACTTCTCAATCCTCAATACAAAATGGCTCGACCCAAGAGAGAAAGCAAACTGAGAGCAAAGCAGAGAGGACCTCCAGACCATCGCTAGTTTTGGGTGAGATTCAGCCACATCCCAGCAAATCCTGGTTGTGCAGTCGAAGGCGATTGGGAGGCCTTGCACAACAAACCCACTCCCCCCAAAAAAAGAATGGTCTTTTTACAATAAGAGATGAGAAAGTGCCCTGGAAAGTGTGGGATAATGCTGGCTTGAAGCAACATCGCTCACATGCACAGCATACATTTAAAGCACATGGCCTCCTCCAAAGGACCTAGAGAACTGTAGTTTACCTTTCACAGCACTACAATTCCCAGGACCCTTAACAAACTACATATTTGTTTGTGAGATTCTTACCCCATACAAGCCCTCTCGGACTGCTTTGATCTGTGGAACTGGCACTGTTACAGATGTTCTGCATCTGTAGGAAACTGATCTTTTAATGTGGTGGCCCCTATACTTTGGAACTCCCTGCCTATTGATATCATGCTGGCAGCTTCAGTGCACTCTTTTTGGTACCTACTTAAAACATTCTTGTTTAGACAAGCCTACTTCTCTATCTGAAATACTGATGTGTTTTTAGTTCACTGCTGGTTTCAATTTTCTGAATGTTTTAAATTGTTTTTACTAATAATTTTATTGTATTCTTTTTTAAAACCCCTTTGAGGGTTGGTGTTGTTTTTAGAATCAAGCAGCATATAAACTTTATGAAATACATGCATGCAAACATAAATGTATGGTGTAGATGCAGCTGCTGTCTAACCTCCTTGGAAACAAATCAGGATGAATGTGCAATAAAACAAGTTGCTCAAACCTTAGGTTTTCTTTATTTTCAATGGGGCGATGGTTGTAGCCTGATACTTCTTTCTTTTCAAAGGGGCAATAGTTGCAGCCGTGCTTTTTCATCAGAAAGCACAGGCATACGACACCAACCATTTAGTCATCGAGCTGGCAAAGCGCAGCTACGCCCCTATTGATCCAGTGCTTCTGGGGCAAATCGGAAGGGAGCTCAATGGAGAGCACGTAATTGGTGGAGTGGCCAGTGGTGGACAGGGTGCCTCTCCTGGCACTGGTTTTGTAGACGGGGCACAGGTAAATCCCTTCGTGCAAAAATTTGGAGCTCTCGCCAGGTTTCAGCCAAATGATGGGCAGGGAGTCGTAGAGGATTTTGGGGAAAGACTCTCCAATCCGCATTGTCTCCCTGTCCCAGCGGGCCCCTTCCAGATAAAGCCCTTTCACGTAGGCTCCATCTTCAGGCAATTGAGCCATACTGTGCTCCTGTGTCATCACCTAAATTGGGTGGGGGAAGGAAGGAAGAGATGGTGTATTAGAACATGGCTTAGGTCTTGCAGAAGGAAGGTTCTATCCAGTGCTAGTTGCTAGCCGAGACAAGGAATGGCTCCTGCAGATCTGAAGCACTGAAGCAGGACTTGCTGAAACATCACAGCCAATCCTCTGTGACTCAATCTACCCAGAAACGCCCCAAGTATCTACAAGGACTGCCCATCATGCTTTCTTCCCCATCCGACTAGCTCACTACGGGCTTCTTAAACATAAAGAATGGAAGAGAAATATCTACAAATGCTTGCAAAAGCTAGATCCCAACACTGGTCCTCATATTTCTAAATGCTCATTATGCTTTAGTTCATAATGCTCTCCAGACTTATTACTTTTGAATCTGTACTCTCTGCACAGACATTTTCTGAGACAGGGTAAGGGTAAATCCCATAGCTCCTCCCCCCCCTTTCTCTAACAACATGCCATCAATTATTTAATATTTTACTATTATCTTCTAACACTAAGGGATCAATTAAGTAGGAAAACGGCCTCTGTTGTTTCTGGCCTTTGAATGCTCTGAATGGACTCTGGAGGATGCAGCTTCATAAATCCATGTTTTGTGGAAGGAAGGAAGGAAGGAAGGAAGGAAGGAAGGAAGGAAGGAAGACTTTTTTTTACCAGCCTCAGTGTTTTACAATGGAGATCAGTGGTACCATCAGAGCGAGTGTGTGTGCCCAGGGCTCCATGTAACAGAATGAGCTGCCCACCCCACCCCCAATGCAGTAGGATGGCCTTTTTGAAGTAAATGATATAATATGCACTGGTATTTAAGGAGAGATGGGTGGAAGCAAGTCCATGAACTCTAAAATTACCTAAAATCCACCATTAAACTGGCAGATATGCTTTATTGTTCCCTACATTCCAGTTCATGCAAATGTCCCAATCTTCAGTAGCCTAACTTTGATCTCTACAGATGGATTGGCTGAGGGCGATGGAAGGAAGACAAACTTTCTCAGTGTACACCCTCTGAAATTAATGGGCATGACTAACGGGTTCCATTCCAATGGGTTTACTCTCAGTAGGATTTCATTGGATACAACCCTAGGTTACCAAGTTTCATTTTGCATCGTATACAGGAACTCTTAAACACGGAATGAAATTGCTTTACTTACCTCAAATTCAAATCCAATGTGATCTATTGGGATGGTGTATTTCCTGGCATAGTTCTGTGAAACTCCTGTCAAGAAGGACTGAGTAAAGTAGAAACCGGAAATCCAAAACACAATTGGAGGTCCGTGATTGATCCATTCCTGGGTTTAACATGAATCAGCAAAGCAAATAGTTATTATGTGGGATTAAAAGAAACAACAACTGCATATGGTCAGCTGTAAAGTCTTGAAGGCCAAGAGCTTGGGGTAATGGAATCTCAAACCGTCAGTTTCCACCATTAAACAAATGCAAATCTGTAAAGGTTTAAGTCCAAATTTATAAATATTAGAATAAGAAATTGACACCCCACTTAGCTGAAAACACCAGCGTGATCCTTAAGCATATATAAATATAATTTAAAATATTTAAATTTAACACACTTTTTTGGTGTACGCATCTATTTCTGGGGCTTTTATTAATTAATTTATTGTTGGCAACTGCTGTCTCTCTTTGAAGCTTATCTAATAATTAAGGGTTGTCACCAACTAGTCCTACTCCAGAGCAGACCCATTGAAGTTAATGGACTTTAACTTTAACTTCACATTCAATAGGTCTACTCTGAAGTAGGACTAGCATTCGATGCAACCCAAGATCTCTTAACAGCGAGAGCTTTTTAAACCTCTATTCCTGCAACAGTTCTTCTAATCTGTGGCTCTTTCTTAACCACCTAGCTAGCTTTCTACTTCCTGCCTCCATTTACACTACTTAGATACTACCGAGTTAAGCCATATATAAACTTTTGTAGTAAAACAAATAAAATTGCATCCTGAGGGAATATTGAGTTCCCCAAACTAGTTCTATATACTTGAGCCATCCCAATAAATGTCAACAAACCACTAAAAAAAAGAAAACAATAATTAAATACAAGCAAACATTGACAGAAGTAAAACACACATGAACACACACAAAAATCTTTTAAACCCATACAAATGATTACAGTAAAAACAGCATGGCACCGACCCTCTCATTAAAAGCAGTCAGTTACCAAAAGCTCGTTGGAACAAAAAGCTGTTCACCTGCCTGTGGAAGGACAGCAAGAAGGGAGCCAATCTAACTTCTCTAGGGAGGGAGTCCCAAAGTCTGGGAGCAACTACTGAGGAGGCCCTGCATAGGATTGTTATGACTCTGCCCATTTTGATCTCTCTCAGTTTCTTAAGTCAAATCAAGTCGTTTTATGACAGTCAATGACCAGTATCAAGACAAAAACACCAAATTCCAAAATTTAAAAGCTCAGAACAAAATAAACAATGTAAAATCACTTACATAAAAAGGCAGTTCTGGCTGGACATTTATTTGTCCAAAAGGAAACCGTGTCAGAAAAGCAACCTCAATTGATAGACAGTTACTCTTAGTATCTCATTTTTCTAGTCTTAAATCCAACCCCCCCCCCACATTTCCACATCACTTTGCAGAGCTTTTTTTAAAAGTGCTCGTGAAAATTAATTAGCATTATAGTGCCAATTTCTCCTAATATACACATACTTGCAAGCAATTTTCCCTCATAGAATGAATGCATTTTGGTTTGTTATATTCACTAATATATGCACTTCTATGCACTCTTTACCACAATGCATGCACTTTTGTACACATTACTTGGCTGGAGATCATCACTGCAACCTTCAGAAAAGTGCAAAATTTGAAGGCTAGCTGTGTTTTGGTTCACATATTGCTTTGGAAAGCACAAATTAGGGAAGTCTGTGTTTAAATGCAAACCAAATTGAATTGTTCATCTCTACTCGTGTGTAAATGATCTTGACAACAACACTGAACCATGCGAGCTGAAGCATACCTGAAAGAAGACCAGCCTCATGAGAAGGTCAGACACGTAACTCCCCATAGGTTTCAAGGATGGGTAGGATTTGGCTGCCCACATAGGAGGCACTTTGCCTACAAGCATGCTGTTGAAGACATCCTCGAGTTCTGAAGACATCAGCACCTGGCCTTTGATGGCTTTAAGTAGGTTGACAAGGCTGCTGCGTACAACCTCTGTAAGCCTAGAGGGAGAAGAAATGGTTCTGAATCTGTCCTGAATCTGTTAACCATAGGCTCCCCGGTCAGATGAAATGGAAACCTATGGTTAACTGGAGGCTTCCACATGACCTTAAGCATGCTATTAAATGAGGAAAGAGGGCCAGTCCTATTATTAGGCAGAGTAGATTGGCAGGTGATAGGAGTGAGAGCAACATTTTGGAGGGTAGAACTCTTTTGTGCAGTAGAGGCCTGCATGCCCTCAGGTGCAGTAGGGAACATTGTCCTGCCACAGTCAACTGCAAGTCCCATCACCTTCTCTATATGGAATAGCAGGTGGGCAAATATCTGTGATTTCTCTTGATGTCCATTATGCTAACATAAAATATACGCGGAGCTTTCAGGCCTGTGGCTGCTCCATCATTATTTCTATTAATATTGCAGGGTGGAGAAGAAGAAGAAGAAACCCAGAATCCTACCTGTTGAACCTGATAAGTTCTTGCCTAAGAACCGTGTTCATGGACTCCCTGTAAAGTACTGGGTACATTTCCATCACATATTCTAGGTCGAAGTCTTGTGGTAACTTGGACAGGACGTCCTGTGCCAGTTCCTCTACTGTTTCCTAAAATCAGGAAATTGGACATTTTTGAAATGGAATATGCTTGAAAATAGCATTTTTTGTAGCTCTTTAATAACCTGCCATCTTTTTGTATCTTATTCTTCAAATATGTAATTTTTCAAACTCATTCGCCCTTTTGAGCTTATTATGCTTTTAGTTGTGCTTAAAAGGTACAGGTAAAGGGACCCCTGACCATTAGGTCCAGTTGTGGCCGACTCTGGGGTTCATCTCGCTTTATTGGCTGAGGGAGCCGGTATACAGCTTCCGGGTCACGTGGCCAGCATGACTAAGCCGCTTCTGCCGAACCAGAGCAGCGCATGGAAACACTGTTTACCTTCCCGCCGGAGCGGTACCTATCTATCTACTTGCATTTTGATGTACTTTCGAACTGCTAGGTTGGCAGGAGCAGGGACCGAGCAACGGAAGCTCACCCCATCATGGGGATTCGAACCGCCGACCTTCTGATCAGCAAGTCCCAGGCTCTGTGGTTTAACCCACAGTGCCACCCTGCTTAGCACGGCACTAAATACAAACACCGTAGTAAGAGCGATGGATGGATGGATGTCAGGTGTCAATGGTCAGGGTAAATAGGTGCATCTTCAGCATATGATAGAAATTACATAATGAAGCTGCTGGACACATCTCTAAAGGGATGGAATTTCACAGCTTAGGGGATGCCACAAAGAATGCCCTCTCTCAGGCTACCAACACCCCTGAGGGTAGCCAAATAACCAGATGGGCCTCTTCTGCCAACCTTAACATCCAAAAGGGACTGTCAGAATGGAGGTGGTTGTTTAGATATTTGGGGCTTGAAGCACTAGATGAAGCCACTGTGTCATTTTGTTACCTGTGGAGATTTGCCGCCGCCACCTGCTTGTCGGGGCAAAGTCAGCAAGACACTATTGAAAAGCAGGTTGGTCTCTTGGTTATCCTTTGTGATATCTGCATTCTCGTGTAGCCCAAATACTCCGGGATGGGTTATAATTGGCAGACTTCTCAAGTAGTCTATGTAGGACTGTAAAGAATATATAACGATATGTGTATTTTAAGAATCATCACCGGCAAGCAGGTTTGCTAGATAAGGAGGTGGTACTGTTCACACTGCCCCCAATTGGTACAGACTGTGATGCCCACATTTTAGAAAAGCATAAGAAAATCCCTGCACAACCAGGCTAAAGACCCATCTAGACCAGCATTGGGTTCTTGGCAGCAGCCAAACGGATGCCTCTGGGAAGCCCGCAAACAGGACCGGAGCACAACTTGTGATTCCCAGCAACTGGTATTCAGAGGCATTTACTGTCCCTGATAGCGGAGGGAGAAAATGGCCATTGTGGCTAGTAGCCATTGATAGCCTTATTTTCCACAAATCTGCCTAATCCACTTTTAAAGCCATCCAGGTTGATGGCCATCAATATTTCGGGGGGGGGGGGGGGAGAGAACTGCACTGTTTTACTATGCGCTGTGTGAAAAAGTACTTCATCTACACTCTCTTACCTGGTATGTCCCGAAGGATGGTACAAAATATTCCCCCCCTGGGGAAAGCTGATAGTTTTCCAGGACTTCTACGTCTTTGCAATACACAATTGAAAGTAGAGAGAGCAGGAGACGCCTGTCCTTGTCGTCCGTTACCCTCCCACCATAGTTACATTCGCCTAGGAATAGAAACAACACATTAGAATGAAAATGGTAAGATGTTTATGCAGCGTGCAGAGATACCTTCTGTTTAAAAAAAGGAGACCGATAAGACTCTGCTCACAAGGTGACTGGAGCCCACATACAGCGGGCTCAGGGGGAAATTGGAACCTACAGGTGGGACATCTTTCATAAACAGCCATATGTTAGCTAGCCTTGCATTACTACGGACGATGGAGTTTTGTCAGAATTGGACTCCCATCATGGATCCCCATATACTTTGGGTGGTATGGTGGAGGGTAGCGGCTATTAGACTGTGGCCCAGATGTAACAGGAAACCATGGTTTTGGGCAAGATTCCAGATTCAATTGCCGTCATATCCTGGTAAGGCTGGGAGAAATCCTTGCCTGTGACAAAGGAAGGTATCGGCCAGTCAGAGCAGACGATACTGAGCTAGATGGACCAATGAACTGACTTTGTATAAAGCAGCATCACATGAGCTGCAGGATGACTTGCATGCTCCTCTCTCTCCTCTCCTCTTTTCTAGCTGTTTTGCTATGGCCACACTGAGGAATGGGGAAGGGAGCCTTGGGGGCTCATTTTCATAAATGATAAGCCACGCTTTTAGCTCACTATTGTAATACGTTCACCTTTGTAATGATAAACCATAGTTTAGCTAAATCACGCTAAGCTCATTTTCATGACGCTAAACCAGCATTATGTCTGAATGTAGCCACAATGCCCATACCTGTAAGATATGTGAGAGCTTCAAATGGGGTTTCTTCATATTCATTCAGAAACATCTGAATCTGCCGCATGCTGATTCTCAGATCAGATTCATTGAATTCATAAGGAATGTTCCAACCTGTCCAAACCAGAGTGGGGGAAAAGTGAGTCTGCAATACAGCAAGCTTTGTTCTGCTGATGGCAAACAATAAGATGACATTCAATGCTAATAGACTAAGCTGAAACAATACTATAGTGAAGCCCAGGCATTTGTCTCAATATTGTATCCAAGAGGGAGATATTTATCTTTAATTAACTTCCCTTATAGTGCAACGATGTGTTCCAGGTCTTACATTAATCAGAGCTGCTAATGATAAATATTATTTATGTGCCCCTCAGCTGTCATTTGAAAATTGCTGAGCTCAAAACTGAACAGCTGCATTCTGATGGACACAGAAAAGGCACAAGTGCCCCTGGCTACCGTATTTTTTGCTCTATAAGACTCACTTTTTCCCTCCTAAAAAGTAAGGGGAAATGTGTGTGCATCTTATGGAGCGAATGCAGGCTGCGCAGCTATCACAGAAGCCAGAACAGCAAGAGGGATTGCTGCTTTCACTGTGCAGCGATCCCTCTTACTGTTCTGGCTTCTGAGATTCAGAATATTTTTTTTCTTGTTTTCCTCCTCCAAAAACTATGTGCGTCTTGTGGTCTGGTGCGTCTTATAGAGCGAAAAATACAGTAATTTGAACAGAAGCTCTCTATAGGCCACCTAGGAAATCTGAGCAATAGATCCAAGTTTGTAACCACATAAAAATGTTTACCTTTGTTATTTGGGGTGCCTTTGGCAGCAAAAATGGCCCAGCGGGCAGTAGTGACATACATGAGGAAATCTTCAATAAAACTAAGCCCCAGCTTAATCGTAGAAAGAGCTATGTACTGATGCAAAACTGAACTGTGGGATCTGGATCACAGACTGACACAATGATTGGTGCAATGGTTGTACCATTAGTGATATGGGGTCAAAAGCGGTTGCCAGTGCCTGTTTAATCCATGCTGTGCTGTTCCTTAGTTTAGAGTTGCAGCACATATAAGATGATAGCATCAGTGTGGTGTTGTGGACAGAGCAGTAGATCAGGGAGATCCACTTTAAATTCCTCACTCACGAATAGGGATGGGTGAATCTGTCACTTTAGGTTTCTAATATTTCCAATCTTAAATGCAGTTCTTCACATTTCTATACATGTTTGAGGTTGTTGTTGTTAAGTTCTCACAAAAACTCGCTGGCATTTTAGTGCAAATTTCTAATATACACATTTTTGTGTGCAATTTTGCCTAATACATACGTACATTTCCCCCAAAGCCACTTCCCTGAACGTAATGCATATTCATATGTAATTTTCATGTACATATGCAATTCTGTGCACCGTTTACCTCGGTATGTGCACTTTTGTAAATACAACTTGGCTGGGAAAACCACAAAATTTGGAGAAACGTGAATTCTGAAGGATGGCTGTGAATAAGGTAGATTTGCCTTTAAAGGCGAACTTAGTTGGATTTCTCCCCCATCCCTACTGAGGAACAACACTCAGTGAATGACTGGTTCACACTCTTTCAGACTTATCTACTCACAATGTTGTTGTGAGGATAAAGTGCGGAGGGGGGCAGATAGGAACCATTTATACTGCTTTCATCCTGGACGAAGAATTGGACAGACACCATCTCAGAGCCTGCTCCAGCCTCTGCTGGCCACAGAACCACCTACCATCTACCTTGTCTTGGGTGGCAAGGAGAAAGACGGATGCAGGTGAAGACCATATGCAAACCTCCTCTGGTTTGACTTTCTGTTCCCACCTCCCCAGAGCCATCTACCACAAAAAAACCCACAAAATTGTTTTTGAAAACAATAAAGCACACAACATCTTACCCAATGGACCAAAGTTTCTTCTTTCTTGCACAAGAGCATGGAAGAAGCAGAGACCAAACAGCAGCTTCTGCCAAATTTCTTTCTTTTCGCAACTGTTAAAGAACATGGGGTCAGAAACTGGGTCGTTGAGGTAGGATCGAAGGAGATTTGCTCTCACCCCTTTAGGTGGCTCGTTGGTCATTTTTATTCCATTCTGGAGAATGCTGACAGGAAACTTTTCGGATGGATAACTAGTCAGCCACAATCTAATGAAGTTGGGAGCAGAAATAAATTTGGTTACATGGTGTGGATGCTGTCTATGCGTACGTCAGGGGTTGCCAGTGTGTGCACCCTCCAGATGTTTTTAGACAACTAGCAACCCTGACTACTGGCCACGCGCCAGCCCTGTATCAGGAAATTTTTAATGTTTTACATTTTATTATGTTTTTATATGTGCTGAAAGCCACCCAGAGTGGCTGGGAAAACTCAACCAGATGGCAGGGGTATAAATAATAAAACTATTATTATGCTGGTTGCGGCTGGTGGGAATTGTGGTCTACAACATCTGGATGGTACCACCTTGGCTACCCCTGGTAAAGATACACAAGCTTATTTTCACACATTTGAATAATGGTTAAGTATCTTGTGTGTGCCTTTGTAACAAATGTGTTAGAGGCCTGGTTCTTGTTGAGGTGGTCAACCTGTGTCTGGACCGTACCACATCAGACTCAAGACAGGAGCTCAGATGAATGCACCTTTGTGTTTTTTTTAGTTTTTTTAAAAGGGGGATCCTGCTACATAGAAAGCTCTTATGTGCAAGAGAAAGGGAGACTAGCACTGTCACAAAGCACCAACAGAAACCACACCATAACCCCCTCTTTGCAACCAGGAGTACAATGGTCACCACCAAGACATGTAGTAGTGTCAATGAAAAAGTAAAAACTGCAGAGGGGCAGTTACAGGAAAACCTTTGTGTTGACCCTGCACAAACCACTGCTTCCGATAGAAAAAGTTCAAAAAAATGTAATGGTCCCCAAATCTGGGCCCCCACCCTGCCCTGAGGAAGACTCTGATGAAGAGGAGAAGCAGGCAGCCCTGTGCAAGGAGGGGATCTTTCAGCACCTCCTTCCATGCCTTTCCAGCCAGAAGATGTAGCTCTTCCTGCCACCCTCAAACCCTTAGGATGAGTCCCCAGTAGCATTTCATCTCTTCAGTCTTGTAGAAGTCAGCAGTTATGGAACTGGACAATAGCCCTTTAAAGAACACAGCCAGCTCCTCTGCAAAGGCAGGGCTAATTGCGGGGCAGGGTTTGCCAACCTTAAACTCTTTGCTGAGACAACATCCACCCATTAAGCACAACAAAGGGAAGACTGCAGTCACTGGAGGTCACAGGACCTTTCCGTGGATCTGATAGGGCTTGCCTAAATCTGGGCGTATATTTATTTTTATTTATTTCACAAGATCTATATACCACTCGATTGCAAGAAAACCTCAAAGCAGTTTACAGAAAGAGTAAAATCATAAAATCATAAAAATAAAATCATCTAAAAAAAACCCCAACAACTATTGAAAACATTCAAAAATAAATAAAATCAACGATGGGGGCAGGGAGGGAAAGCAGATTCAAATGTAAGTCAAGATTCTATATTTATGGATGTGTTTTTAGCAGGCACCAAAAAGAGTACAGTGAAGGTACAGTGGTGCCCCGCAAGACGAATGCCTTGCAAGACGAAAAACTCGCTAGACGAAAGAGTTTTCCGTTTTTTGAGTCGTTCCGCAAGACGAATTTCCCTATGGGCTTGCTTCGCAAGACGAAACGTCTTGCGAGTTCTTGAGAGTTTGTTTCCTTTTTCTTAAAGCCGCTAAGCTGTTAATAGCCGCTAAGCCGTTAATAGCCGCTAAGCCGCTAATAGCCGCTAAGCCGCTAATAGCCGTGCTTTGCAAGACGAAAAAACCGCAAGACGAAGAGACTCGCGGAACGGATTAATTTCGTCTTGCAAGGCACCACTGTACCTTCTTGGGAGTTCCAACTGAAAATATCAATTTCTTACAAATACGGAACAAGTATTATGAGGCACTTGTAACAGTGCCAGTTCCACAGATCAAAGCAGTTGCGTAGGCATATACGGGATAAGGCGATCTCACAAGTAAACTAGTGACAAGCTGTTAAGGGCTTTATATACAGTGGTACCTCTGGTTACGAACTTAATTCATTCCAGAGGTCCGTTCTTAACCTGAAACCGTTCTTAACTTGAGGGACCACTTTAGCTAATGGGGCCTCCCACTGCCGCCACACGATTTCTGTTCTTATCCTGAAGTAAAGTACTTAACCCGAGGTACTACTTCTGGGTTAGCGGAGTCTGTAACCTGAAGTGTTTGTAACCCGAGGTGTTTGTAACCCGAGGTACCACTGTACTAACATATAGATGTGACCTTGGCCCTGAACTTGATACTGCTAAATCGAGGCACATGCTACTGAGCCTGATCTTACCTGCATGACCCTGTTCACTGTGATATTATCTGACATGGCCTCAGTGGGAAGAGATATTTACCAAATATTACCTTCTTTTAAAAAGCCTGCTGCCATGTCCTCTGTGACCCTGGAACCCCAGGGGATCAGAACTTTCATTGCACCACTTTCCTGACCAGCAAAAGAGGATGTCTGGAGCCCAGGAAATGAGATTTCTACAGCATCCATGTAGACTAAATAACAGAAATTGAATTCTTGCCTGAACTTGGTATGAGTATTCTCAGGTACTATAACCTCTTCACAGATTTTTTCCAAAGCAGGCATCCAGCTGGTTGCAAGATGGCAGTTTTGCAGCACAACCCAAGTCCCGTCCACGATAGCCTGATTAATCATCTTTGCTGCGATTGGGCCTTGGCCCTGGCCAAGTGAAATAGTCTGGATGCTTTCCATGCCAAGATCATCAGCAAACTTCAACAAGCCTAGCGTCAAATATTTAAATACAAATCGTTTTAATAAATGCGCAGGGTTTTAGTGTCAGGAACGCTATTCAAGAAACCCAAATGGAATCTTCTCAGTTAAAGTAACTGTAACCTTTAGAAGACATCTGACGGCAGCCCTGTATATGCTATTACGTTTTTTATATCTGTTGGACGCTGCCCATAGTGCCACCCAGTCAGATGGGAGGGATACAAATAATAATAATAATAATAATAATAATTAAAGGTGGTGATGGGGAATTACAAGTGCTTTTTGGAGGACTTTCTGGCAAGCTGCTGTTGCAAAGACCTCTGCACCCAACATATAGAAAAATTAAGGAATGTCAGTAGGAAGCTACTTTATACAGAGTCAGAACATGGGTTCATCTAGCCCAGTAGTGCCCACCCGGACTGGCAGCAGTTCTCTCCTAGCTTTACCTGGAGATGCCAGCAACTGAACCTGGGACCCTCTCCATGAAAAGGGTACCATGAGCTGTGGTCTTTCCCCACTGAGTTTCCCCTGGGTGCATTTTGTGTGCTGGAAAACAGGCCCTGGGGCAGAGGGGAAGGTTGGACCTATAGATGAATCTTGCCCAGGAGATGCTGCCTCTGGGGATCCTAGTTGGAGGGTCTCATAAGAGCATAATAAGAGCCTGCTGGATCAGCCAATGGCCCATCTAGTCCAGCATCCTGTTCTCATAATGGTCAACCAGAGGCCTGTGGGCAACTTGCAAGTAGGACTTGAACACAACAGCACTCTTGCCTCCTGTGGTTTCCGGAAACTGGCATTGAGAAGCATTACTGCCTCTGACCATGGAATCTCTGGCTCAAGTTCAGAACTGGGGACCCAGGTCTGAGTCCAGCACCTCATCTGCTTGCACTGCCATTTTTTTTTTAAAATCTGACTGTGCACTCCTCCTCTGGGTCAGAGTTTGAGCCGCTGCTCAGGGTGTGGGTAGTGAAAGGTGCAATTTATAGCCTTGTTCAACCAAAAGGCAGTATCATGAAAGGAAGATTTCATATTTAAGAAACCTCACCTGCCATGGGATCAGCACCTGGTGACAGGACAAAAATCAGAGGTGCGCAGCAGTTGGAATCATGGTAACTTCCAACAAGATCAAATGTTGGGGGTTCGATATATATCTTCCCCATGTTGTCTGAGATGAACAGTTGGGTGGCCGGGATGATTTTATCTGGTCTCAGGCATCGGAGGATGACCATGCGGTCAAGACCTGTGACCAGATTCCATTCACCGGGAAACTCTTCTTCGTGAGGTTTGGCAGAATCATAAATCAGTTTCCATTCCGTGACATTGGACTCCACATGATCCAACAGCCCACGCAAGTTTTTCAGCCCTGAGGCACGCACAATTTCGGCCCACGATTTGTCAGACAACCACTCTGGGGCAGGATTCGCATACGGGTTCTCGAGTGCAACCCCACCCGTCAGAAGGAAACGCCAGACCTCATCATCGATCTCATCTCTCCCTTTCATGATCCCTATAGTCAGAAGTAGGGAGAAAAGAAGCTTGTCCTTCTCAAACAGGGATCGGCAGACGTTGTTGTAGATGCTGATTGTGAAATGGTCAATTATGAATTCAATCCTTTCTTCCAAAACATCGCTTTTCCTGCTATTGGCAAGAGACTGGACATAGAGGTTAATAAACCATATCAGGGAATATTGATACATTGGTTCAATGTTAGCCAGATCAGAAATGCAAAAGAAGACTGTTGCTGAATGAACGGCCACTGGCTTGTACCCCATTCGGGTGGCATCTATTTCCATTTCGGTAATAGTGGCAATTTCCTGCTTTTCAGATATTTCTTCAGACAACTCTTTGGAAGAAGAGAGGATTTTAATGGCTGTTTCATCTTCTAAGATATTTCCTTCCGACTTGGAAAGAACTTCCAGGATTTTGTCTTCAATCTCCTTCAGCTGTTTCTTGTTTGCTGCACTTTCTACAATCAGCTTGTTCTTCTTCTCTTCCAGCTCAGGCTTTTCCTTCGCAGCCACAATCCCAAGAAGCTGGTCCTGAAGCCCTAGAGGGGTGATCATAAAATTGAGCAGACAAACTTTCACAGCAATTTCAGGAAGATAATGAGGATTCCTTAAGCGTGTCGTTATGTAAAACTTGAAATCCCTTGAGTACTCAATAATGTTCTCTCCCAGTCTCATGTACTCCACACCTTGCTGTTTGAAAGTTGCCTTTAGCAACACCGGCTCCAAGAACGCATCCAATTCCTCGCCAATATTTTCAAGCAAGACTGGGGTTCCAAACTGGATAGCGTTCTCCAAAGTCCTTACATAGTTGGTGTCAGACAACTTGATAACGGAAAGCTTATTGCCCTTTTCCATATTTTTGACCCACTTGTTGGCTTGCCCTTGAGGATCAATCATTAAAGCCCACCGTCTTGAGTTGGAAACAATGATGCCGTTGTCAATTGAAAAGGAATCAATTGGCAATCCGGCAATCTGCCAGGCACGGATCTTGACTGGGTCCCCTAAAGTGTTACTCAGGCTGAAATCCGTAGAGCATGGGACTTTCTCCTCCTTGCACAAAGCCAGCCATTTCTTCTGACATTCTGTACGGTAATCAACAGTAAAGGCTCCCAGATAAGCCACCGTCCCTGAAGATAACAAGACATCCCCAGTGAGGTCAGTGTATCGAATTCCTAGAAGGCGTGCTGCTTCCGTCCACCTATCCTTCTCGCCTCCCAAGCCACTGATCAGCTTTTCAGCCCTGTCCAGCTTCTGAGAGCATATTTCAATGTTGTTCTCGAGTTCTTTCTTCCGGTTGTTCATTTCTTCAAATTCGTCATTCAGGTCCTGGAGGCGGTCAATCACCTTCTTGAGTTCTGCTCGCTTCGTATTGAGCTTCTGCATCTGTACAGCGAGCAAACCTTCAGCCTCCCTGAGTCGTTCACGTTTTGGGGCTACTACCTTTGCAACACGGTCGTACACTTCCATGGCTCTCACCCATTTACACAAGCCTTCGCAGGCGGATGATACATTTTTTATGACAGCTGGCTGAAAGTCCGGATGGTTGATGAACTTCTCTCTAATTCTCTTCATTACAGCTGATGGGATATTGTCTTTGTCATAAGTCTTCAAGCCTTCAAGGAATTTCAGATCCCCTAGAACCTTTTTGGAACTTCCCCAGTAGTCTTCTATCATTTTACCTGAAATTTCACATAAATACATATATATTAAAATGTTTTCAAAATACGAATATCTCATTTAACAAATCTGGAAGATTTTCAACCTCTCTGTTCTTTCCCCTGAAATAGTTTTTTGAGCATCCAGGTAATTCTTAAGCCAAAGCAAATGGATAAGGTGGTATAATGACTCACTTCCCATAACACTTGTATCTATGGTCCATTTTATTGCATTAAATGCAGTGGAGGCTAAGGCCTATTAGACTTTTAAGGCAGAATGCAGGAGTTAGAGCCAATGATAGGCAGAGTCAACTAATTCTGGCTTTGTCTTCACCCTCCTTCCTGCTGAGTTCTATAACAGCAACACTGGGACTAAGGAGGAACAGGAGTAATAATAATAATAATAATAATAATAATAATTTATTATTTATACCCTGCCCATCTGGCTGGGTTTCCCCAGCCACTCTGGGCAGCTTCCAACAAAATATTTAAAATACAATGAAACACAGACATTAAAAACTTCCCTGTACAGGGCTGCCTTCAGATGTCTTCTAAATGTCAGATACTTGTTTATTTCCTTGACATCTGATGGGAAGGCGTTCTATAGGATGGTCGCCACTATTGAGAAGGCCCTCTGCCTGGTTCCCTGTAACCTCACTTCTTGCAGTGAGGGAACCGCCAGAAGGCCCTCGGAGCTGGACCTCAGTGTCTGGGCTGAACGATGGGGGTGGAGATGCTCCTTCAAGTATACTGGGCCGAGGCCGTTTAGGGTTTTAAATGTCAGCACCAACACTTTGAATTGTGCTCGGAAACGTACTGGGAGCCAATGTAGGTCTTTCAAGACTGGTGTTATGTGGTCTCGATGGCCGCTCCCAGTCACCAGTCTAGCTGCCGCATTCTGGATTAGTTGTAGTTTCTGGGTCACTTTCAAAGGTAGGGCTGGCTAAGGACAAGCTTAGCTTGGTAGGGCAGGGGAGCACTTGCCCTAATAGACTAAACTCTACTGGGTGAATGTCTTAATATATAATATAAAGTGATACGATGGCAATGTTCAATTTCAGCAAAGAAGCACATGACAACCCCTCCCAATAAATGTTTGTGGTGTGTGTGTGTGTGTGTGTGTGTGTGTGTTTTACCGCTTCCACTTGGATCAGGCTTTCTTTCTGGCTTTATTCCTTTCATAACACAAATGCTCTCCATGACCAGCTTGACAGGTCCTGGTGGATTCTGCATGGACTTGACAAGGGAGATATCTGCAGGGTTCAGGGTATCAAGAGCCGAAAGGGCAGCTTCCAGGGCTGGCATTGCTTCCGCCAGGTCCCCCTCGCACTCTTCCTGTAATCACATCAAACTTAGTTGGTCTCTAAGGTGCTACTGGACATTTTTTTTTTTATGTCATCACATCAAATATATTCCCACCACATTGTCAGGATGCCACTGCACAGTCCAGTGAAACAACAACTTTGCAAGAACAGCCCTTTTCTTTCTTATTGCAGGTGCTGCCACTGGATGTGCCTTGATTGAAACTGATCAAGGGCCCTCTCGCTGGCAGTTCCCCACCTGTCAAATGCACTCCCTGGTGCAACAGGCACATGGTCACCCAGTGAGTTTTATAACTCCGTGGGGATTTGAACCCTGCCCTCCCCTGGCCTAGCACTCTAACTGCATCACACTCACTTTCTTGTGACCCCCACAAAAGGGGGACATTTTTAGCCCAACATTACTTTTAGCATATGTGTATTTGGGAGAAATAGTTTCTCCCTGCTCTGGGGTAGGTAGCAGCCCTGGGGAGGCAGATCAGAACTGTGCTGGGGGCAAGGGATTGAATCCCCTCTCAGCGGCATCATGTTCCCAGTGTGGCCATCCCCTCTTAAGTGGCTGCGCTTTAGTTAAAAACCAACCATGGAAGGGCACATCATGTGCTGACAGTGCAGCCCTGTGTATATTTTTTCATCAGGAAGTCTTATTGAGTTCAATGGGGCTTACTCTAGGTAAGTTGGCATAGCAGAGTGTTACGTCTGCCGGCGTGGTTGCTCGAGAGCGAACAGGCAAGACCCTCACTGGTCTTTTCAAAGGCTTTATTATCAGTGCAAAAACATTTACAGTGCAGAATGTCTCAATTCCATGTCTTGCTCAGTCACTAGCAGAATCTGAGAGTGGGCGGTCCTTAAACTTTCCTCAGCAGAGTAGTCTCTTGACCCCCATCCTACGCCTCCCCTCTCTGCACGTAAACCGACTGCGCAGAGAGGGCGTGGGCAAAGAGGGACCTGCCTCCCCCCCCCCCGCTTTGCTCATGCACGGTGCTCTGGCTCTCCCTTGCATCCTCTGAGCCCTGCATCTCTTCCCCACTAGAGGCGTGGCTTCCCTCCTCCGCGGAGGAAGTGCTGCTTCTCACGAACTCTGGAGGCTCCCTGTAACCCAACTGCCCTTCTACCTCTCGCCTCTGAGCTGATGGCAGTTCCCTGAGACCGAGGATGGAGAACCCTCTATTCCTCTCTGTCTAGCCCTCAGAGCTCTCCTCTGGCAACACCCCCCTCACTTTGTCCCCCAACTGTTTTTGTTTGACTGGTCTGTGTCCATGAACTCTGTCAATGCCACTTGCTTGTCTGGATGGTGTGTGGCTATGAAGACACTAGTCAATTGTACAAAAGGTAAAATTTGCATTTGTCGCCCCATCCACTTCTGCCTCTGGCTCTGCCCACCACAGGCATGTAGCCCTCAGAAGGTTGCCCAGAAGGGAATCTGGCCCTTGGGCTGATAAACATTCCCACATTTGAGGTCCAGGATTGAAGCCTTAGGACTGGAGTCAATGCTAGTCCTACACAGAGCAGATTCACTGAAATTAAAGGACAGAACTAACTTGGGTTCATTAATTTCAATGAGCCTGCCCTGAGAAGGACTAGCATTGCATACATTCCTCCAGGGAAGCAATAAATAGGGCAGAAACAACACGTCGCTGCTAGCTCTTTACACCTTTCTTAGTTTGGATTTCTCAATTATTACACTGCACTGTTGGAAAGATGAGCTCTGATGGGGAGGGAGCACCGGGCTGCACAGCACAATTACCTTAATACCCTGGGCAATAGCTGCAGCTTCATTGGCTTCCTTTTCATCTGCAGCCACAAGCTCCTTCTTGGCATCCACCTCAACGGTTTCTTTTTCTATGTGGATCATCATTTTCTCCGTTTCTGTGGAGGTCTGAATCAATTCCGGTTGAAGAGCCGTCAGCTCCTTTTGCATCACTGCAACCTAAAGAGGACGACCAAGGGAGAGGGCATAATCAAGATATTAATTCCTTACTATTCCAATCTTCAGTTCACCACATTTCATAATCAATTTCAGATACAGAAAAAAAATTCATGACAAAAATGAACCAGCATTTTAATGTGCAATTAGGTACCAGAATCTGCCAGTGATTTTGCTTTCTGACTAATCAGGAACTGTAGTTTGCTAAGGGTGCTTGGAATTGTAGCTCTGTAAGATACAGTTCCCAGGATTCTTTGGAGGAAGTCATGTGCTTTAAATATATGGTGTGTATACAGCCATTGTCTTTGAACAGCCCTGTTAATAATACTGAGCTTGCAATGGATACTGCAGATAATGAAAACAGTTACAAGTTTCCATATAATCTACCTGTTCCAGTCCACACTTACTTGTGAAGCTGCAAAATCAAGCTTCTGAAGGCCCACAAGATAGCGATTTCTCATCATATCCACTTCGTGCCTTTTACTATTTAATAACGCCTTAAAGGTCAGAATCAATTCCAGATAGGATGTTGGTGTTACGTAATTGTGTCTTCGAAGAGTGCTGTAATAGCTGACGGAGAGTTCTCTCACATTTTCTTGGAAATACTTACACATGGACACAACCCTACAGGGAAAACACATGTTAATAGGCAGCTAATACAATCAATGAGTTAAATTTTGTGTGGTCCATGAACATTGTATAAGAGCCACATAATTTTTCTGGTAAACTTTGGCTCAAGACATAAAAGTCATTTGAGGACATGCCAAGAGCTGATTTTGTGACATGCTAATTAACCATATCAGAAAGCCTTGTGGTGATGGACAATAGTCAACATCATTCTGCAATAATTTCAAAAACTGTTCTCCATATCTATGGCCTACAATGCTATTTAATACCTTTCTAAGAAATCAGTCCTGCTCAGTATTAACCATAGATCATGTCAGGCCAAACTAAGTTAGTTAGGTCATTATGAAGGCATCAAAAGTGGCAATACAAGCACCAAAGCTTGTCCCAGCCAGCAAAGTCAGTAAACAGGGATGATGAGGGTAGTAATTCAACAATATCTGGAAAGCCATCTCTGAAGTAGACTTAAGACTAGGGATGATTTAATGTATCAATTTCAGTTTCACTCAAGTTTCTCATTTTTTCCTAATCTTAAGCTCAGTTTTTCACATTTCCACTTCAGTTTCCATTTTATAAAAAAACAACCCTGGAAATTCATCACCATTTCAGTGTGAATTTCTAATATACAGATTTTTGTATGCAATTTTTCCTAATATTTCCATTTTTAGAAAGCAATCTCACCCAACTGATTGCATCTTTGCATTTTATTTTGATTACGGTAATATATGCATTTGTATGCATATTTTCCCCCAGGAAACGCATCTTTGTACACATTACTTGGCCCACGAAGTAGAAGTTTCAGAGAAATGTGAATTTTGAATGATGTTCTTTCCATTCATGTATTATTTCAGAAAGTGTGACTTTTGGTAGATTTGCCTTTAAATGTGATCCGAATCAAATTTCTCCCTCATTCCTAATCAAGTCCACAAAAGACTGTGCTGGGATAAATTTGTTAGCATCTAAGGTGCCTCAAGACCCTTTGTTGATTTTGGCTGCAATGGAGTTACGTGCCTATACCTTCTAGAAATTATGACAATTTAGATTTGTTATATTAGAGAGGGCGCGGGATGGGAGAAGCTTTGCAAAGCATCCCATGACATACGATTTTCTGATTTCATCTTCCAGCTTCACATCCTCTAAGAATTTGTTGGCAACCATTTCCAAAGCATCAGTGGGCCATCTTTGGAACCAGTCGATAGTGCAGCAGTTGATCAGCGAAGGGAACATTCGCAAGCGGTTCCGGAAAGCATCTCCAATTGGACTCATTGCTGCAATGGACATAATCATTATTTCTCAGACAAGCCCAGTCAAATGTTAGAAGAAATCAGTATGAAAAAGTAACTTATTTTTTTATCTGTACCTAAAACTATGTGCAAGTTTTTCTTCAAGCGTTCAGTAAAAAAGTTGTACATGGCCAGAGGGGTGGCTTCAATTCTCTTGCCTTCGGTCCTTGCCGCACCCTGCATTTTTTCAACGATGTCAGCCTTCTCATCGGCTGCAAAGATGTTAGGCACGTCCCCCGTGTTCAACAACATGTTAATGTCCTCCACAAAGGACTCGTCCTTTATTTGGTTATCACAGAATAAGAACACAGTGTTTTTGTTGGCCACCCCTGACTGCAACATGACCTTCTTGATATCCTCTCTCCAGTCATTTGTGGTGTAGAACTTCGTGATTTCGATCATGAAGAGTTCATACGAATTCATAAAGGTGCCCAGCTTGGTGGCGCTCTGTCGGCCACTTCCACCGATGCCCACCAGCAGCAAGTGGCCGTTATCCTGCTTCAGTACTCTGCATATCCTTGAGATATGCTCAATGGCAAATTTAAACATAACCAGAGACATGGGCGCCTTGCTGATCTGGTTGAACTCCTCCAAGTAGTATTCCATAACAGACGTCAGCTTGTTTAAGTCTGTTATTTCATCATAGATCTTTGCATCACTTTGTGGCTTAAAGTAGTCTCCAAAGAAGAGGCTCCGGATGTTATCATCATGGATTTTTCCAGTTGGAGACAAGTGGCTTAATACCTATGGAAGACAGTGAGGAATACATAAGCAGTTTGGACTCCATCTGCCCACCACCACTCTGAAATAACAGATGTGGGAAGACACACTAAGAACACCAAGCATAATTTACATGCTTCCATCATGTTCCCCTTGCTTGCCTTCCCCCCCTCAAAACTAAAACCTATAGGGTGGTATCCAACCGAGTTCTGCGTAGCATAGACCCGCATTAATGGACCAGTTAGGCATGTTGCTTAACTTCTATGGTTCCACTCTGAGTAGGACTAACATAGCATACCACCCATAATTTATCAGTTGTAGTGTTTGTTTGTTTGTTTGTTTGTTTGTTTATGTATTCATCAATAGATTGATCAATCAATCAATTGTGATGTAGCAACAATCCAAGAAAAATTCTGGGCAAAGATAAATGGCATCTGCTACGACTGACCACTCAAATAGAAGCCAGAGAATAAGAAGTGGATGTTACTTGAGTTCCATCCTTGAAATTTCCCAGTTCCAGAAAATTGCTGAAATCCCTCTGCCACTTTTGCACCATGCGAAACTGGGGTGGGGGAGCTCTTCAGCCCAATGCAACCAAAATAACAGTTGCCGTAAATATATCCTATTTTTCTCTCTTTATTCAAACAGCTCTCACTGCTTGAAGATGAACATACCTTATCAACACTCTGCTTGAAGCAATCAGAGGTGGTTTCTTTCACCATGTGAAAAAACACCTTCCTGTCCTCGTCATCTATTAAGCGGTCGTAGAAGACCCGATAAACTTCATGAATCCAAAGCCTGATCAGTTTCTCCCCATCCTATCAAAAGAAAGGAGGAACCTCAATCCATGCCTGGTTTTGAAGCAGATATGAACATAGTCACACACACACATGGATCTTGATACTTCTTGACCACTGGGAGGTGGAAGCCAACCAACAGGAATTTAATCAGTAAATATTGTTATGGGTTTGGGGGTGGGATCCCCCCTAAACCCTAGAAATTAATAAACAGTAGGATTTTTTATTATTTGGAGTACTGAAGGGAAGATTGCAGGCCAGTGGAAAAGCACAGGCTAAGCTTCCTTTCCAAGTCAGTGCCTGACCTGGGATAGAGGCGTTAACATGACAAACGGTGTTGATGGCCATCTAAAAGGAATCTTAGGCCTGTGCAGACAGAGGTTCCCAAAGTGATGGGATGTGTATGTGTGTGAGAGAATACCTTTAGCAAGCTGTACTGAAAAGAAGGGAGAGAACAAAGACAGAGTTGTGTTGTTGTAATCATTGCAATGTGGCAATGGATACAAAGTACTTGGAAACCTAAAGTGCAATTATAAATGCTAAGTTTTATGGTGATGATGGTGCCCCCGTTGATGAAATAAAAGCTAGTGTAGCTTTCACACCTGCAAATGGGTATGTGGGCAGAGCAACACTCCTCTGATGACCCGGGAGAAATCTCGCAGGTTGAAGACATAGTGAGATTTTGAAGGAGTTGGAAGAAAGTTTTCCACAGCCATCTTGTAAATGTTCATGGTAGCATGAACCATCATTTTGCCAAGCCTTTGAAAAGGAGCAAAAAAGTTAAATGTAACCCTGAGCTTTCTTTCCACCATGCCCCCTGCCCCTAGGTTCTCTTCTCCCACTTTGCCATGGTGAAGAGTTGCAGACATCACTAGGGATGAGCAAATCCATTAATTTCGGATTCTCATTTTCCCAATTTTATGTTCAGTTCTGCAAATTTCCACACTGATTTGCAATCCCCCCCAAAATCATTAGCATTTTAGTGCTAATTTCTCCTAACACACACACTTTTGAATGTTTTTGCCTAAGATATCCATTTTTGCAAGCAATTCCCCCCAATATAATTCATTTCATGTTACTGTCAGAAATATATGCATTTTTCTGCATGGATTACCTTAGTATATGCATTTTGCATATACAACCTGGCTGGAGAACTGCACTGTTAAGACTGGGAAAGTGCAAAGGATTTCCTTTTGCACAACAAAAGTCCTCCCCCCACGCATCTATCCCAAACCCTCACCAAATCTGCTCCAAAGGGTTGGTGGAACATGTTTAGGGGAAGTTCCATTGAACAAGCAGAAATCCTTGTACTGAGACAATGGTTTAATTGGATACTGCTCATTATTTCTCCCCCATCCCCATTCATAATTCAGTGGCAGATAACGTGGCTTTGTGCATTAGTCCCTGGCATCTCCAGCACCTGAAACTCTGGAGAGCTGCTGCCAGTCAGTGCAGACAGCACTGTTAGATGGACCAACGACAGCTTCCTATTTTGCTAACCATGGAGGTTCTTTATCAACCTCCTGATCTTAAATCAAGTGTCATTTTAGATAACAAACACACAACAGTACAGGATTATATAGCAAGAGCAGTGGCAGTGGTAGATAGCAGCTAGATGTTGTTAGGAGAAATGAGTGGGAGTGGTGCATCCAAAATGTTATGGAAAGAGTTAATGTGCTATGGAATCCTAGGATGTCACCATAGCAGGCAGTTTTTTTCAGATAGATGTGTTATCAAGTGCAGAGAATGAGAGAGTGAGTTTTACTGTGAGAGCAGCAGGAATTTGTTTTATACTGCTATGTGCCTCAGAATAAGTCTTTAAAATATCATAAATCTGCCAGTTTCTCTCCCATATATGTGTGTGTGTGTTTTTTCAGTGCTTTTTCCTGGGGGAACACAGGGGTACGTGTACCCTTCAATATTTTTTGAATCTAACAGAAGAAACTAATATTTTTTTTAAAAAAAAAGGTTCTTCTCTAGCATGGTGTATTGTCAGTTCTGTTGCTACCCCCAATTGTGGCCTCATTTCCTGTCATGGTGTGTTTCCTGAGTCTCAGACGGAAGTGAGTGTTTAAAGTGTGGAGTAGGAGTTGGAATCTAGCATGGTGATTGGTCAGTTTTGTTGTATTTGCTGTATTTATTTTTCCCAATCTGAACTATAAAATAGTGATTTTCTTGAGTCAAAATGAGAGCACCCCTAAACAATATTTAAGGGAAAAAATCACTGTATGTTTTAGTATACCAAGTAAAGTAATGTGTTATGTTTAAACTCTAAACAGAGAGTCTTGTGCAGTCTTTTCTACAAGAGAAAAATAGAACTGTACTTTTTTTAAAGGGTACAACGACCTGGGGCAGCTTCTGAGCATATAAATACCACAAAATGTGCTCTCTTGAAGAGAAGCACATTCCTTATGGTCCATTTACCTCAGAAAAGTGGCCTCAAACCCTTTGCTGAAGTGCCAGTCAACGATGGAAGCAAAGATCTTTGTTAAAATTTCATCATCGAAGGCACTGATGGAAATAATGTTCAAGTGCCTTGTGAAACGTCCTGTAAGACACAAGGGAAGACACAGTAAGTCTCAATGCGGCTTTGCCATTCCTTCTGATGACCCCAGGCAGATACAGTGGTACCTTGGTTCTCAAACGCCTTGGTACTCAAACGCCTTGGTTCCCAAACGCTGAAAACCCAGAAGTAAGTGTTCTGGTTTTCAAACACTTTTCAGAAGCCGAACGTCCGATGTGGTTGTTGGCTATTGTTTCCGGGGCGCCTGCACCAATCAGAAGCTGCGCCTTGGTTTTTGAACATTTCAGAAGTCAAACTGACTTCCAGAACAGATTAAGTTTGGCGCTTTTGTTTTTGCTATTTATTTTGCGTTTTCGTTTTTGAGGCTTTTTTGGTTAATTTGTTTTTGTGACTGTGTGGAACCCAGTTCAGCTACTGACTGACTGATTGTGTGACTGCAGAAATGGATAAAAGGCTGTCCTATTGCATTTAATCTGACATCATACCTGTAATATCATTCCTTCCACCTCCAGGAGGCCCCATTGCTGAAAGGAACAGAACATCAACAATATCGAGCCTTGAGGTATCCTTCTTGTCGTACCAGTGGCCGTGATCAATCCATTGCCTAAGGAGTTCTATAGGAGGCTGGGCTCCATACACTTCCTTGGCAGGCATATTTAAGTCATCTAGGAAGAATATTGATTGAATATTATTTCCCGAAGACAAAAAAGAACTCCCTCTACCCCTCTCCCTCTACCCATCAACACAAGCAAGCAAAGAAAGAAAGGGCGAGGATAAGGATGAGGCTATTAGCCTCAATGGTCAGGGGCAACAATGCTTCTGAACACCAACACCAGGAGCAGAGGAGTGCTCTTGTGCTCAGATTCTACTTGCAGGGTAGCCGGGATGCTGGACAAGAAGGGCTGTTTGCCTGGTCCAGGAGGGCTCTTCTTATGTTCTCTAGAGAAAGGAACAGAGCCTTTTCTAGATTAAACTTTTATTTGTATGCTACAACTGCAGTAAGAATGTTAATTGCTAAGAATTGGAAAGGGGATACGATACCAACAAAGGGAGAATGGCAAAATAAATTGTGTGAGTATTTGGAATTGGTAAAAACGACAGTGGCAATTAGGCATCAGCCAAACCAAAAATTTTAAAAGGAGTGGGAATGTGTAAAAGACTATTTGGAAAAACATTGTTCTCAAATTAAACCCTTGATACATTTCGAATAAACTTCACAAAGTTAAGAACAGATAGATAAGTTATATATTCTGTAATAGAAAGGTAATAAAGATAAACAACACAGTTGAAAAGAGAAAGAGCACGATGGCACCTTCACCCGGCAGTATATCGCGCTCAGGAGCGGCAGTGGTTATACCTGTGATATACCACCGGGTGAAGGTGCCATTGCACTCTGGCCCTCAAACCAAGGGAGAAATGAGTTGTGAGGCACCAGAGCCGATGGAGCTTCTTTTTCACTTGATGCGCTGGGCACTGGCGGTGGAGGGACTCCCTTTGTCGCGAGCGCCCAGCACCCCAAGGGAAAAACAAGTTGCATCAGCCCCAGCCATATGAGGTGCCAGGGTGAAACCGCTGCCTCTCCAAACGAGGGAGCTGAGGCTGTTTCACCCCAGCACCTTGCAGGGCCAGGCTCAATGCACCTTGTTCTTCCCTCTGCTTTTCAACATCGTTTTGTTAGGGTGGTGATACATCACAATGTTGAAAAGTTGATAACACCCAGCTCTTCCCCCACCCCCTGGTCTTTCTCCCTCCCTCCCTCCCTGGATTGAGGTCCCCAACAGCTTATTTCTGCGAAAGGAAGTACAGCTGCTGTTGTAACAGCATGCTTCAAAACTGTAATGTGTAGCAACAAAAATGTTTAAGATGTGATCTTACCTACAAATACAATAGCCTTTTTTCCAGCTGGTGGACCAAAAAGTCCTTTTCTTCTCCTGTCCAGTTTTGACATAATAATGTCCTGGGTCTGGTTGGCTGTAGTTCTGGCAGAGAAATTGATGAAGTTGGGAGTGTACTTTGTCTTTGGGAGATTAATCAGAAAGCTGTTGGTGATCGCTGATTTCCCTGTACCAGTTGTTCCCACGAAGAGCAATGGGATTTCATGCTCCACATAGGTTTTCAAGAAAAAACTCTGCCTGGCTGTTTCCATGGTTGGAATTATAAGCTCGGAGACCTGTCGTGAAGAGATGGTTAGGTGTAAAAAACACATCTTGCATATTTGAAAGTAGAAAAATCTGCATCACTGCAAGAAGGGAGTGTGTGCATGAGAAAGAGAGATAATGTGTTTATGACCTGTACATTGCAAGGATCCTGGTGGGGTGGCATATACATTGCACACCAGGCATGCAATGGAAGCTGGTCCATTAGGGTAAATGGGGCACTGCCTCACCAACCTTACTCTGTCCTCAACTAGCCACCACTTGCCCGCCTTCTAACTTACAATACTGTCACCTTCCTGCTCGTTCCTTAGTCTAAGTGTTGCCCCTGTATAACTCAGCAGGGAAAAGGATGGGGACAAAACTAGAATTAGTTGGCTCTGCCTTTCATTGGCTCTGGCTCCACCTACTGTTTAGCCTTCCTGCTATGCATTCATGTGTACCTGCATATGCATGCACAGACTGTAGGATCTCTATCAATGCAGAGTTTCCACCCACCGTTGGGGTGGGCTGCAAGTTTTGCAAACCTGTCTTCTTAGGGCAGAGCTTGTGCTTTGCTCCATAGGAGTGAGCGGTGACTATTCATTTACTGGGAAGACAACAGGTATAACAATGTATTACTGAGTGTTGTTTATATTTGCTATTGTTGTGAATTGCTTTGAGCTCAACTTGAGGTTTGGGAACATAGCAGACAAAAATTTAATCAAATCAAAGTGGAGATGCTGCTGAGGGAGGGGGTGGACCAAACCTACACCCTCTCCATTATTAGGATTTTGGGAACTGACTGCTTTTAATGAAAGGGCTATTGTAATTATCCGTATGTTTTTAATGTTAAATATAACTGGTTTAATTCACACATAAACAGAAAATGTATGTGTATTAATGAAGGTTTTAAATGGAAAATGGCTAAATATGTGATGCTGCATTGGGTTTTTTTCACAGTAGTTTTCTAAAAGACTCTGAGCTCTTGCTGAGTTGATAATTAGCTAGTTGTTGTTTTCTGCTAGCTAACATGTCAGTGTTGTAACCTTAGATCAGGTGAAAAAGGTATTTGGTTGCAAATCTCCATTCTGAAATTGCCTTTAGTCTTTTGTCTCAAACTGTGTGGAAGTAAGGATGTGTAAATGACCCTTTGAGTTAGAGAGAAAACAGCTCCAGGGAAAATGGATGCTGTGGGAGGAGAAAGGCCTTTGTTTGGATAATTTCATATTATCTAAGATGCTGAGCCTGTGCTGTACATCACAATACGTTGTATGGATAGTTGGGGTGTACCTTTGAGGCTTATGTTCTGTTTTTAAAGAATTCTCCAAGTAAAAGTTTACATGATATTTTATTCAATGATTTCTTCCAAAAGGAGTCAGTTAATATGCATCCAGCTGCTTCAAATTGCATGATATTAATATATGCAGTATTTCAAACATAATTTATATTTATATATAGTCCTAGTTCTGTACATGTTTAATTGCTTTTCAATGATATTCTTCCTATATATTCACTGTTCCTATTTTATCTGTAAGTTGCCTTGAGTCCGTGTCAGTGAAAAAGGCAGGATATAAATAAATATAATAATCACAATAACAATTAGCCCATCAAGGCTTTCACCTGATGTCACAATGATGTGAGGTCATCCCATTCTGCCCTTGCAGACCTTGTGATGCACAAAATTAATTAGCCCATTAAGGCCTTCCCCATCATCATAGTCCCAGCCCTACACCTGCTAAAACTTCACTGTTTTTCATGGTCATTCCAGAAAGTGTGATGGAATGTTGAGAACAAGCTCTTACATTCATTGATTTGGGACTGGGTAAAATCTTGTTCTTTAACCAGTGTTTCTAAAGTGGGACACAAAAATCCAAAATCGAAACTGTCCCATTCAACTTTATTAAAAATAATAAACGAAGCCACAGGCAATTATTAACAAAGCCATCAAGAATCACCTCTCCCTCTTCTTTTTAAATTAAAGAACGGAGGTTTCATTATTTCAACTATTCACACACCTCTTAACACTGTAGTTTCTAAGCAGTGTGCAATGATGTTAGAAATGAGATACAAAGGAGATAAGTGATTAAAAGTATGAACTGTGTATTGATTTGTAATGTTTTGTTGGGTCTCTGGACCGTAATAAAGATTGATGATGATGATGATGATGATGATTAAAAAGCAACCTCAGCTGAGGATTGAACATGGGACTTTCTGAATACAACCCATAATAATAAATGGTTCTATCCAACTTAGTTTTACTCAGAGTAGACCCCCTTGAAAGTAATGGTCAGGACTTGTTAATTTGGCCAATCAGATAAGGTCAGCCTGAGCAATTATGAGGCAATAAATGCAAATAGTTTACCTTTACTCCAGCAGGGATGGTTTGCTCTTCTTTTGTAATGTACTCTGTCCAATTATTCCACTGTCCACTGGCTATCTTGTGGAAGTAAAAGTCGTACACGGTCCCTGGTTGAGGGGAAAAGGCCATCGGGAAAGCTCAGTTCAAGGCAGCAAGGCTGACTTTGGGTATTATTTCAGACTGCAAAATTTGGATATGTTTCTACATATGCCTTCTAACCAAACAGAAACAACCCAAATGCTGCCAAATCATGCTTTTGGTACAGAAGGGCAGCTACAGCAGTAGCCCACCAATAATTTCTGTCCTCCAGTTGTGTAACAATAGCAGCAACTCCCCATTCAACACACCACTTTCAAATTACACTGCAAAAGTAAAGAAAAAGTAAAGAAGACCAGGAATGGATTTTCTGTGAACTGGGTTCTGATACTGAAAACAAATTCCTAGGTGGAAAAATTGCACTCAGAGGCAGGGACGGAAGGCTGTCAATTTCAGTTCTCTTTCAGTTACTCTAAGGCTATCAGAGAGTTCCTATGACCTTCCAGATATTGTTGAATACGAACTCTCATCATACTTCTTCTTCTTCTTCTTCTTCTTCTTCTTCTATTATTATTGTTGTTGTTGTTGTTGTTGTTGTGTTGGATTTATGACCTTTGTATCAACATGCACAATTTTATGAATTGTTGCATACAACTCTGGGATTCTTCAGGTTGAAGGGTGCGGTATAAATTAAATAACAGCATAAATAATCCCAGGTCATTCTACTTGGAGCTTATGAGAGCTAGGGATTCCCCATCCATGGTGTTCAGGATGACCAGCTCCTTTCTTAATCTCTGGGACCTATTACAAAACAATTCAATGCCCATACTGGAGATATGATGCTTCATGATGTATAAACAAAGCCAATTATTTAAATTTGTCAAGTGTATTTTAAACAGACCTCTATCTGGAAAAATGTTGTTCTTCGTCAGCTTTACGCTTTTGGGACGTGGGTGGTTGTCGTCCATTCCCATCAAAACTTCCCGGTAATAATGGTCAAATTTTTTCCTTCCCTCAGCGTTGATGGTGCCCCCGATGGTCCACACCAAGGCGAACAGGAAAAGTCCCTGCAGCCACAGGGTGATCTGCTGGCTGGACATGGTCTCGGAATCGTCTTCGCCGGAATTCCTTATTTCATCTATTTTTAAAAAAGAGCAGATGAAGATTGTTCTTAGAAGGCATAGTCAACAACGTCAAATGGTGTGCGTGTACCACGTCATGTGTTCTATTATGCAGGGCAGGCCTTACCTGCCCCCCCCAATATTTTATTCAAGTTGGCACCCCTGCTGCAAACACTTTCAGCTCCCACTCTTCTGCTGTTTGTTTGCTCAGATACTGATTCAAGCAAGGGGTGTCATCTCACATCACAATCCTATATTAAATTTATATTGAGCATATCTGGTGCACAGAGGGCATTTCAGCTGATGTGAGTCAACAGGGAGAAAGGAGAAGTTGTTAGGTGAACAAACGGGACAGGACAATGTTCTGAGATTTAAAATTAGGCCACAACTTTATTGATTCCAGGTGTAGGTTGGATTTGGCTAAGGCATTGGAGGGCTGATGGACGGGGTATCTAAGGGGTATCCTCTTCTTGCACTGTTCTGTGGTGGGGTTGATGCACTACTGCACCCCCCGCCTGATGTTAGACTTAAAGGATTCCATGCAATGCCTTCTCTGCCAAAGTTGTGACTATTGCTATGGGGAAGGCAAAACCTGCAAACGAGGCCAATCTGTTTGCAGGCAAATTGTCATTGCTGGCCAAAATTTCAGTAATAAAAATTAATGTTTTACCTAGAATGATGTTTTTATTTCAAACAATACCTATTGCAACTGATTTACCGTTTAAAGAATGGCAAAAAAGATTTATCAAAGTTTTATGGCAATGTAAAAAACCACAAGTTAAAATGAAAGTACTGCAAGAGATTGGAACTGCCTGATTTGAAATTGTACTTTGCAGCCTGTTGCTTAGTGTGGATGAAGGAGTGGGTGATCCTAAGAAGTAGGAGGATTTTGGAACTAGAAGGTCATGATTTAAGATTTGGATGACATGGATACCTGTGGTATGACAAGGTCAAAGTGAATGTGGACTTTAAAAATCATTTTGTTAGATCCACTATATTGAGAATATGGAATAGAAATAAACGTAGGTTGTACTGTATACGAAGATACCCTTATGGATTTCAATGCAAGACGCGTTTCATATGAAAAGAGGTGACAGGTCAAGAAAAATGCTTAGCCTAGAGAGGCGAGATGACTTCACCTATTACAGCTTTTCATTGTATAGGTTTGTTAGATTTGTGCATTGCTTCCCATTAGGAAAGTGCCAAAGCTATGTACAGCTGTTATTCTGGTTTGTCCCAGAGCATTCCTACACCCCACTCTTCCTGAACTAGAATAATTTTTTTAAAAAAACATATGCTTTACTACAGTTTTAAGTTTCTTCAGTTCATTCCTTTGCACACACATACCAGTGTGTTCTGCAGTTTAACCTGGACCCAGCTCAAAATGGGCTTCCTCAATGACATTTCCATATATTTCTGGGGCACAAATTAGTTGGGAGAACTAACGCAGTTGTTCCCACAATCTTATGGCACAGCAAGGTGGGGGTGGGAGAGTGGGAAGATGAAGCTCACAGGATCCTTACCGAGCAAAGCAGTATACAGTGTCATCATGGAATGAGTGAGATGGATGGGTGATGTCTGAACCATGACCCTGCAATGATGGCGAATAAATTCCAAACAAGGCTGAACTAGCCACATGAACAAGTCGTCAACCTGGAAGTTGGAAAAGGGTAAATGGTTTTCAAATGCAGCAGAAGTTACATTATTACCAATAGGAACAGTTTGCTAACAGTCAATATGCAGAGCCGGACCAATACATTTTGCTGCTTCAAGAAAAAAGCAAAAACGAACGGTGCCTCTTCAATCCCATTATATGTACAGCAGCTGAGTCTTACAATGGGGCAGCATTCTCCACAGCATCTGAGGGTAGCAGGCTCACTTAGGAGGTGCATGACAGGCAAAATGGCACAGCAAGGTAGGGGGGTGGGCAAGCGGGAAAATGAAGCTCACAGGATCCTTACCAAGCTCAAGCTTTGCTGCTGCTGCTTCTCACTCTCCAGGACTTTCTGCCTGAGGCAGTTCCCTCATGCTGCCTAGTACATGGCCAGCTCTTCCAGTACAGGTGGTAAGACTACCACCACAAAGCTAGGGTGACCATGGGACCCTCAATTACTGCTGTTCCTAAGGGTCTAGAAGTGGTTCTCCTGGAGGAGCACAGCTGTAACACTAGCTCCTCTGCAGTGGTATTACTGCCATTTACCAGGAGGGAGAGAGGGAGATGGTGGGGAGACTGGTGCAGTGCAAGAGGAATGTTAGGAGTGCTGGAGGGACTGCGCTGCTGCACCTGCACCACCTGGATCTCCACGCTGCCTTGTGCCCCCCCGCCCCGTCCTGGGAACTAGTGTTATAGCTCCACTCCACTGGGTTGGTTATTGATGGTATATATTTGCATAAACGTTGGATAGAGTGGAGGTTGGTCATGTATCCTATTATACAAAGGACAGTCCCCTATCTGAAGAGCTGTCCAGTACAAGTTCGATTACAGTTTAATTAACCCTTAAAAGGAGAACAGGTTTGTCCATCGACAGGTAGCACCTGAATGAGCATGCACAAAGGGCACTTGGACACAGTCTCCCTCACCCTAGTGGGGTGTATTGCATTATTTAAAAAAATTATAGTACTTATGTCTAAATTTGCACCTATGCATATTAATTAGCATATGGGAATTTTGTGCAAATCTATGCTGGGGGGTGCATTTCCCCTTCTTTTGGTGCCATGCTAATAGAGTGACAATTACTAGGCAGACCCACCTTGGCTATGAGACATAAATGAGAGCTATTACATGACCATACATGTCTTAGGGCAAGCTTAAAAGAGATAGGCCCTTCTTGGTGGTAGTGCCAAGATGGCAGGACCGTTTGTTCCAAAATGGTTACATTATTAAATGGCTCTACCATCAACATGTTTCTCCCAAGGTGAAAACAAACTCTGCTCAGTTGTCACGTAAGAGGTAAAACGAGAGCACTTACCACTCCACCTACACTGCAAACAGCACAGAGCAGTTTTCTAGCCATGCGGCCACAGCAACAACTCATCCCCCTCCCCATATTGCCTTTCTGCCCACTGCAGTTGTTCTCTTGTATGAGACACTTGTCAGTTTCTAACTTCCAGATTAGATTATTCCAATGTGCTCTACATCTTCAAGGGGCTCTTCAAGGGGTTGTCCTTGAAGATGACTCAGAATCTTTGGAAACGGTCCAAAATCCAGCAGCCAAACCAATGTTTAGATCCTGTTTAGATTTCAAATAATTCCAGCTGCACTAGTTGCTAGTTCATTTCTAAGCCCAATTCAAGGTGCTCACATTAGTGTTTAAGATCCTAAGTGGCCCAGGCCCCAAACTTCTGATGAAAGCCCCACATCATCATCATCATTATTATTATTGTTGTTGTTATTATTATTATTAAATTATAGGCCCACAAACCAGTTCTCTGTGTTCGGTGTTCAAGTTTGGAGGCAATGTGTTCATATAAGAATCCTTCAGAGGCTTCCAGCCTAACTGGTGAGGTTCCATGTAGATCATACCACACCTGGAAGAATTAACAGTTTTGTTGCACAAATTTGCTTGCAATGAGGGGGTAAGACTTATGAAAGTTGACTCAGCCTTCAGATGACACTGGGCAATTGCTAGGATTCTTCTGACACCTTACAAACTTAACAGATTTACTGTAGCTGGATCAATTCCCTCTCCCCACCACCATCCCTAGGCAGAAATAGACACCTATTTTTCCTCTCTTTGACACTGGAAGGGGACCAACTCTGGACCTTTTTGCAACGTCATGAAGGAAGCCTGTAAGGTCAGGTCTCTCTCTCCCTGAACATGGATCTCTTTCTCCAGCATCATGGTATTTGTCCCCTCTCCCTATGTGGTTTTCCCTGATCAATACTTCTCTCCTGCTCTCCCTCCCCTCCTGCCTCTCTCTCACACACTGTTCCATACAGCTCAATCTCTCTGAATAGTGTAAGAGATTTCAGGAATGCCAACAAAGACTCCAATTTTGGTTTCTTTGGAAGGAATGTCATTGGATCTTTGTGATATAAGGCTTTATTTTCACATACAAACAGGCTGGGCATTGCGATGAAAGGCCTCACAGCATTAGCACTCCAACAGATATTGCTTTTTCCCCTTTAGGCTTCCTTTCAAAGCCATAGCTTTGGACTCAGCATGGAGAGAAAACCAAATGTTTTGTGTCTTCCTAGCTCCTCCAGAAGAGAGCAGGGAAGACTGGCCTCTGGGCCTGATGCACTCTTACATCTTGGATGCCCTGGCCTCCAGCCACATGGGGCTTCCTTCTAGAAACATTACCAGCTAGTTGTTTCTATGGCAAACTCTTGAATCTGACAAACAGGTCATGTAAAAATGGGGAAGGACTGCATCCCAGTCGCAGAGCATCTACCTTAAATACAGAAAATGAACGGAGAATTGCTGACAACATCAACAATATTGAGCAAGGTGGACCAATGGTCTGACTCATGACAAGGCAGCATCCTATGTTACTAAGATGTCCAAGAGAATTGCCTAGGGCCATTAACTCCACAAAGAGCATACAGATAAAATTATGTATGTATGTATGTATGTATGCACCAATCCTGTAACAATATAGAGAGGCACACAAAGCTGCTATTGGCTCTGCTTGCAAAAGTTACCTGCTGACAGTAGCTGGAGATGCTTGTTCCAGATCTTCTGGCTCAAACATTAAGCTCATCTTTGCACTCATCTGAATTATTTCACCACTCATTAGGCACAGCTAGAATGAAAACATCATGTAACCATGGTTCAGTCATGTGTACGGTAGGGATTGTGACAGGACAACTTGCACAATTGTAGCATGTGTCACGCAGAGTTTCAGTCATTTTACAGACATGCACATGAACAACAGTGACATTCTGTAAGAGGATGAACATCATTCGTTTGCTTCTTCTCATACTTCCATGCTTGAGAGCAAAAGATAATGAAAGGTTTGCGTGTAATGTTTAACCATGATTTAGCATAAGAAGGGCAATTCCCTCTCTCCTCTTCCAGCATGGCTGCACTGGAAACTTCTTTTTCCATTTTATATTAATCATAGTTTAATGTCTGCATGCATGTGCATGTGCATGTGTGTGTGCACGCACACACACAAACACACAGAGATATTAAAAAGACAGTGGGTAGTAGCCAATGCTAGTCCTACTAAGAGTAGACCTGTAGAAATTAATGCACACACCTTAGATATTTAATTGGAAACCCAGAAGGCCATGATTCAAAGAGCTATTTGTGTATTAGAAGCCTATAGCAAACTATCTAGTATTAGATAAATATTTCCCTGACTGTAATCTAAAATAATTAAGACAGGCGTTGTGATGTAAACACCTTCCCTTGAAATTTGCTTTGAGACTCTTGTAAAAAGCAATGAATGAATTTAAATCATTGCCATCTTGCATTAGAACAGTGTTATTCTATACTAGGGATTGTTGCCTCTGATTGCTTCAGTTGCCAAAGCTGCCTACACCTACCAGACCCCCACATGCTTGCCAATCTCCTGCCTGCTTCCTTTACACCAGGCCAACCGCACTCTCTTTACCCCTCACCAAACCCCTTTCCTATCCCTTAACCTTGCCAAACCCACTGAGCGTCAGAGTGAGGTGGGCAGCAGCAGGGCTTGTCTGTAATGCTCACACATTGTGCTGCAGTTCCCACAGCTGCATATTTGTGGTCATGCAAATTACAGTATGATGACACGCTTACATATTTATGTATATAGGCAGAAAGAGTTACAGAGACTCTCTGCTTCCCCACTTCTACAGATATGCTTTGCTTTTGATAACAGCACAATCTTAATGTCTACTCAGTTTAATGGGGCTTAATTCCAGATATATGGAGTTAGTGGTTATCTTAAAGCAAATAATGCAGGTTATTTAAAAATAACTACAATAATAAATGAACCAGTTGCAATCAACCACTGGGTGTGGTTCCCACAGCTTCTTACTACCATATGTGTCTAGTGGTACAGCTAGAAAATTGCTTCCAGTTGATTCAGTGCAGTCCTCATTCTACACTTCTTACAGTGTAATGATTCTGAATCCACAAACTAGAGGAAGGAAGAATAGCTTGCAACAACTTTATTCTTCAAGCATGGGGAGCAGCCTCTAGGCCAGTGTTGGCCAAACTTGGCCCTCCAGCTGTTTTGGGACTCCAATTCCCGTCATCCCTGACCACTTGTCCTGTTAGCTAGGGATGATGGAAGTTGTAGTCCAAAAGCAGCTGGAGGGCCAAGTTTGGCCACCACTGCTCTAGGCCTTTGGAACTGCTTGAATCATGCAACCTTAGAGCAAGTCCTCAAATTACCTTCTTAATACTAAGGAAATAAATCTCTAAATTACAAACTCTATCATTATAGCCCCCCTTCATGGATCACTGCCTTGCCATGGCGAAGCGGCTTGAATAACTCAGAGAAGCAACTGATTGGTTCAAAATTGGGAAAGGAGTACAATAAGGCTGTATATTGTCTCCCTGCTTATTTAACTTATATGCAGAATTCATCATGCGAAAGGCTGGGCTGGATGAATCCCTAGCCGGAATTAAGATTGCCAGAAGAAATATCAACAACCTCAGATATGCAGATGACACAACATTGATGGCAGAAAGTGAGGAGGAATTAAAGAACCTTTTAATGAGGGTGAAAGAGAAGAGCACAAAATATGGTTTGAAGCTCAACATCAAAAAAACGAAGATCATGGCCACTGGTCCCATCACCTGTGGCAAATAGAAGGGGAAGAAATGGAGGCAGTGAGAGATTTTACTTTCTTGGGCTCCATGATCACTGCAGATGGTGACAGCAGCCACGAATTAAAAGACGACTGCTTCTTGGGAGAAAAGCAATGACAAACCTAGACAGCATCTTAAAAAGCAGAGACATCACCTTGCCAACAAAGGTCCATATAGTTAAAGCTATGGTTTTCCCAGTAGTGATGTATGGAAGTGAGAGCTGGACCATAAAGAAGGCTGATCGCCGAAGAATTGATGCTTTTGAATTATGGTGCTGGAGGAGACTCTTGAGAGTCCCATGGACTGCAAGAAGATCAAACCTATCCATTCTTAAGGAAATCAGCCCTGAGTGCTCACTGGAAGGACAGATCGTGAAGCTGAGACTCCACTACTTTGGCCACCTCATGAGAAGAGAAGACTCCCTGGAAAAGACCCTGATGTTGGGAAAGATGGAGGGCACAAGGAGAAGGGGATGACAGAGGACGAGATGGTTGGATAGTGTTCTCGAAGCTACCAGCATGAGTTTGACCAAACTGCGGGAGGCAGTGGAAGACAGAAGTGCCTGGCGTTCTCTGGTCCATGGGGTCACGAAGAGTCGGACACGACTAAACAACAACAACAACATCATTACAGCCATGGCACTTACCTTCTTGTTATCATCTAACACAGTGTTCATGTTCTCTATCCAAACAGCATCAACAGGACCATCAAAGACAATCCACTTCCTGTCCTCTGTTGTAGAGCTGGCTTGTTCTCTGAAGGTGGTTGCAAGAACGCCATCTGTCCATTCGTGGCTCACAGGGTCAAAACACCCATACAACTGTCCCATGGTAATAGCTTTTGGATTAATAATTCTATATTCAACTGCAGATTCTTCTGTTGAAGGATCTGAGACAAAAAAAGTATCTTAGGTTAGCAACATGGGAGGAATTCAATTCTCATTTAAAGGTGAATCTGCCTAATTTGTGCTTTCTGAAAAACATTTGAAATTCTCTGAACTTTGCAATGCAGCTCTGCAGCCAAGTAGTGTGTACAAAAATGCATATGCTGGATCAGGGGGAAGTGCTCTGCAAAAATGTGTATTAGGCAAAATGTGTCTATAAGAGACATTCACACTAAATGGTGATGGATTTTCATGTGGACTTTTAACAATAAATATTTGCAAACTGAGGTGAAATGTGGAGAACTAAACAAAAGATTAGAAAAGTGAGAAATTGGGAGAATCTAAAATGGACAGATTTGCCAGTTCTGATCTCTGGCTAGTTAGAAGGCAAACTCACTGGCAGAAACTGGTGCCTAAAAACCCTTGCTATCCCAAAGCTATTTCTCAGGCCAAAAGTAGATGTTACACTCTTGGTGTATATTATTTTCTCCTGTGTTGTTGTTGTTGTTGTTTTTAATTCAAAGACTTGGTGTCACTCTTCAGTTACCCAGCTTTAATTGACCCTGAGATCCAAGACATTTTGCAGGCTGAGGCAGAGCAGCAGCTCCATCAACCAAGGCCAACCAAGTTATTTTGAACCAGGACCAGAAAATCTCCCAAACACCTCTCCTCCTCCCTGGCTTAAAAAATACAGTCATAACGAGTTAAATAATGAACAACTTGCTGCCCTTTCATTACATCCTCTCATAATCCTTCACTTCGACTGATGACAGAGCTAGACCTACTCCTACTCAGAGTATACTCCCTGAAATTAATGGATCTCAATTATGTTCATTAACTTCAGTGGAACTACTCTGGGCAGGCACAACCAGGTTTGTACCACTTAATAGGTGAACATCATTTCCAGTGCCTCCTTGAAGTACAGAGAGGAGAAAAAACAACACTCAGTCTAAGCATACACTATGCCACAGAAGAAGTGACAAAGACAAGGAAGAAAGAGAAAAAGAAAGTAGATGGGTTCAGATGGCAGGCTGAGAAAACAATTTTTGAGAGTTTCAAGGGGAAATAGTCCAACATTTTCAGAACACTGGGAACAAAAGATGGCTTTGGCTTAATAAAATGTGTAAGTGGTTTTACTGCTTATTCAGCTCAAGGTTTGGGTCAAAGTAAGACACGTTTCTGCTAATGCAACCTTTAATTTGTCTTCCAGACAATTGAAATTCTTTGTTGTGTAGAGTGGAAACAACAGCATTAGCAATTTTCCATTCTTGTACCTATAACCTTCCTCTGTTCTCCAACAACAGGCAATTGGGGGGGGGGGGAGTGCTCAAGAGGTAAGCTTTCTCTTTCAAGATCAGCCTTGCTATACAGGATGCAGCAGATAGGTGCTTATTTATTTCCTTTCATTTGTGAATTGCTCCCTGTGAAATGTCTCAAAGCAATTTAACAATTAAAACATCAGAAATAAAAACCTATATGAAAAGATTTCATATTTTTTAAAATAATGTTGTGCACAGAAAAATAACTTCTAATCCAGCACAGATACAGACTGGGATGAGTATCTCAATTTAAAAAGGTTTCTTGAAATGGGAAGGTGTCAAAAGATAATAGATAGGTGACATCTGTACATGGTGGGGGAGTTCCAAATGTTGGCCACTACAACACTGAAGACCCAGATTCTATATCTTATAGAATGGACCTCCTAATGAGATGGTGTCTGCTGGAGGCCATCTTCTATAGAGCACAGTGATTGGTTGGATACATAATGGGTGATGTAATCTTTTAAGTAGTTTGGTCCCAAGCTGTAAGGGGGCTTTGTACCAGCACCATGAATTTCGCCTGATAGCTAATTGGCAGGTAATAACTAGCTGCAGTCTAAAACATCTGGAGGGCAACAGACTGGGGAAAGAGAAGATGAAGTTAAAGTTCTTTTTTAAATTAAGAAGGCATTGGGCAGAATTAAATTTGATATGTACCTTGGCTCAGATCCCCAAGGGCCATAGCAAGCACTTTGTAGGCGTAGGTTTTTCCTCCCATCGGCTCCCCGACAATCATATAGCCATGACGAACCATCATCATTTCATAAATCTGTGCCAATGAAATAAGGGTTGTCAAAAATACATTGCGTAGATGAAGTTTTCTGCCTTATAAGGGCATCAGAAATCCACAGAAGTGTGAAGACATGAATATATTCAATAATAAATAAATCCTCAAAGCACTTTGAGACACACTCAGCATTGTTTCATAGGAACTGTGCAAATATGAAAGGTGTAGCCTTAAGTCAAGAAACTTAAAAAGGGAAATCAATAAAGCCTAAGTTGGCTCAGTAACAAAGACAGATTAGTGGCTCCACCCGCCAAAGTTGGCCTGCAATTGAGGGAGGGGTTAAGGATCTGGCCTACATATACATTTCCAGTGTGCAAATATTCAAACTAAAGAAACCTGAATAATTTTCCCAATAAACCATGGAACTGGTTGAAGATTAATTTTTGCGATATTGTTATTCAGTGCCTGGATGAAGAGATCATAATCTGGTCGAGGTAGAATCACTCCAGGAAATAAATCAGATATGATTCCCTGTGAAACGAAAGAAAAAGAAAAAATAATATGCAATTTAAGAGCAGGAACTTCTGGTTGTACACAAACATGATTTAAGCTGTTCTAAGCAAATGAAAATAATCTTTCTTCTTAGTTAATCATAACACTGTAATCAACATCATGCAGCAACAGTTCATGTTATCAGTATCTAAATGACTTCATTGATTATCCTACCTGAAACAGAGGGACATCTTGTGCCAAGAATTTAGCTAAGTTAACGTCCAGTAGAGCCCTGAGCAGCAAGACACTTTCATTTTCATCTGGGTACTTCAGTTTTAAGTTTCCTGCTGCTGTCAGGACCGATTTTACAGCACGCATCCCATAGTCGTAATGATGCTGCGATGATAACTGTTCAGAGCAAAGACGATAGGTAGCAACAATCTTCTGGGCAAGACTGTGAAAGATTATACGACATGTTACAATTTATGGACAGCAAACACAATGGAGAAAAGAGGATAAAATGTCTACATGATGTATAAATAGATGAATAATTAAAACAGATATCACCAAGTAAGTTTATAAAAGATTAAGTGACAAATCAAATGACAGGTTTTTCCTCTTACTTAGGGGATGCTATTGGTGGGTAGTGTTTTTTTTCTAGAAAAATAGGTGCCGGTACTCATCATGAAGTTGTTACAGTACATGCCACACTTTTTAACAAGAAAAAAAAGAGGTGCTGGTACCCTTGAGAGCTGCGTACCCTTGAGTACCCGCTAGAAAAAAAACAGAGCACTGGGTGGGTAGGACAATCTAAACTCCCAGCCTGGCAGCAGTGGGGCATGTTGGGGGTGGTGGAGCCACCTCTTTTTATACTGTAATTTTATGTTGTGAACTGCCCTGAGATTTACAGGTATAGGGCAGTATACAAATATTATTGTTAATAATAATAATAATAATAATAATAATAATAATCTGAGAAATAAAATATAGGAAAGTGTTTATGAGAAAAGACATGTATGGCAAGACTCCAAGAGGACTTCTGTTGCTCATATACCTTCCACACACACCCAAGTGAGAGTTTCCTGTATAATACCTGAAAACCAACTAACGTACCTTCGGGAGTCAAGGAATCCCATTGAATAAAGTGAAATTTCACCAATCAAAGCATAATCTGGAACCATCATGGCTACAGTACGGAATAAAGCCTGAAGAACAGAAAGCGGGGAGAAATAAATAATCAGTATGCAATGTATTGTCAAAACAAGAAGCAATAGGTAAGGTTGTCCAAGGATGTTGTGCTTCAGTGATAGTTACTTGAGAGCCTATGACTTCAGAAGCAATTAGCTAAGGAATAAGAACTAGGATTGCCAGGAACTGTCTAGCAGCAGAGGAGGAATATGGTTTGAATGGATTTATGCACAGAATGTGACAGTTCTGAAGAGAGGCAGGCATGCAGATCTCTATATGTGGAGGCTTCCCTTCTGGAACTTTGACTGCATAAAGTTCCAGAACTTAGGAAAGCCTCTGCACATGGACATTTGGGGTGGGGCCAGGTAGAGTCATGTGTCAAAAGGTGCAGCCCCTTTCTATACCCTTCACATGCTTTTGTCAGAGCAACACCTATGATGCCTGGGAGCTATCCCAGGTTCTGAAACCTACTTCTTAAACTTTCCTTTGAATTGTGCTTTTATGTCAGTTACCGTCTCCCTCATACTGTTTCCTCATCCAGACTACCTATTTTTTGTTCACTGCCTATTCCAGGTTATAGTCTTCTCGTCTTGCCCAGCAACCCACGGGTGTTTCGCTTTCCCAGTGTATAACAATTCACCTTCAAGTTATCAGGAAGTTCTGCCCGTCCAGCATATCCAGGATTCATAGTGATGAATACTGCACAGGTTGGATTAAGTGAAATCTCTGTGCCTTCAAAGATAAATGTTCGCAGCTTTCGAATAATAGCCTGCTGAATACTGAGGATCTGCTGTGCCACTACAGAGAGAACTTCAACCTAACAACAAAATAAAGAAAACAATACTTCAGATTTAAAACATGCATTTCAAACCAATGTAAAGGGACCGCTAAATGTGACCTGAACAATGTGTTGGGGCAGTGTTTATCAAACTTGCGTCCCCAACTCTTTGTTGGACCAGAACTCCCATCATCCCTAGCTAGCAGGACCAGTGGTCAGGGATGATGGCAGTTATAGTCCAACTACAGCTGGAGACTCAAGTTTGAGAAACACTGTGTTAGGGCTGGGCTGAAATAGTGCGATAAATCAATGAGAACCGGCTATAGACAGAAATTTTACAGAGAAATGCCTCATACTGACGATTGGTGGCTCAGCGTTGACTAGCAATAGATCTCCAGGGTTTCATTGTTTCAATCAGCCATCATGTCCTCTTCAATACTTCTTTCCATTCCATCTCCCATAATAGTCAGGCAGCATTCTGTGGCTACTGAACAGGCCTGGGCCATTTCAGATATTTCCCCTCCCCCTTAGGCTTTTTTTCTCTCTCTTTTTAAAGTATTTCAGTAAACCTTGGGATTCTCCAAGCCTGTTTATATCTCCCCCATATAAGGGTGGTACTGTTTTGGTTACAGAAGTGACATCACTCATAGTCTAAGCACCGGAAATAGAGGAAGTCATTACCTCAATTCTGTTGAACTCATCAAAGCAGGCCCAAGCTCCAGCCTGTGCCAGTCCTTTAAAGAATTTTCCCATGGCTTTGTAATCGAGACCGTCAGAGCAATTGAAGACAACACACTGAAACAAATGACATAATATATTGTTCAAAGTTGCTGCAAATTTTTACTTAACAATAATAACATTGCCAACCACTTAATTTTCTTCCAGGAGTGGCTCCTGCATCTGTAACAATTGTGCAATGCGCAGGAATTCAGCAGGTGAAGGTTTTGCCAGCACTGCACAAAATTTTGCATGATTAATTTCAACGTATCATGTGGCTGTTAAAGGCACAGGAGCCCCGCTACAGAAGTTGGCAAGCTGAGCTACAACTCTAGCAATTTACAAAGAAAAATGGAAAGCACACTACAAACAAAACATGATTATGCAATAGCAAACTGCGGGTTCTCTACATTAGGGATGAGGAACCTGTGGCACATTTTTGGGTGCCGGGCAAGATCGCAGCCCTGAGAAAGCATTTTTTCTGTGGCGAGAGCATGAGGCAAGAGCACGACACACAAAATGGCTGCCACAATCTCATGTGAAAAAATAGGATGGCCCATTCTTTCCAGGACACGTATGTGGGGGGTGTTATATATTCACCACAGAGACTTGTGGGGTGTGCATATGAATTAATAGGAACAAATACAAGACCTGTCCTATTTCTTCTTCAGGTATTCATGAATTTTTGATTCACAGCTTCAGCAAACAAAGATGATTCCTCAAACTTACTTTTAGAGAGAAAGAGAGGGAGGGATGGGGGGGGAACATAGATATCAGCAAAAAGATTATTTTGTTACCTGCTTAGCCAGTGCTTTTGCTAAATCTTTGGTGGTTTCAGTTTTGCCAGTTCCCGCAGGTCCTTCTGGAGCACCTCCCAGGTTTAGTTTCAAAGCTCCCATTAATGTTCTAAGAAAAAGAAAAGAGGGGAATTAGCACAGTATATATCTTTAAAAAAATAGGATACCAGGGTGGTGAAATCTGTGGCCGTCCTAATACTGCTAGAGTAGAACTCCCATCCTCCCTGATGATTACCCCTGCTGGAAGCTTGAGCTGCCGGGAGTTAGAATCTGGATCTATGCACACACATGCACTAGGTACAAATTAGGACATCCTCATTCTCCATAGACTTTGGTGATTGTCTGCTGAGTCACACAATACTAAGACACTGGCCCTTCAACGTGTGGGTGGGTTTATTTATTTTTGCTTTATTCCTTGAGCAAGTCATAAGAATTTTAATATTCTCACCCTCTCAGTATGGTCAAATGGCCAATGTTAAACAGAACAAGTTCAAACATTGTTCATTTCTCAATGAAATATTATACTTTTTGGAACACCCAGCATTTTCAGAAAAGGGAAGTATGCAAATCTGTGAGCTTGCATGCAGTTGCTGAGAGGGGCAAGAATCTCCCCATGACATTTGCCCTGCCCCAACCCAAATACCACACATGTTTTAGGATATGACAATGGCTGGATGGATTAATGGAACATTCAGCCAAGAACTGGGCACAGCTCTCTAGTTTCTTACGTAGGTAGCCTTGCTTTTTAAAAACCTCTAGCACTGGATCCTACGGTCCTGAGGTTCAAGTGGCATTTATTTGGGATCAAACTTTTAGAGTGGAAGGTCCTGCCCTGTGAAACTCCCTGCCAGTAGACGTTTGACCATAATTATTCCTGCCTTATTTAGACGCTTTCTAAAAATAGTGTTATTCACACAGGCCTTTGCAATGTGACTCTTTTTTTAAAAAACAAGCCACTGTTTACTGATGTTTTTACTGGTGATATGGTAATTTTATATGCTGTGTTCCATCTTGCTGTATTTTTAGGAAAGTGTGGTCTTCTGTCTGTCTGTCTCTCTCTATCATTTAATCAATCACCTGGGACTTCATATGTGTAAGCCGAGGTAGCCAATGCTTTGTCTTCCAGATGTTGCTGGACTCCACATCCCTTCATACCTGACCACAAGCCATGCTGGATGGCAATAAGGGGAACTGGAGTCCCATAACATCTGGAGGGGCACAGGTTCACCACTCCTAACCTATATCCTGCTGACATTCCAGTTCTGAGCATGACTCGTGAACAAAAAACACAAACATTAAAAAAGTGGGGAGGAGTGTTACCTATAGCATCGGTCGGTCAACGGCGTTATCACCAAACGAAGGGAGTTGCCCAGGTACTCATAGCCATATCTGGCTTCAGTTGTAATCATTCGGACCATCACTTCTCCCTCTTCCCAGTAATATCTCAGCTGAGAAATCCACTGGAAATCATTCAGATCTGAAATTTTGTCTTCAGACAGTTTTGCGACAACATCCCGTGCTGCAGGAACAAAGATATTTTGTCAAATGGACCAGTACACTTAAGCCAAACATTGAGCTTCAACTCCTGTCTGAAAACCTGAAAAAGCCACTGATAGTCATTATAGATAGTGCTAAGCTAGGGGTATCAATGGGCTGATTATTCAGTTGAAGGCAACTTCATCTGAGAAGTGGGGGCGGGGTGTGTGTGCTTGCATTTTTGAGACCCCCTTCCATTTTTCAAATACTCATTCCATTTCTAACTCTAGCTCTCTTTCCATCTCGTGACTTTCACTGGAAGGGGCATTTCAATTTCTTATGTATCCTGCTGTTCTCCTACTTCCCGGCCTTGCCATTTACCATGCACATCAATGACCGTGAGGGCTCCCAGGGTGAGCCGGGCCCCGCCTGACAGCTTCCCTCTGACCAGTTCAACAATTTCTCCAATCTGTTTGTTGCTTTTCTCCAAAAATGCCTGCAGGGGGGAAAAGGAGGTTATTATTACCAACAGGTAGGACTTGAAGCACCATGTTGCAGTGTTTGCCCAACCGCTAAGGGGATTGTCCCTGATTATTTATCATTTAAATAATTTTAACCTACTCTTCAGTAGATAAAGGCTTCCAGAGCTGCTTGCAGATCAATGCAATACAAGTCAATCTCTCTCTGCCCAATAAAATATTTGAACAATATATAAAGGGTTGTCTCCAACTATGTTCTCCTCCGAGCAGACCCATTGAAATTAATGAACTAGTGTTACAGCAAGCCCCTCCCCCAAATCTTACAGGTAGAGTTTTTCCTTGTATGGCTTCTGATACTTCTTTTGTCCAGAAGATGGATGATACACAGATAACTACTTGTCCTGGCCACTGCAGCACCCACTTATTCCGGGGAACCTTTAAAAACAAAGCGAATAACATTAGACTGCCATGGCCAACGAGGGCTCTGAGATTTTAATATAAAGGGAAAACTATGGTTCTAAATGGGAGGATGAAATGTTTTCCAAAACTTCTCTGATCTACAATGTGATATTTGTTTCGTTTTATTTGCTGCTTGAATAATACTAGCAGTCTGTAGGTGACATTCAACAAATTTAAACATGCACATGTAAAAAGACACCAACATAAACAATTAACATTATAATATGAATAAAGGGAAAGTCCTGACTCCATAGAGCAGTGTTTCCCAATTAGCTAATTACTGAGGACCACCTACCTTTGAAATTTTTTATAACTCCATAGTAGTTACCTGTGCAAAGCATTTTTTTGAAGAAAATGTGGGGAGGACCCTCATAAGCAAAGGATTTTGGTATACTAAAAAAACCAGACCATAAAATTTGTGATATTACCACAAATTGCCTATCCCCAGACAGTAGGAAAAACTTGTCTCCATTGCTCCACTACAACTGAAAGCAATTGTGTCCCTAACTTGCAAGTGTTCTATATGCAGAAGGGGTTTTTTTTTATTTGAGAGAGTATTCAAACATGTGATTCCTTACTTGTAATCTGTGATGGTACATCTAAACAAAAATTGCAGCATAATTGGGGGATCTTGCATCTTCAAGACATAGGTGAAGGCTTGGTCAGAGCTTGATAAAGTATTGGGGAAGGGATCCCTTACATTTTTTAATGATAAGCATGTGAACCTGCCCCAGGGAGTAAGTCATTTGTGCTCTCGCTCTCTCTGCTCCCTCCAATCACAAGAGCCCAAAGAAACTGTGTCAGAGATTTTTTTTGCCCAATCCCAGCTCACTTGCCATCCAGCAACTCTTTCACAAGTTTCCCCCTGCCAGCAAGCAAGCAGAGGCTGGGTAATCAATGGATCATCATTGCGGCTTTCACTGTACAATTAAAAAGATAAGTGAGTTCCTGGCAGAAGATGGTGCCTTGGACCCCCTGGGTGTGTTCCACAGACCCCCAGGGATCCCCGGACCCCTAATTGGGAACCACTGCCATAGAGGGTAGCCATATGCTCTACTTTATGGAAAACAGGGTATCCAGTCCAATGTCTAGATTAAGGATAAAGAGCTATAAGAAGGGAGAACCTTGAAGCTGCCCGTGCACAATTAGTACCCAGACAGCAGGTTGAATACACCACACTGTGCTGAGACATATTTCTATGCAACTTATAGTAATTATTTTCAAATTTGAACCTATACATATAAATCAGCATGGGCAGATTTTATGCAAATCGCTTCTTATGATGCACTCTCTTTTTGCCTCCACTAACTATACTTTAAATTAGGATGGAAAGAAGCTAGTTTCCTTATAGATCTTTAGGTGATTTGCAGTAGATCAGGGAGTTTCTGGCTCTCAATCTCTGAAGATTGAATGAACAGACACACACACACTCCCAAAGTAAGCTGCTGAAATGACGAAAGCTTCCAGGAATACAATTTAATGGGAAAAGGCCATGAGTTCAACTCTGATATGGGGTGAGGCTTACCTGCCCCCCACCCCAATATTTTATTCAAGTTGGCACCACTGCTTCTTATCAATGGACCACTTAAACTACTACAGTGGCACCTCGGGTTACAGACGCTCCAGGTTACAGACGCTTCAGGTTACAGACTCCGCTAACCCAGAAATAGTACCTCAGGTTAAGAACTTTGCTTCAGAATGAGAACAGAAATCGCGTGGTTCTTAACCCAAGGTACCACTGTAAACCTGAATTTCAGTTCAATCAAGTTCATGGGACTTAAGATACCTTAAGTACAACTGTGTCACTGCAAATCATTGCTTATTACCTGATCATATCCTCCAATGCCCCTTTCTATGACTTTTCTGATACTGGACAGCATCATGTTTTCTACTTGTGACAGCCACTTCTCAACCATGCCCTTAGGAAAAAAGATAAATGTGAAAATGAAGGCTCTATGAACCCAAAACCATACCATGATTGAATGAGAACTTTCACAATGAGAAAGTCCAAACCCTGTAGAGGAATCATATATGTGGTTCGTTTCAAAGGGCTGGCACAGAACAGGTTCTGTGCAGTAACTCATACATTCATTGTTAATAAGATTTTAATTGGAAATGCCCTCAATGAAAAGGAATCTATGCTACTAGGCAATATATATGTGACATATTATATGTTGTACAGGTCAGAGCCCAGCCTGGAGGGACATCATCTGAGGAAGAGGAGTGGGACTATGCAGAGACCTCCAGAGCCTGCTATCACAATCTATCAACCTGAGATACTGAGCACCAAATACATCTTACTCGTCTCCCCCAAGGTCCCACACACCAAGCTTGGACACCTTGGTCCCAGGCTCTCCCCTTTCACCTCCAGTTTTCACCCCCCTGCAGCAGAGATGGCATTAGTCCCAGAAAGAAGTCCAGCACCACTGGAACAGCCCTTGCATGGTTTGCCACTAGGGATACTTGGGAGGAGGGAATAGCCAGAGAAGGACCAGGTGTGCACTGGGACACAGCAGATGACCAGGAAGGGTGAGGAGTCTCCCCTGAGCCTCTCCTGGAATACAGCTTCCTACTGCACGCGCGTGGGCAGCTTCAACTCTGCCTAGGAATGGGTGAATTGATTTTGGTTTCTCTCAGTTTCCCATTTTCCTTGTCTTCAGTTCTCCACATTTCACGTCAGTTGGCAAATTCATTTTTGTTTAAGTTTTCATTAAAATCTGTTAAGCATTTTAATGAGAATTTCTCCTAACAAAAACATCCTTCAATGGAATTTTGCCCAACACACACATTTCCACAAACAAGTCACCCTAATAAAATGTGTTTCCACCCACTAATATATGCATTTCTTTGCACATTGTACAGATTACTTGGTTGAAGAACTGCACAGCAAAATTCAGATAAATGTAATTTAGAAGGGTGGCTATGATTCAGTTTGCTTATTGTTTCAGAAAGTATTAATTATGTAGGTTCACTTTAAAATGCAAACTGAATAGAGTTTCTTTCCCATTCCTAGTCCTGGTTTGCCCTGCTCCAAGATAAAGATAATTGATGGTGGACAAAAGGACTACTTTTCAATGCTCTTCACTTTTTCATCTAAAAACTGGCATCTTCCATTGAGCTTATTCCCCAATAAGCACATTGCTATGGCCAAGCTATCAAACAGAAAAACAAGAAAATTCTATGCAAAGGTTACTTTGGCTTGTGCTGGGTAGATTGTCTTGATAAAAGGTACAATTTCCTTCTCTGAGCTGATCATGCCTATAATCTCCATGTTCTCCGTAAAGTCTAGTTTTGCGATTCCCTCAAAGCACTTTTTCAAGTGTGGCTGCACTCGGAGAGGATCTTTGGTTTCGGACAAAATCTCCAGCAACTCGTCATTAGAAAGGAAGAAGAATCTGTTCAAAATAGGGTTGTTGTTTTTAACATCCACGCATTAATTTTCATGACACAGAAGTCACACAGTTTGGTGGTCATCACTTCATTGACCCCTGACCTGAATGGGGAGGGGCCACCGCTCAGCAGAATAGCATTTATGCCAAATACAGGGAGTCCCAGCTCACATGTCTGCTCCTTCAGTTAAAAGTATCTCAGCAGGTAGGTCAGAGGTGTGGAGCTTTTTTTCAACCAAAGGGCTGCATTCTCTTCTAGGCAACCTTGGGGGATGGGGATGTGTCAATGGTGGGTGAGGCAAAACAACTCATGCAAATGTTACCGTAGTACAAAAGGATAGTTTCTACACACTTTCATAGACCCATCTCTGTCTTCCATCTAGGCAAGCAAGAGGCATTCTCAGAGTTCAATAATACTTTGCAGCCAGACAAAAATACTCAAGGAGAGTGGGAAGAAGGCTAATTAGAGCTGGAGCTGAGAAGAGGGTGTGTGGCCTGGGGTAAGTCTTAAGGGCCAGAACAGAGAAGCTTATCTCTTGTGTGGCGATAAGCTTAGCAAATGTGTAGGTAGCATCTTACTACAACTCAAAAGCCAGAGAAGAAGAAGAAGAAGAGTTTGGAGTTGATATCCCGCCTTTCACTCCCTTTAAGGAGTCTCAAAGCGGCTAACATTCTCCTTTCCCTTCCTCCCCCACAACAAACACTCTGTGAGGTGAGTGGGGCTGAGAGACTTCAAAGTAGTGTGACTAGCCCAAGGTCACCCAGCAGCTGCATGTGGAGGAGCGGAGACGCGAACCCGGTTCCCCAGATGACGAGACTACCGCTCTTAACCACTACACCATGCTGGCTCTCAGATTTCTGCATCTCCTCTTGATTTTTATGACCACTGTTTGCCCCCTAAGGTCTTTATCTGGCCAAATTTATCACAGCACCACTACTCAGAAGGAAATGCAACCATGTTTGAGAGGGTTTTGTACAAGTGGGAGGAAAAGAAAAGTAAGACAGGAATGACCAAGGCTTTAAAAATTATGTATGTCATATAGTAAGTGTGTAGAGAGGAGTTTTCTTCTCTCCCCAATACTAGAACCCAGGGTCATTCAGTGTAGCTCACTGGTCAGAGATATGTGACAGAGGAAAGGAAGTAACCCATCATGCAGCACACAGCTAAGCTATGGAGTTTGCTGCAACAAGATGTGGCAATGGCCACAATTTAGTTTTAAAGGAGGAATTATTCAAATTCATGGAGGATAATAAGGCAATCAGTTGCTACTGGCCATGGTGGGTGTATGTTATGTCCATGATCAGAGGGACCATGCCTCTGAAAACCAGTTGCTGGGGAACAACAGCTGAAGACAGTATTATCCCTGCGGCTTCCTTGTAGGCTTCCCAAGAAGCATCAGGTTGGCCGCTGTGGAAATTAGGATGCTGGACTAGATAGGGCTTTGGACAGATCCAGTAGGGCTCTGGTTGTTTAAATCTGCTTAATTTGACTACTCAGTGTAATGTCTATGACAGATCCATTCCTTCATCCAGACCACCATTCCAGAATGCTCTGGCCTAAGCATAGACTAGTCTACTTCAGGACTCAAGAAATAATTCGGGAAGGAGAATACCAGTCTGTTTGCAACAGTGAGCAAGGAAAGCTCCCTGAAATAAGCCTCTTCATTTAATAGCCATAGCCTCAGTCCAGCTTCTTATTTCTAGGAGTCCCAGGCCTCTGAACTCAATGCTTCCTGTGTAGTCAATGTGCCACGTGTATCCACAAATCTAATTTCTCAATGAGAATCGATTTGCTTTAAATTGAGACTTGTTAATGAGCCCACCTTGGGAAAAATAACCTTTTCTTTTCCAAGTAAGTATTCAGACCCTTCTGGATGTCTTCTAAAAGCATATTTGCTTCTTGAAGTCTGTCCAACATCTTTGGTTGCTCAGTGGCAATCAGGACTCTGGTGTCTTTCACCTATTTTTTTTAAAAAAGCATACAATAGTAAAGAAGCTGAGCCCCCACAGGCTCCTCATCTTTGATACAAAGCATCATTTGCAGCTAGGACTCAATCAGAACAAGTTTAGCACACCTAGCGATTTGCCCATGGTTCTACAAGATTTGTAGTTGACCATCTTGATTCTCTTGCATTTTGGGCCCATACTGACTTCCTGTGTTTGCCTGCCAGTATCTTACCGGACGGTTCTCTTTGAACCTGGTTCCTGCTACCACTGGCTGGACCACATATCTCTCAGGATGTTTATGGGCTCTGTCAGTTCAAAACAGGACACTCACCTTGGGAGGGAGAAGACTGTCTGCCATGTTGATAGCCTTGCCAAGGCTCACTTAAACTACTGTATGAGACAGATTAGACTAAGCAGAAGTGACTCGAGAGTAAACTTTGCAGATGAGCAAGGGATGTGAATCCAGTCTCTATGCAACACTAGAACTGTGCTACATCACACAGCTGCTACGGTACCAAACAGGTATGGTATGCTGTGTAAGAAACCCCAACCATTTTGTCTGCTAAAGCCCAACCACTGTTGGTGAGCAACAACCTGGCTCAAAACTATTGCAATCTTTCTTTTACAGGGAAAGGGAAATGCTCTATGCATGAACCCCACCCCCCATGTGATATGTTCACACTGTAGGGGGTTGGACTAGATGACACTGTGGGTCCCTTCCGCCTATACAATTTTTGTGTGTGAAGAATCCCAAGTGCAACTGTCTACTTACTGCTTGCACCATGATGTCCTTCCAGTACATGTCCACTATTCCAAACTTCCTCCCCTCCTCCGGCATTTGAGCAATAATGTCCTCAGAGCTGAATATGGGTTCCAGATAAAGCCACGTTGCCTGGCATTTTAACCAATTGTCTAATATTTCCTGCATCAGAACAAGCTTCTCCTCCCACCTCTGTAAAGAGATCAATGTAAAGGTCTTCAAGGCACTATTTTTAATTCTCACTCAGCAGACTTGAGGCAACATTAAATAACAGGCTTCATTCCCCCTCCCTCCTTTCATCTCTCCTGTTGTATCAGTGTACCTACAAAATTGCGCGGTGTTGTAACAATCCTCCCCTCCCAAAACTGATTAACAGTGCTTCTCAAACTTGTTTTTCAAATATCATTTGGAAATAGCTTTTTTTCTATAAAAGAACCAGCACCCTCCCTAAAAAAAGGTTTATAAAGTGGACCCTCAGCAATGACATTTGAGAATTTGTCCTTGCTAAAGTGGTCAGTTTAAACATAAGCCCATTTTTTTTTCTATATTTGCAATTTTTTTATAGGGATATAAGATTCCAATTTATCTCTCCAGTAAACCAATCCCCAGAACTACTGTTTGGAAGTTGTCAAAGCCTTTCATAAGTTGCAGTGCCAGATTTGTATTTTGCAGACTACCTATCCTGTTCACACACAGGGTGAAGCTCAGTTGGAAAGATAGGAACAAAGCAATTCTGGAGAATGAAAGAGAGAGATCTTGTGTTAAGGGCGAGGAAGCACTAACAAGCTGTCAGAGTTAAAGGTAACGCTTCAGCCCATGATCAAATATTAATAGGAAAAGCCCTTTGGACTCTTGGGTGGAGCAGCCCTTTGACAATCCATTATTTTTTGCTCCTCCTTTCATCAGTAAGTCACATTGGGAGGCTTCAAATTCAACCAAGCACATAAATCACACTAAACAGCAGGGAACATCACCAAAAACAATACTCAAAATTGTGTGGATTTCATAAATGTCAAGCGGCTACAGACAGGTTTTGTAATGCAGGTACCAGAATACAGTTGCAGAGTTGTAGTCAGCTAAGTTTTACTCAAAATAGACCTGTTAAAATTATACTCATTATTTTCAGCGGGTCTTCTCTGAATACCTCAAGCTGCAATCTTAACCCTGTCTATTCTGAAGTAAGTCCTACTTAATTCAATGGGGTTTACTCCCAGCCTGACAAACCAACTAACAGACTTTCTAAATGTGCTGACTGCATAACAGAGAATGTTACAGATTTGTGCTTTCTGCTAAGAGATCTGATGGCTAGCCTTGTTTGGGATAATGTTTTTAAAAAGCACAGAGTGGTATACAGGTATATTGCAGCAGGAACAGGGGTGTGTTATACAGTTCACCAGTGTGATCTATTATATCCGATGTCGCTGAGCCAGACCTCCCATCATCCCTGACCACTAGCCATGTTGGCTGGGGCTGATGGGAGTTGTACTTCAGCAACATTTGGAGGGCCACAGATTCTCCACCCTGGCTTTAGATGTAGTGTAGAATGCAGATTCCTGTGTCCCATCTTCCCAATAAGCAAGCTGCTCACCCCATCCAAATACGTCATGGGGATGTTCTTATGCTAATGCATTGCATGGAGGCGCACAGAAACACAGACAACCCTGTTTCTCCTTACCCGGCATTCACCCTCTATCGGTTTGATGAATGGAGAACCACACATTGTCTGGGTCTTGACAATGTGATCATCCAGCAGAAGCTGGATGTCGTCGATTGCAGACAAAATGCTGGTGTCCTGCAAAGAAGCCACACTTAGTTGAGGTAACTTATTTAAACCCCATTATCACTGTGTTATGCACAAGTGGGGCCTGTAGCAATATGTTGTTCCTGGACAGACCTTGAAGCACTCCACTCCCTCTTTTCTACTCTTAGTTTGAATACCAGTTGCTGGGAATCACCAGTGAACGCTGTTGAGGTCCTGGTTTTGGGCTTCCCATTGGGGCATCTGGTTGGCCCCTTTGAGAACAGCATGGTAGACCATTGGCCTGACCCAGCAGGTTCTTCCAATCTTCTTATGACTATATAAGCAATCACACTCACAGCCTGAACATCAGAAATAGATGGAATGATTATACATGCAATCCTATTCTTCCCCATATGACTCTTGCTGCCAGGTTTACAATTTTTGTGTCATCACATGTGGGTAACCTGCTCTTTCCCCATGTACCATATATTACAGGAATGCATGGTGCTGGTGTAGAGAATCTCCAGTCAATACAAACAGTAATAGGCATACAAATAGCAGCCTTCTGTATTCAGTGCTGCTACATGGAAGTGGTTATCACAAACCAACCAACCAACCAAAACACCATCTTGGGGCATATCTTGCTCCCATAGGCACTACGGTCAGACTGGCAATGGGCAGCAGCCTCAGGTGATTGAGGAGCCAGCTGTGAGCCAGGCCAATGGTCAGAACTAATTAGTAATGCAGGACTGAAGGACAACCAGGGACTAAAAAAGGAAGCCAGGACTGGGGGACAAAGCGAGAAGCAGGACTGAAGAACAAGCCAGGTGCCACGGCCAAAGAATACAGGTACACGCCAGTGGTCAGGAAGACCTTGTGGTTCAGTCAAGGTTTAGCTGGAAAAGGAAGCCCTTTTAGATTCCTTCTTGCCCATGAAGACCTGGTGGCCAGCTTGGGTGGGTGCAGTCTAAGGAAGCTGCCACCTCCAGTTCACTGGTTCACCACTGGAGCAGCAATAAACAGATTTCAGCAGCTCTGGACAGCTGCCGTTCAACCAGAAACAAACCCACTGATCCTCAGTAAAGTAACATAACTGAGAAAATAACTATTGTCCCAAGCACAGTTGCTCGATCGCAGAAAATGTACTCACTGTGTCCCTGTATTTTACAAAAGTGAAACAGATATTTGCCCATTCCGATTTCATTTTCTCCATGTTTTTCTCTAGAGAGTACTCCTTGCTAGCTGCTGCTCCAATAGGCTCTAGTCTAAATGAAAATGGGAAATAAAGCAAATATGTGAGTTTCATATTGATTTACTCAGTCAAAGCTGCAATTATCTAAAGCCTGGGTGGGGAACCTTTGCTCTTCTAAATGTCACTGAACTACATGCCCCCCCCCCATCAGTGACCAGTGGCCAAGTAGGCTGATTGGGAGTTGAAGTCTGGAGGGATTTTAATTGACTTAAGAGACTCTCATCGTAAGAGTGTGAAGCTGGTTTGAGAAACAACAAAACAGCAAAGTTTTATAACAAAGCACAGGATGCAAATGTATTTTGGATCATGTTGTATGAAGATGGATTAAAAATCCAGCACTGGAATTACAGTGAGTCCACAGCAAATGGAGGTGTGTCCAGAGAAGATGGCTGTTATCTGGAGAAGCTTTCACCACAGAGAGCTCTCCATGGTCCTGACCCTTAGCTCTAGAAAAAAATTAGGGAAATAGTACTTTAAATTGGAGGTTTTCAACCTTTTAGGGTCCACGGCTTTCTTGACCAACTACATTCTTTCTGTGGCATCCCTGTGGGGCTCAGGGGCCCAGTTTTGTCACCACTTGCCCGCAGAGCTGGCAGGCCCTCACCCCTTTTCGAACACCCTCCCTTGTGGAGTGTTTTCTCAGCCTTCCTCTTCTCCCCTCTCCTTTGGTGTCCTCTGGGTAGCCGCAGCTGTTGCCCCTGGTCTCTGAGCTCCACTCTCCCTTGCTCCAAAGAGAGGTGCCTCCTCGCACTGCCCCACAGGGGCCTGGGAAGCACTCCCTGGCCAGCCCCAGAGGCACCATTTGCCTGGGGAGCTTGCAGCCAGGGCTCCTACAACAAACAGCCATGGAAGCCTTTGGGAGGCAAAGACCCAAGAGACCATCGGAGGCAGGAGGGAAGGAAAGAGGGACAGAGGCCAGTGTTGCCTGCTGCACCCCTGACCAAGCAAGAGTGCATAGGATTGTACCCTTAAGCTACAATCCCAAACACACTTACTAATGACACAGTGGGGCTCATTTCTAAGTAAACGTACAACAGAGCCATGCTGTTAGGCTTTGAGTGCATTTTTTTAGCACAGATGCACACATGTGGGAGCATAATGGGCACAAGAATTGCATGAACTTAGCTCCTCATTGTTCTGGAGCAAGACAAGATGTCTCCCCACATACATTTTTTACTGAAAAGTTCTGATTCGATTCTAAAGAGTTTGCTAATATTCCACAAAAAAATAACTGGGGCAGTGAGCAAAATTGCAAGGCTTTAAACAGTTTCAGGAAATATCAACTAGAAATCAAACTCTAATGTTGTTAATGCATGCAACAAATATTAACCAGATTAAAAGATCTGGGTGTTATTTTCTTACTTATCAATGTATTTTGATAGACCATATTCCAACATGTTCATGAGTGATGTAGTTTCATCAGGTCTTATCTCATATCCAACTATTTCACTTATCTGGAAAAAAAATGGACAAAACACAGAAAAGGGGTTTGTACAGGCATGGCAATACTGGTCCATCTTATGGGCCTGTTGTAAGAATTACTGAAATGCTTACATGAAACACTACTCTCCATATCCGTAACTAAATCTAATCATAACTGCAGTGAAAAGGACACATGCCAACAACGTGTGTGTTGTATATTACAATGTCCTTTTCTGGGGATTACAGACTTCATTAGCTTAGCTAATTGTTTCCCATAAAAAATCCCAAAGCAAAAGACCCCCAACTTGGTGAGGCTTATTTGATATCAACACAAAATGGAACCTTTTGTGTCATCGGCCCTGTCCTGTAGAATGCATCATGACCCCTGTTAAGGTCTACACTACAGTTGGCTAATACGCGTGACATCAATGATAACAATGACACATTCCCTCCGCTCAATCATGTCCATGCCATTTCGGGCATTTGAAGGGGGCTTAATTTTTTTTTTAAAAAAAGAATAACTTCTTATGAGAGTGACATAAGAAATTCACACTAAAATGCCGATCAATTTTCACAAGGACTTCATATGCAAACTGATGTGCAAATGTGCAGTACTGAACCCAGAACTGGGAATATGAGAAACAGAGAGAAACCATAATCGACAGACTTCCCCATCGCTACCTGTTCCCAATGCCTATCCTTCATCCCTCGATTGCAGGCAATAGAGAGGACAGGAAGATGTTGCTTGAACTTGTCGATCTTAAATTTCACATTCTCCGCTAAACGCTTTGGTCCAGGTTGATCTACTAAGGTCTTTGTCAGTTTGTACATTGTCCGCCACATGGTGGCAACATCTTCACTGATTTCCTCAGCGTTCAGCTGCAGGAGAGGTCCTGCATGTGAAAAAGCAAACAAGCATTTTGTAAATCTCAAAACCCAAGTTTTCTCTGCAAAGATTTACTGGCAGGTATTGAAGGCACTGTAACAAAACCAAAGCCAAAATCAATAACTCCTAGTTAAACACCAAAAGCACTGCCTTAAATAATACATGCCCATGCAAGAATATCTCAGGCTCAGAGATATTCTGCCTCAAGACAGGTGCTGTACACATAGCTGCAGAGAAAAGAAAATGGGAGATTACTTTCTAACAAATGAATATCTGGGTGAGGGCAATTTCATTTTAGAAGTGCCTTCAGATGATGATGATATTATTATTATTATTATTATTATTATTATTAAATCTTCTGCTTTCTGGGAAGGGAGCACACATTTTATTTTCTCTCGTAAAAATCAGTAAACATAATTTTTTTAAGACACACAACTGAGTTGCAAGCAACTTATCTTCGTGCATGAAGAACCTCACCATTCATCCATTCCTCAGACTTTGTATGGAAGTTGTAAGCAGTCACCCAAAGCTGTTCAAAAGGTATTTTGTTTGTGATGATAGTCTGCAGCAGTGGAAACTGGCTTTTCTCTCGTTCCAGTAGCTCCTCTTCCTTATTAATAGCCTGTAACACACACACACACATTATTTTAATGATTTGGTGTGGAGCTCTTGGGGGGGGGTGTGTGTTCAATTCAGCATTACAAAAAGAGCTAAAACAATTTCTTTAGAGAAGGGGGAAATTCAGATCTAAGTCTCCCCACATCATTTCCTTATCAAAATTTGCTACAACATGGTCTGTGCATGCAGAAGAACACTAGAACTCAGGGATATCCAATGCAGCTGAATGTTGGAAGATTCAAGAGAGATAAAAGAAAGCACATCTTCATGCAGTGCATAAACTATGAGACTCACACCAACAGGAGGCAGTGATGGCTACCAGCTTGGGTGATTTTAAAGGATTGGACAAATTTGTGAAGGAGAAGGTTATCAGTGGCTACTAGCCACAATAGGTATGTTTTGCCTCCTCAGCAGTAATGCTTCTGAATACAGTTGTACCTCGCAAGCCGAATGCCTCACAAGACGAAAAACTCGCAAGCCGAAAGAGTTTTTCGTTTTTTGAGTTGCTTCGCAAGACGAATTTCCCTATGGCTTGCTTCGCAAGACGAAAACGTCTTGCAAGTTTGTTTCCTTTTGGATTTTCAATGCATTCCTATGGGAAACCGTGCTTCGCAAGACGAAAAATTCGCAAGACGAAAAAACTCGCAGAACAAATTAATTTCGTCTTGCGAGGCACCACTGTACTAGCCACTGGGGATCACAGGTGGGGGGGAGTGCTCTTGCACTCATGTCCGGCAAAGGGGGGGGCTTTTCCCACAGGCATCTGGTTGTCTGCTGTGTGACTAAGATGCTGGACTAGATGGACCATTGGCCTAATCTAGCAGGTTCTTCTTAAGTTCCCCTCCCTCTGTTGCTTCACTTGGGTTGAAGTCTGAGCTCCTCAGGACAGAGACCTGCCCTCTTGCACTTTGTGAAGTGCCACAAACTTTTTTTTTTCCCCAATGATAAATATTACTACTGTAAATAATAAAACTATTCAAAGCTGGTTGCTGTGAACACAACTGTGTTCCAGAAAAGACCACTGTTCAACCATTCTCAATACCCTAGCCTGCATAATTGTACTCACTATCAGACATATTCAGAATAGTAGAGCCACTGAAATCAATAGGCATGACTAGTTTAGGTCCAATTATTTTAATGGGTCTACTGTGAATAGTTAGATGCAAACCAGAGGAGCTCACTTCTGCATAAACATGCACAGGTTGGCACTGTAAAATAAATTAAGGCTGCAATCCTAACCTCACTTATCTGGCAGTAAGCCCCACTGAATTCAGTAGGACCTACTATGGAGCAGGTATGGTCATGATTATGCTTAGGAAGCATTTGCAAATTTAAAGCTACGGAGAGACTAACTTCATATTCAGAAAGAGCAGCGTCCAAATTCTTAGACAACTCATTAAACTTTTCAACGTTGTTCTTCATTTCTTCCATGGTCATGACATCCTTCTTTCGGAAGCTTTCGACTTCTTTGTTATAATTTTCTAGGATAGCCTCGAATTCAGAGCACCTGGTTGTAAGCAAAGACAGCAAAGCATTCACTCATCTTATAGCTTGCTCCTCAATTAAAACAAACAAACAAAACCCCCAAAAATCAGTAAGTGAAGTGAAGAATTAAGTCACTTGGAGGTTTTGTTAGTCTGTTAAAGAAAAGTGGGATATAAAATGCCTAGATTGAATAAATAAACAATGGACCTTTAACTTAACTCTGCAAAGCAGAGGGTGAGCAACCTGGCTGCCGAATTCTGCATCAGCTGAAGCTTCCGAACCATCTTCAAAGGCAGCCCTATGTATAACGCATTGCAGTAATCTACTTGGCTCACTTTTCCCAATGGTAGGGCTACCAAGGCCCATCTTAATGGTTTGGGAAGGTTCAAATGGGAGGCAGCAGTTTCTGAGGCCACCTACTCCTAAGTTAGTAACTTACCTTTTGATGAGACAGAGCTCCACGTGATCCCGTCTGTTCATCAGCTGATTTCTTGCGGTTTCAAAGATGACCTCAATCTCATCCGGCCAATGCAGAACAGTACTGTTCAGCTTTATATCATCACCTAGGAAAATGTTATACCTTAAATTAATTTGCACATCTGTTCTGTTGTGGCCCTTCTTGCACTCCTTTGTATGTCATTTTGTGATGCTGCTGCACCAAAAAGCTAACTCAAATAAACTAAGTTGAAAGCTAACAAAATCTTTGACCAAGCTCTGGTTTTTAATGCAAGTATTTGTTTTTTATTTATTGCATTTCTATCCCACCTTCCTCTTTAAGGAGCTTGAGGTGGCGTATATGATTCTCTCCTCAATCAATCCCAACAAGAGCATTGTGAGGTACTGGCCCAAGGTCACCCAGTAAACTTCCTGGCAGAAGTGGAAAATTGAACTTTGGTCTTCCAGGTCCTAGACCAGCCCTCTACGTTACACCACACTGGCTCTCATTAAAATGGCAGATTGAAAGCACCCTATTAGAATAGGCATCCTCCTTTCTCGTGTTCATAGGTGTATGTATCACTTAAAAACAAATAAAGGATTATTTTAAAAACATTGCTTCAGAATTATTGCTTTCACTCATGAGCAAATTTAACAAATGAATCAATTAAAGCTCATGCAATTAATCAACTAAGATTTGTTTAGCTGGGTGACAGTCCTAAGACCAGCCCTTAGCTTGGATTCTTCCTTTGTTGTATTTTTCTTTTCAAAAACGTACTAGGAAGATCAGCGTAGTCCATCAGGAATTCCAGTCTGTAGATAGCTTCCCTGATTTCACGACGCAACTTAAAGACAGTGACGTCACTGGATTTTTTCAAATAGGCCGTGGTGTCAACCAACTCCTCAGTGGTCATAGGGACATCACTGACTTTGTCTGCAATTATGCTGTACTGGTTGCAAATGCTACAGATGGAAGCAGAAGAGGGACATGTTAAACATCTATCACAATGAATGATTTTTTACGATATAGTGGTATATAAATATTTGCATAAACAAACAAATGTGTTAGGCAAAGTGACATACAAAGCTGCGTTACATCAGCCAGAATTTCTTGCAGAAGAGGGAGAGAGAAAGAGAGAGAGAGTTGCATTAAAATCTGTTTATTAAGAGAAATCTGTACTAAAATGCTGGTTCATTATCATAAGGACTTCTTTAATAATATAAAAAGGATCCACAATCTGTTGTGGCAATGTGAAGAACTGAACTTAAAAGTGGGGGGGGGGGGGGAGAGAAACTAAAATGAATAGTTCCCCCCCTCCCATCATGGTCATGTCCCATTTATTTGCACATACCTCTGGTTTACCTCCCTGTTTTCTTCCACTTGGAACTCAATCAGCCTGTCTTTCAGCTTCTGAGTCCGACAGCAAAGATCCTCATTCAGCTTTAATGCGTCGAGGCAGAACAAGGCCAGAGGGACTGTGACGTGCAGAGACGCAATTTCTTTTTTCAGTTTCGTCAAACCATCAATCTTCTACACATGGATGATATTGCCATGGTTATATGGTGGTGACAACAACAGTAACAACAATCACATTATCTTAGGCTATTTTGGACATGTTGAAAAAGAGAAAAGAGCAGTCTACAAAGGTGTTTCTTTCTTTCTTTTTCTTTCTTTCTTTCATTCTTTCAATTAGTTTTTATTAATGACTTTCTTGTGTAACAAACAAACAAAGTAAAGTACATACGGTGTCTTCACTTTCAATTTATAGTGTCTTTTTCACAATTCATTTACATTCAGTATGAGACACTGTTATCATATGCATTATGTGGTTGGGGAAAAGGAGAGAGGAGAGAGAGGGGGAGAGAAATGAGGGGAAATTTGATCTTTCATTTTATTGCATAGTGTTTGTGTAGGACACTCCCACTGCATGTGTTGATTTGTCTCTATAATGGGACATCCTCTCCAACACAAGGGCATTAAGTGTCTATTACACTATCTATGCATCTCGTAGATACCTTTCTCAGGTCCTTTAATACACTGATTCAGTCCATTGCAAAGAAACGCAATGGTGTTGCTTGTGCTCAAAAGCCATAAGCAAGGTTGTGCCTTTCCCCACAGGCCTGGCTTTCTGCACTCCTGATCTTGCTTGAAAGTGCTGATCCAGAAGTGCAGGTTGACCCCCTTGCAGAGTCATGCCCTTCAAAAGAAAAGCTCTCCAGGATAAAGAAATTGCACTGGCTTACATTTGTAATTTAGCTTTTAGTTATGCTATAAGTCATTACCTCCACAAAATCATCCAGATCATGTCTTTTGCTTAAAAACTCAGTCACGTCATTTTCTGCATTGTTATTCAAGAGATCGCTGTACTTCTCGTACACGCTTAAGTATCTTAAACACAAGGGGTGGGGGAGATAAAAGAAACATAAATTATCCAGAACAGGATCAATGGTAATGAATATATGTTTTTTAATGTACTTTTATGCCATCATGGAATTCAAAGTGGCATAAATGTGGTTCCCAGGCAGTCACACATTCAGGCACTGACCAGACCCAGATCTGATTTGCTTCAGCAAAATGGTGACCTCCTGTGCCTTCAGACCAGTATTTGCAGCATAAATAACTATATTTCATGATAATTTTCTCCCAAGTCATTTCCATTGTTGAGACAAAAAATGAAAGAACATAATGTCTGAGAAATCTACTATACATTTTGGAAAGTTGTTCAGGTTTTTCCCAGCTCAATATGCATTTGGATGCTTCTTAAGATATTTAGGCCAGATTTGGGTTCCCAAAATCAAGGAGCAGGTTTTCAACTATTTGATCGAGAAAACTACCAGCATATGCTTACTTTCGCGGACCAACAAGATTGTGATTAAATATCTCAGCAGTTTTGTTCACATATTCTGAAACCAATGATTCATCTGCTTGGACAGTACGAAGAATTAGGTCGTCCCCTTTTAATTCTGGGAATAGTTTAACTTGTACCTAGAAAGAGGAAGCAGGAACCATAGTGAGCAGAAAGGGATAAACACTGTATGAATGCATCATAGAGAAAATGTTTGTTTCTTGACTTACAGGTTGCTATTGCTGTTGGTTTTTAAAAGTGAGCTATTTTACCCTGCCTAAAATTTGGGGAATTACACTATAGATTTTTGGCTCCTATAATATCCTAGAATTCATTTGATACGCTATTGTAAATGATTAAACAATAGCACAATCATATGAAAGCATTCTAGAAACTAAGATACAGTAGTTGTTGCTGTTGTTGTTGTTGTTGTTTTTATTATATATTTAGTTATACCCAGCCGTTTTCTCTGACGGGACTCAAGGTGACTTACAGATAAAAACAAGAATTGCTAAAAACATAGAAAAAACCATCATTTAAAAACAAACATTGGTAGAATTAAAACAGTATACATATATAAAAACGGTTTAAAACATACAAATAATTACAATAAAAGCAGCACAGCACCCGGCCTTTCATTAATAGCAGTCAGTTCCCAAAAGCCTGTGGTTCACACATAATGCTTAGCTGTAGTAAACTATAGTACTGAGCTATAGTAAACATTAACCAACCATGGCTTATGAGCGTGGTTTGTTCATGAATAAAAAAACCATGGCTAAGGTGCTGGGCCAAATTCAAATGGTCAAATTAAAGCATGGCTTAGCATTACATGGACCTACGCCACTGTTTTCAATTAGGATTTGCGTAAGATTGCAGCTGAAGTCTGTAATCCTATGTACCATACCTTTACCCGGGAGAAAGTCCTACTGAACATAATATAGCTTACTTCTGAGCAAACATGGACATGATTTTGATCTTAATTTTACTTTTACATACCTTTGGAAGACCCTCAGAATTTTTCAGAACCTCCATGAAGCAGTGATACAGTAAATCCCAACAAGCTTCCACATCTGGCTCAAATATAATATCAGGCTCCTGCACTTCCAGTTTGATGACCAACATTTGTGGTATGAAGAATTGCATTTCATGATAAGTTTCTCCAAAGTCATTTCCATCCTCAAGACAGAGAATGAAAGCATGTTACATCTAGAGAATCTTCTTCTGCTATATATTTGGAAGGTTGTCTGTCTGTCTTTCTGTATGTCTGTCTGTCTGCCTGCCTGCCTGCCTGCCTGCCTGTCCATCTGTTCCCTATGCATGCAGACACCTCTGAAGATATTATCACCCAATATGAAAACCCATCCTTCCAGAGAAGGATATATTTGGATACCATCAGATGCCATTCTGAATCAAGATGATGGACTGAACCTTTCCAAACTAGACGAAAGTTAACCAAATTTGGCAGGATTGTATATTATTATTCATCCAACAGCAATAGAACGAAAATACTAGGGCTGTCCAATGGAGTCTGGCGAAGCCTAAAACTTGAAGCAAATTGGGTCAATCCAAACAGAACCAGACCAGCCAATCCAGGGCTGTCAATATAGGTGATGGGGGGGTGGGGAGGCGAGGTTAGAAGGAAAGGCAGGAAGCCTCTACTGAGAGCAACCTGAGGCTTTTTGCAAGAGGGCTTTCAAACAGCCCTGTACTGAAATTTGGTTTAACCAACCTGTTCCAAACAGGGGAACATGCACACAGCCCAATTGAGCAGAACTAAACTCTCAGCTCACCAGCTGGTGTGTGGAGGGTTCAATACTGCTCTCTGCTGTGTGGCTGCCTGGGGGAGAAGGAGGTGTATTATCTTCTTCCCTATCCCCTCTCCCAAACATACATTTAATTAGGGTTTTAAATGTAATTTGTTGTTTTTAATCAGGGTTTCATTTGACTGGAGGTGAGGGATTTCTGGGGATGGACTTTTACTTGAGGTCTTCTATACTTTTTATCTGTCATCTATGTTTCCAGTTCATATTCGTTATGACACCTTGACTACCATCTGATGGAATAGCAGCATTTGCTCTTTTTTAATCATTCTGTTATTTCATCACCTGCTGAAAATGCTTTTGTTTTCACCAAGTATTTTTAGAGAATTAATTTGATTCAGTGTTGGTCACTTCTTCTCTATTTTATGGTTTTTTAGTTGTATGATATTCCAGCTATTTTATTGTACAGCAATTTGATGTTTATGAGTTGTCAGTTTATTTTAAAATCTTATAATGCAATACAGTCATACCTTGGATCTCAAACGCCTTGACTCGCGAACAAATCAGCTCCCGAACAATTGAACCCCGGCAGTGAATGTTCCGCTTTTTGAATGATTTCCGGAAGCTGAAATTCTGGCACAGTTTCCACAGCTTCCAATTGGCTGCAGGAGCTTCCTACAGCCAATCAGAAGCCGTGTTTTGGTTTCCGAATGTTTTGGAAGTCAAACGGACTTCCGGAACAGATTCTGTTCGACTTCCAAGGTATGACTGTACAACTACAATAAATGCATAATATAAGATCAAGCTGTATGAATGTCTACAAAGCACTGAAAGTCCAGGTGACACGGTCAACCCTGCATACCTTATGTATCCTAAAGAAGGAAAGGAGATCCGCTAATGAATTAATGACCATCTCCCGTAGCTGTAAAGACATGAGGACGGCTACCGAAGCAAAATATTCTTCTATCAGTTGAGAAGAGTCAAAGTCATTCTGGGGAGCAAGATGCAGCCAGTTTTGCTTCTGTTCAATGAACAGTTCTGCACATGTTGGAATCCACCTGTAATGTGTACGTTATCCTATCAGCATATGTCAAGATTGTTTTAAAACGATGAGTTGTAAAACAGCCTTCACCAACCTGGTGCCCTCCATATGTTTTGGACTGCAGCTGATGGGAGACATAGTACAAAATATTTGGAGGGCACAAGCTTGGTGGATGCTTCTTTCCCCACCAAGCTCCTCCATTTGGCCCACGACTCGGGCAAGTCACGCCCACATGCCCTAACCCTGATGTCAGATGGTCAGGTAAAGACAGAGCTTGGCCCAAAGGGGCTTGGAAAATCCCCTTGCAGAGCACTGGCCAAGTGCTCAATGAGCAGCTGGTTGTTGGGCACTTGAGAAGTGATGCACGATGCACTTTGCAAACACTGTGTGGGGTGGGAAGAACGATTGGGTCTGTCAAGCCAAAAAAAGTTCCCCACCCTTGCTTGATTGCCAGTAGCATTAATTCATGCTGCTCAGGGCATTTTCTCTAAAGCCTCTGAAATGTGGTGGACTCCTGCAGGATTTACTATGACCAAAAACAGAAATGAATGGCTTTAAAAGCGAGGTTTTAGAACATCACACAGTTATTCTGTTCACACACATCTCTGTGAACTTAAGAAAAAGTGGGCGGAACAACAGAAGTTACTTTTATCTTTCTAACAGTAGGTTGCTTTGGGTCATTTCTATGAATAAAGCGATGTCATAATCATCATTCACATAAAGCAGAAGTGGGGAACTTCTGGCTCTCCAGCTGTTGCTGGACTCCAACTCCTATCAGCCCCTAGCCAGCATGGTCAACCATCAGGGATTTTGGGAGCTGTAGTGCAACACCAGCGAGAAAGTCATAGGTTTTCCCAAAGCACTCTGACCTGTTCTCAAGAATATCATGAGCTTCTTGACAATGTTTTCGGACCAAGTCTTCAAACTCGCTGGGCAGTAGTGGCAAATCACCCTCGAGGATTTCCTGGGTACGAACAAACCTCAGGTTACAAAACCTAAGGGAGGGAAGGAAAAAAAATGCATGGCTGTGATGAACTTGACATAATGATGTAGAATAAGGATTAAATGCAATCATACCTGCCCGGTCTACGGAACATAGGAAGCTACCTTATAACAAGTCAGTTCACTGGTCTGTTTAGCTCAGTACTGTCTACATTGACTGGGGGCAGCTCTCCAGCCCTACCTGGGACCTTCTCCAAGCAAGACAGTTGCTCTGCTAATGATCTACAGTCCCTCCTTTAGGGACACTGAAAGCTGCCTGATGCTAACTCAGACCACTGGTCCATCAAAATCAGTATTTTCTACGATGGCTGCAAGCAGCTCTCCAGGGTTTCAGGCAGGTGTGTCTCCCAGCCATACCTGGAGATGTTGGAATTGAACCTGGGATACCTACTTCATGCAAAACAGATGCTCTGCCATTGAGCAACAGCCCTTGTACTGGAACCAGCATAGCACTGAATGCAATTTCCTACTGTATACAGCACAAGGGGTCCTCTGGGATTGCTCCTGTAAGCCACCAGAAATATTTCTGGACTGATCTATACTCACAGCTGAGGGAAGGGCAGTTGGCTCCGTAGCCAATATTGTTCAGTAATATAAGGTGATTGTGAGCAAGAAGATACTGTACTCCACATAATCTCATCAATCTATGGCCAGTTAAGCGTTTGCATAGAAAGCAAATAGAAACTTATTACTTAAAAAGAAGTTAGGGGATATTTATAAGCCAGGCGACTTACTCTGAGAACCAGAGGCGTTGCAAAGTAAGCATCATAGGATTCACTGTGAAGAGGTGACCTTCGTTCCAGCTTCTCACTTCTTGGTAGATTGTGTGCCATGGAACTGGTGCACGAATCACTCTTCGAGGAAAAGGCAATGGAATGTTGTATATAAAGAGTCTTTTCCTCTCCTCTGGATCCATCAAGATGTAATCAACTAGGGTAAAACCACACAAAGCATGGGAAGAAGGAGGAAACTCCGTTTGGATGCAGTTTGGAAGCAATGGTTAAGTGTATGCAGCACGTGCAGAAGGCACACTAGACCATACAAAGAATCCTAGGAACTGTAGTTTTTAAAGGTGCTGAGAACTGTAGTTCTGATTATGCTAGAGACTCTGTGTCTAATAAATCAAATGTGATTACAGTTTGTTATTTTATACTCACACCCAAAAAGTGCCACCTAGGCAGCTTCCACAATCTACCTAAAGACAGGACCAGTCCTAGAAACCAGGTTGCAGAATTCCGGTTTTCAGCTTGCAGACCTTGTGACAATAAAAATTCAAGAATCACTGCCCATGCCAAACCACACTTTTCTCTTACCAATGTCTTTCATGAGCCAAATATGATAATCATTCTGAATCTCTTCGGTTAATTCTTTCAGTAACGTCTCCAGCATTGGGTTAGCGAGAAAATGACTTGGGATATGCTTTAAAATGCTATCCATCACTTCTTTGTTCTGCGGTGCCAGCATATCTTTCCGGATGCCTTTATGGATGTAGTAACAGTATCGCTAGAAAGTAAATACATATATATGTAGATTTATTGCATTGAATATAACACGGAAAATAAGATCAGCAACATCTGGAGGGCCAAAGGTTCTGCACACCTGCTGCATAGAGTACCCAAGTAATGGAGTAACTTAATCCACTTAGGCTGGCTTCTGGCTCTCTCTGACCGAAGAGGCTGAAAAGACTTCTTGTTTGGCATAGGACTTTCCCTGGGCAATGGTAGATATTCCTGGTTCCTGATGTCTTTCTTCTGCTTCACTCTAACTCCTGGCTTGGCTTCTGTCCCAATCTGATGACTGCCCAACATCTCAGCCCTGAGAATCTCCTGCCTACTGTTTGCTTACCATATTGCCCCCAATTTTCTGTTATAACCGCAAACCTGCAGAGTTTTAATTCAGGTTTAGTTCCTGTTCAGGTTCACATTGATTCATTTTGCTTCAAAGAAGGAAGTACAGTGGTACCTCAGGTTAAGTACTTAATTTGTTCCGGAGGTCCGTTCTTAACCTGAAACTGTTCTTAACCTGAACCATCACTTTAGCTAATGGGGCCTCCCGCTGCCGCCACGCCGCTGGAGCACGATTTCTGTTCTTATCCTGAAGCAAAGTTCTTAACCCGAGGTACTATTTCTGGGTTAGTGGAGTCTGTAACCTGAAGCGTATGTAACCTGAAGCGTATGTAACCCAAGGTACCACTGTAAATAAAAAGCTGCAGATAAAAGCAGGATGAATTCTGGATAAACTGGACCTGTGTTTCCCTGTGTTTCAGGAAACAGCTCACTTACCTGCAGATCACTCTCTGTGGGTAGAGTTTTTCCTTTACTTATTTCCTCCTCATGCCTGAGCATCACAACAAGCTGCTCTTCTGGAGTTAGAGGCTGGTTGTCAGAATAACAGATAACTCCTGTTTCAGATTTCTGCCTATCCGGTGTCAGCAGCAAATCAAAACTGTGTGCTTCCTCTATTGCCATCACCCTGGAATTAAAAGCCGCCAGTTGAGTTGGCTAAGTAACCAGAAATGACATTTTGGACAACACCAATCCCTACTATACATTTAGCATCCCCAAATGTTCAATATGTCTCAAGCTTTCTTCTAGTCCCCTTAGCCTGGCCTCCCCCAGCCTGGTGCCCTCCAGGTGCTTTGAACTACTACTCTCATCAGCCCCAGCTAGTTTGGCCAATACTCAGGGATGATAGAAGTTGTAGTCCAAAACATCTGGAGGACACCAGAGGCTGATGACCAAAAGCATATCGTTAGGGAAACAAATTCAGCTAGAACAAATTCTAAATAGATAGAAATACTTGTATGTTATTTATTTATTTATTTATTTATTTAATCTCAAGTTGGCATATACAGAGTTTTTCTACATAGACTCTATCAGCAAAATTAACTCCACAGAAACTCTCATGTTGCACAACTTTTGTGCAAAATGCAATAAAAAAGTAACATAATACATCAGGAAAATGAGAGGGGTGGGGAGATGTATTTAAGCTTTCCTTTCTGCTCACATTATTTTATTTAATGGAAAAAAGGAACTCCTATAAAAACTGAAATTAAGATTTACAACCAGGCAAACTAAAATATTAAATGGTTAAAGGATTAAGTGGGTTTGGAATTTGCATATTCAAAGTCATAGAATAGTGACAGAGTACATGTTCTGCATGCAAAGGATACCATTGTTCTCAAGTTTATAAGTTTATTGTTCTAGCCAAAGGCAGTGACAAACTTACTTTAGACAATAGTATGAATAATATAATACAGAACAAACATCCATAAAATTAAAAAAGGCTTTGCCAAGTTCCTGAGCATTAAAACACAATTTCCATTGTGCACCTCTGACAGCTCCAATTCTAGTATTTTTTTTCTTTTAAAAATCCAATTTTTTATTGGATAATGTAGGAGAGAGAAGTTACCAGAGACACCAACAAACTCAAATCCAGCTTGCTTTCAGATTAAACCACCAAATCACCACAACAATGTACAGCAATTTTATCTAACTCATTTTCCCTTATTTTTTTTTGCAGTCAGTGCATAGAGGTGACCTCTTGCATCTCTATCTAAGGAACAGTTAAAGAGATAATGAGTTATGTCTTCCACCTATCCACAAAGGATATCAGGTTAACTGCATGGCTGGGGGGAAATTCTGTTTGAAATTCTGGATAGCCAGTATTACTACTACTACTACTATTACTACTACTACTAATAATAAACTGCCCTTCATCAAAAGATCAAAAGACACAAATAAATAGTTAAAACAAAAACAACAAAACAATAACTTCCTCCCCTTCTACAAACACATTTAAAAGACTGAAGAATATTAATCAGCCATGATCATGGGCAAGGAGAATTTCACAGCACAAGGGCCACATTCCCCTCTGTGCATGTTCTGGGGGGCACATGCCAGTGGTGGGTGAGGATAGAGGCAAAGTGGATGGAACAAGAAATATAAGTTGGCAAGTATCCTTACAGACTCATGCACCCCTCTCTATCCTCCATCCAGAAAGAGACATTGAGCTCAAGGATGCATTCCAGGAAGGCAAATAACACTCATGCAAAGCAAGGCTAGTGAGGGGGTATGGCCTGGGAAGAAAGGGTGTGGCTTGGAGGAGGTATGACCTGGAGGGAGTCCCAAGGGCCATAGAGTCCAGGAAGGCTCCCAAGCCTGAGGCTCCCTATCCCTATCATACAGGTATTGGATTAAAGGGCAGTGGAAGGACACTGCAGCACATAAGACGGAAACACTGAATTGCTGTGTGGCTGTGAAAAGCATGGAGAAGCCAACATTAGAGTCTCGTATGACAGCAGTTGGAAAATGGCCCCAAACAGCTCAAATATAAAACATTATCTTGCCACTATATGCGGGATGTGAGCCACTTTCCCCAGATTAAATTAGACCTAAGCAACAACCAACCAGCAAGTAATGAAGACATAATTACTGCTTGGAACTTGCAAGTCTTAATGATAGCCTTTGATGTATTTCAAAAGTGAACACTTTGATAGACTGAATGATAATATTGTAAGCAAGTGCCCAAACATGGATGTGTGCAGCTATCTGCTGCTGCCTTTGTGCATAAATCTGTGTGCTTGAAAATAATTTAAAAGCTAGCAAACAAAAGAACCCATAAGGAACAATAGAGGGGAGAAGAATTTTCCCTGTTTTCAAATGTAGTCTTATGGGGCCTGAACAAACCCTGTATAAGGTCTATGGGTAATATTTAACTACATTTTTCTCAGAGCAGACCCACTGAAATTAATGAACATGGCTACATTTGGCCCATTAATTTTAATGAGCCCACTCTGAGAAAACTTAGTTGAATACCACCCTGTGCAACCTACAAATCCAGATCTTTTGCTGTGCGGGAGGCCTCTATCACAATCTCTACTCTACATTTAGCTCTGTGCTGGAAATATTCTGTCCTGTGGAGAGCCCTTTGCTCCCCATTTGTTAGATTTGTTCTGACATGCTAGACCGGCCAGCGGGCTGGTCAAGATCTGAGCACTTTAGGAGGAACCATTATATCTATAAAGGACATTTGAAGCACATTATCGATGTCAAAGAATTCAGGGCACTGTAGTTGGTTAAGAGTTGCTGGAAATTGTTGCTCTGAGGGGTAAACTGGAGTGCCCAGAATTCTCTGAGGGAAAGAATGTGCTTTTAATATGCATTAAAGTTGCAGTGTCTATGCAGTCCGGAATTATTTTCTTCCCTTGCTCCTCGGTTTTTCATTGCTGTGTGCTCTTAGCTGCCTGAGATAAAGTGCTACTTTCTGGTATGTGTTACCTGGGTGAGAGAAGGAACTGGAAGAAATATGTGAACATCACACATGAGCCAAGTTAACCCATCATGAGAACACCAAGTTTTCTGGCTTATTGTGGTATACTGGGAGCAAGCACCGTGCACACATACTGCTCAGTTGTTCTGATGATCCTCTTCCCCAGTGTGAATGGCAGAAACAATCCAGGAAGTCAGCCCGGCAAAGTCATATTGCTGCCAAACAAAGAGGATCCTCCCCCAGCCTCCCCTCAGTGGTGGATTTGGGGTCTCAAATTTCAACAGTGCTCTGCGCAGTGCTAATGTTTGGCACATGCCTACGTCCCCCGTTTTTCACCTTCCATTCTACATCATAGTTGCGGTGCCGCTAAGGCTCTGCACCCAGTGCAACCGAACCGGTTGTGCTCCCCTAAATCCGCCTCTCCTCCCTCACTGGCATAGCTGTCAACTTTCAGATTTGAAAATAAGGGATCAGCAGCCTCACCTGTCCTGGGGACAGTCTACGGGATATCTAACAATCCGGGACAACAGCGGGAAGCAGCGGGAAACGGTGCTGGAATAAGGGAATGTCCCGCAAAAAAAGGGATGGTTGACAGCTATGCTCACTGGCAGCTGAATCTTCATTCAGTACTAGTGATAAGATCATCTCTTTCCCTGTACCTGGAAAGCATCAGGGTAGCTTAAGGCAAGGAGTCACTTGAAAGCTTATGGAACAACAACTATCACCCGAGTCCCTAAGTATCCGTCAGATGAATGCACAGCTTATAAACTATACAATACCTGTCACAGTCATCAGCAACATTTCCTGATGAAAGTTTTTTCTTCTTCTCAGAGGGAGCAAATTCTTTTGGAGCTGTATGACTTGGTCAAGGGGAAAAAAACACTAGTCAAAACAGGAAAAGACTAGGCCAGATTTGGGGACTCTTGAGCTTTGCAAATTCTACCTGATCTGCACCTCCCAAACTTATGTGCTGATTTGAACTGAAGTTATCAGCTTTTGTACTTCCTTTTGTACTTTTGTACTTACATTGCAGCAAATGCTAGAACAGTTCAAAATACATAAAATTTTAATCTGCTAATTTTAATGTGGCTTTTAAAAAATTGCTTAGTGGGGAACAGAACAGACATATGTACATAAGGAAAAGGGAACCAAACTGGAAATATACAAAACAGAGCCAAAATATGCATGTGTCTGTTTATTAAACACAGGACTATCCATTTGCTTATAAAGCAGGCTGGTGAGTCTGTTTTTTATAACAAAAGAGGCACACAGGGTAGTGAAGCAAGCTCATATGTTTCCCTTCCTAACCTTGTTCTGATACCAGCCCAGTAGTGGCTGGTACCCCTTGGGATTGGTAGGGTGGAAGGCAAGGAGGCCACCAGCAGGTGGTGCCAGATCTGATATCAGTAAGAGCCATTCCCTAGATTAGTTTTAAGTAAGAAGGCAGGCAGGTTGGGGGGCGGGGGGGGGGGGGCTGAGAGTAGACTGAGGCTGGTGGAGAAGTGCCCCATTCACCCTAATGGACAAGTATCCACCAAAATGAGACGGGTGTTTGTGTGCTAAAAGCAGCTAAAGATGGTCAGCAGGTTTCACGCCACACAGAAAGGTACTACTTGCTCAGCAGGGAAATACAGGAGCTTCTATTACACCTGCAATTCCCCACACCACTAGGAAATAGCAGCTGGAGGTGGCGCAATTTAAGTGAAGAAAATGGCATAGAGGAAAGGGGTAAAAAGCCTCAGTCACTGCAACTTTCCAGATCAAATGCAAGTAGCCCTTGCTGTCATTCACTTCTTTCTCTCACTGGATGGCACAGATGCATTTAGTGTTTTTATTTTTAAAATAATGGGGGAAATAAACATGAGACTCCCAACATAACAAGCTGTTTAGCTGACAGCAATCTCCAAATTGCTTTCATGTCAAAGAATTTTTGCAGACCTTGCGATTGCTAGAAGAGTCACAGGATATCAGCAGTCATTGGTAAGAGAAGGAAGATGTCCCTTTTCTTTCTGTTACCCACCACACCACCCAGGCCCATCAGTACCCAGCACCCTTGGACACCTGCCTGGATCGTAATAGGGCATAAAACAGCCTGGGCTCCCTGACTCAAAAGTCTGAGCTGCAGTTTTAAATTTCCCAGAATGATTGGGGCACTTTGGGAAACTTAAATTGCTTACTCATAGGTGCTTGGCTACTGAAGCCAAGAAAACCCCACAGCCGAAGGCTCAGCAAGACGGGAAGGGGCATGGAAAACATAAGAAGAGCCACACTGGATCAGGCCAATGGCCCATCAAGTCCAGCATCTTGTTCTCACAGTGGCCAACCAGATGTTTATGGGAAGCCTGTAAGGAGGATCTGAGTGCACCAGTGTTCCCCAAATACATTGGAGCACTTTGCTAAGGGAATGCTTAGACATAGACTTCTCCCTCATGGCACCCCAATAGCTGGGTTTGCAAAGCCCTGCTAGCACCAGTGCTGTAGTGGAACAGCAACACAGCAGAGTGCAGTGCCCAGTGGCCACACTTTTTTTTCAAAGCAGGAGTAGTGATGCCATCTACTGTGGTAGAGTTTTGCTACAGACACACCATACATTTAAAGTGTATTTAAAGCACATTATCCACCCCAAATCATCCTGGGAACAGTAGCTTAAGAGTGCTGGGAACTGTAGCTCTGTGAGGGGTAAACTACAGTTCCCATAATTCTTTGAGGAGAGGATATGGTTTAAATACAGTATATGGTGCATAGGCAGCTTTTGGCAGTGTTTGTGGAATGCTCTTCACAGAGAAGCTTGCCTGGTGCCCTCATTACATATCAATAGGCACCAGGCAAAAATGTTTCTCTTCAACCAGGTGTTCAGCTGATTAACACTCTATGGGTTTTTAAATGTGTTTGTGGGAGGGAGGTTATCAGTTTTTGTATGTATTTTGGATTTTCATTTTATATTTTTCTGTTGTGAACCACCCTGAGATCTTCAGATAAAGGGTGATATACAAATTTAATAAATAATAATAATAATTGTAAGCTTGAGGGGAGAACAAAGGCTGGGCCAACACATACAGAGCTTGCCAGACAAAAAGATAGGAAGATAAACAAGCATTTGACAAGAGACACAAGCCTGTTTTCAAACACATAGGATACGTGGAGAATGTCTTGTGGTCCCAGTTGGCTTTCTTGCCTTTAAAGGTGAAACTATCTTACGCAGATCTTTCATCTTCAAGTTCTGTGCAGTGAGGGTGTAATTATTGGCAATGGAGTTGCTGGGGCTCCGGAAATGACACTGCTCTTTAAAGGGAGCTGCCAAAGTCCAGGATGCTCTTTGCATCAGAGAAGGGTAAAAGCTGCTATTTTGGATCATCTGAAATGGAGTGGGATGGGGAGAAAAAATAACAGTTTATATTCTGTTGCGCTAGCCGGCAATTTCTTTAACTGATATAAGGTAATGACAGTGGAGGCTGGTGCCCATTGGGACTGGGTAGGGCAGAGTCGGGAAGGGGGTGCCATATCAAATGGCTGCTTGAACTAGAGTCAACGGTAGATGAAGCCAACTATTTCTGGTTTTGCCCCTATTATCTTCCCTGCTGAATTGTACAAGAGCACCACTGTGACAATGAGACTGACAATCAGTGCTACTCGCTGGACTAGTTGTAAATAAAAAGGTAGGCAGGTACAGGGACGGACTTAGATAATATGGCAACCTGAGCAAGGACAAAATTTGGTGCCCCCTATTGTGGTTATTAATATTGCACATTCAGAAGCAATAGAATGAATAAAAACTGAAATAAAAATTGTCCAGTCCAAAAATATGGTTCAAAAGCTTTACTAACAGAAATTGCTTCAAAACAAACATGAAACAAATAATGTTACATCCAGATAATCACATAATATCATGTGCTGATTCCTGCACAGGTAGAACATCTTAGAAATATGAAATAACTTCATTCAGAGCTGAAATCAAAGCTCTGTCTCTCCAACACAGTCTCCATTAACTTGAGGCTGTGTTCCCAGAGAGAACCATTTGCACATCCTTTCTTCTCTAGTGCCTCAGAACAAACACCTAACTCACACACCCAAAATGGACACATGAATATCTCATGTGATCCAACTTAAACACCTTGTGGGAGCTAGCAGAGATACATTCTCAGTTAATCAGCACCTGTCAAGCTCTCTAAGAGCTTTTGTTTTAGCCCAATGGAACTTTCCAAACCATGTTATGTTTTTAGCAGTACACATACAGACATATACAGAGTTATTTTCCATTTCAGTGCACAGTTAAACAATTATACTTAACACCCCCTAAATATTTCTTATTTTCACAATAATTCCTTTTGGTACAGTTCCTTTTCAGATCTTCTCAGTACGTAACCATATAAATATATGTTTATTATTGCTTTTGTTATTTTGCACCCCCTTGGTTCAGCACCCTGTGGAGGGAACCGCCTGTGCCGCCTTAAATCTGGTGTGGCAGGTGGGGATTGGCTGAGAACATATTGAGCTTGGTGGAGCAGTGCCTCATCTGCCCTACAGGACTAGCTTCCATTGGACACTTCCAGTATCACAGACCAGTGAAAGGGCAATGTTGAGAGTGGGAAGGAGGGTGCCCACTGTATGCATTTTGCCCAAGCTCCTCTGCACCCAGTACCGCATGTAACAAACCCAGTGCACAGATTGGGTACAGCTCACACATTAGGCCAGTGGATTCTACAAATACACATCAGTTATTATATATTATGGCCAAAGTTTGTAAGACAGGTCAGAGGGCAGCCAGCAAAATCACAATGCCCCACTGTGGAATGGCTTGTCTATGCTTGCCCAGACTTTAGCCCACAAGTCAGGCAGGCACACACAAAACCATTGCAAAGAGGCATCCAAGAGAAACTTCTTCCCTTCCTCTCTTTACTATGACTCGACCATGCTTATTAGAAAAAGCATTCCTAGTCCCAGTAGTTCATCTGCTATCTGGGTTGATGTTACTCTGGCTCCAGTGCACTCCCACCACAACTGTTTGAATCCATGTACATACGACGTTATTCACAATGCAGAACTATTCTCTTATTTCTTGTGAAATGTAACTGTTTGATGCACATCCTCATAAAGCACATTTCATTTGGAACCAATTACTTGTAGCCGTGTTTTATGAAGAACAACAAAACCATGCTTTATTAAGAATATTTCTTCTGTAGGATCTGGAACCCTGACTCGCAACACAAAGAACCTGCCTTCCCAGAGTACCACTCATCTCCCATAAGCAGTGCCTGATGGTGCTTTAATAGATGTAACCCAGTGGGCAGTATAAGAAGTATACATACCTGATACAGTTCAGAGGGGTCTTCTGCAGCCAAACCTGGCAAAGGTGGCAACTCTGGTATTTGTTTGGCATGGCTCATATTATAGATGGAATCATTCTGTTCCTAGGAATCATTAAAAAGGAAAAAAAGCAATGTGTTAAGAAAGCCTATAGGACTAGACAGATATACAAAGCCCATCTAGATACAGTGGTAGATGGGGACCATTGGGATTGATAAGCAGAAGGCAAGGAAGCCAACAATAAGTAGGTGAAACCAGGGCTAATGATAGGCTCAGCAAGACCCAATGACAGAGCCAACAAATTATAGTTTTGCCCTCCATCCTCCTCCTTCCCGAGTTCTACAGGGGGCAATGCTGAGACTAAAGAGGGGGGAGCCAACAGTCAGGACTACTCTTTTGGAAATGGAGTGGGTTAGAGAAGGAAAATAGCAGTTGTGCTAGCCGGCAATTTCCTCGACTGAAATAAGTGGAGGTTGGTGGCCATTGAAGTTGGTAGAGCAGAAGTCATAGAGGTCAAATGTAGGAGGCTGGTTGAGCTACAGCCAATGATAGATAGAACCAACTAATTCTGGTTTTGTCTCTATTCTCCTCCCTTCTGAATTCTACAAGAGCAACACTGAGACGAAGGGCAAAGAGGCTGACAGTCAGAGCCACCTTCTGGAGTGATTTTAAGAAAAAAGGCAGGCAGGTGGAAGCTAGCTGAGGGCAGATGGAGGTTGGCAGGGCAATGCCCCATTTGCCCTAATGGACCAGTCTCCACTGTCCAGATGCAGGCATAAGCCTTTTTTGCACTGCTGCCTTGGAGTTGTGTATGACACATCAGTATCAAAACACCTGTGAAATCCTGAATTATGTATATATCATAATTGAACGGTGGACATAATTAAACACAAAAGACAAGCGGGGCTCCGCTAGGAGCGCAATGGAAGGCCGACAATACCATCTCTCCAGCTCACACAAGGTAATTAAGAGGCTGAGATGGGAGTAATCAGCCTCCCAGGGTTCTTCCCAGTGGAAGGGAAGATGCAGTCTCATCCGCGGCTGCCCACAAACCACCCCCGAGTTCAAAAAGAAGGAGGGGGTGGGGGCACTGGATGGAAAGCCCTCGAGCGAGCTCGGGTCTCCTGGACGCTGTCTATATGAGTGCTCCAAGTTCCATTTCTTAAGATAAAAGATTGGATATAAGATTTATGGACATGCTTCGAGCGAAGAAAGGGTATTTTATCTGCTAATTAAGCCAGCCACTGAGATGCCAAGAGTGACGGATTGGAAGAAAGATAACATCAAAGAATAACATCTAAGCTGGTATGTTGAAACGGAACGGAAAGGAGGGGGGATAAAACTTTTTCTTTTCCTGCTACGATAGTACCTAACAACTGCCCCCCCCCCGAAGATCCGTCTATACTACTTATAGCAAGTGAGATCAGAAAATATAAACTGTGTGGAAATAATAATATTAATTAAAGCCTTTGTTTTTCAAAATATTTGGAAGAAGATAAAAGACTCTCTTGTGATGCACTATTTAATCGGGATCCGCCATTATGAGACAGACTGTGTTGCAGAGATTAATAGTCATAGGGGGAGGCGAGCCCTTACTTTGTTATTATATCTATATCTCAATTTCGATTTGGCAAACCTCCTCTGGAAAGACTAATGTTTGGAGCAACCTGTCTGAGAAAATTAATGAGCAAACGCCTAGATTCTATTTCATCGGAACTGAGAAAAGATGGCGTCTGCCACCCGAGAAGGACTTTTGGATGGATTCGGCATAAATACCAGCGTGTGAAGATATACTGCAAATAAAAGATTTACCAGCTGCAAAAAAAAAAAGGGAGAGTCATACAAAGTTCACACAGAAGCATAATATTGCTCATTTCAGCTTACCTGTGGAAACAACTCAGAGGCTATGAAAGAAGAAGGATAATAACAAGAAGATTTAAAGAAGGGACTAGTGGACACTTAAAGCAGTAGAAATATGAGGTGATTGGACCCCACTGAACTTGAAGCATGGGAACCCCAAACAAAAAATTATAATTTGGCAAAGTATTTGGACTTTATGATATGTATTTGTATAATTTGGAACATTTAATGTGATTTGATTGGATTGTTAAAATGGAAAACTTAATAAAAATTATTATTTTAAAAAAAATAAACACAAAAGACAAGCTGCTTGTGGTGCTCATATTTTTCAATTTGAACAGTACTAATTGGTATTCTAAAAAAGCTCTGTGTATGATTGTCTTCTTCTTCACACATACTCAGGTAAAATTCTTACCAAGGTTATAAACAACTATCCCGGCTCTATCACGTCAGACTGCAGAAGTGGGCTCTTATAATTGAATGTTTATTCACACATTTGTAAAAAGGAAGCTCTTTGCATGGGAGGGGGGGATGACTCCTGAGGGATCAGACCAAAGGCCCATCTTCCTGGAAGCTCTCAAGCTGGGCATGAATGTAACTGCCTTCCTTAGCTGCTTTTCTGTAGCAACTGACATTTCAAGATACACTGCCTCTGATGAAGCTTCCTTAGAATATAGAGGTTCTGTTTAATTATTACAGCCACTGACAGTTCTCCATAAACTTGTCTAATCCCATTTTAAATCCATCCAATCAGCAGCCATCCACACATCCTGGGGCTGTTAATTATCCACAAATTAATTATGTGCTCTGTGAAGAAGTATTTTCTTCTTTCCTGTGTTGATTCTACTGCTCATCAAATTTTCCAAGTCACCACAAGTTCAATATGACGGGAGCCCTGTTTATGGAAGCTTTTAATATCGGAAGGATTTTAATATTTTGTTGGAAGCTGCCCAGAGTGGCTGAGGAAACCAGCCCGATGGGTGGGGTATAAACAATAAAGTATTATTATTATTATTATTATTATTATTTGGGGACTACAGTTCCCATCAGTCCAATGGCCATGCTGGCTGCAGCTGATCATAGTTTCAAGCATCTGGAGGTTGGGAAAGGCTACAACAAGAAACCAATGTGATTTATATATTCCATCTTTCATCCATCATGGAACTCAAGGAAGGTTACATTTAAGAAATTTATTCATTCAGTTTCTAAACCACTCTACACCAGCTGTGCTACCAGTTCAGTTTACAGCACCAACATCACAATGATAAAAGCACTAAAAAGCAACCCAAAAATATAAAACCAGCTTAAAGAGAAACCATATGAATGGATGGTCTGAAATCCAAGAAGGCAGCAGCATCATGTTCATTCAGACCACTCCCTGGGTCCATGCCCTGATGTGCTAGTTTCCAGTGGGGAGGACTTTTATTAAGGATGTGCATGGGATCATCTGAGATCCCACTGGAAATCTAAAACAGTGCAATCCATATGCACATGGAAAACTGTCTTATATTTTGCCCAGTACTGTCTACCCTTAGGAAGAACTTCTTGACAGTATACAACCTGCCCAGAAGTGGAGTACACTGCCTAGCAAGGGGTGGACTCTCCTTCATTAGGTAGAGTCTGGATGGCTACCTCCATTAGCAATGGTTGGGCTAGATGGCCACTGAGGTTCCTTCCACCTCTGTGATTCTAGGATTGGCAGCAGCATTCCAGGGTCTCAGGAAGAGAAAGGTCTTTTACCAACCTCTGGTACCCAACTCTTAGTTCCTCTTGCTTCAGTCCCATGCTTTCATTTAAAAGCTAGACAAGCCAAAGTGTTTTAAGCAGGAGCTAATCAATATGCAGAGACAGATGCTACTAAAAACTAATCCTTTTGAAGCTGTTTCTTCCAGACATGTACACTGGCTAAGCCTATTCCCTAAACTAACACTTTCCAGCTTATTACACCTGACAGCAGCATACTTCACAAAAGGAGGGAACTCTCATCAATATTTAATTCCACAAAGCATCTGAATTCCGAATTCAGTAGCAAGAAGAATTAAGTACTCCTAACAAGAAAAGGAGGGCCTTCACACAAGATTTTCAAATCTCTTTCAGCTTACTGTCTTCATCCCAAGGTCCAACACAGTCAAATCACATACACTTACCCTTGTAATCTTGGCAGCTTCTCCTGGATTCATTATGAACGTGTATTTGGCTCCAGCTGCTTTTGGATTGCTTCAAAAGTACTTGTGAGATGTGTATCTTTCCTACAATAAATTATTAGCTAATGCTTTTCTCTAAGCACCTAGAAACACAGAGATTAGGGAATCGTTTCAGGTTTCATATTCAATTCAAAAACCTATGGGGCTGTTATTCTAAGTATATTTTCCCAACATCCTTTCAAGCCATCAGCTGGAAATAAATGAGTCTTCCATCTTTGTTCTATCTAAGCTTGCCAAATCTATGCCTTCTATCCTAGTAATGATTTATCCTGGTGCTGATTTTTCTTGGCAGAAGTTCCAGAGAGTCCTTCAGTCCTCCCCTGCTCAAAATTTTTACCACTTGTCACTTTTAACACCACCAGAACTCTGAATGTCCACCTGATCTGTACTTCTCACTCTATGCCATTTTGTCATCTCTGCTCTTGGCTTGTTATTTTTTAAAATAATAATAAAAACTTGATCGCTTTCTCTCCAAGCTCCTTTTCCTCTTCCAACTTCTTGCCACTTCTCCTTCCTGCTGAGTGTTTTAATTCTCCTATCAAATCTGATCCCAACTCTCTCCCCCCCCCCCCCCGCGCACCTTTTGTGGAATAGTTGGAAACAGGGCAAGTTCACACACTTTTAGAGAAGGGAGCTGTACATTCATGCAATCCCAGAGTGATTATGAGAAAGCAAAGTGGACCCTGGCCTGTTCTGCCCTTCCCAACACCCTTACTGAGTGCACATTAAGGGATTAGGGAATGGGGAGTGGGTATACTTCTACCTGTTGCTGCCCTAGTTACCTGCCTCTGTGCCTGGTGGCTGCTTGAACGTCAAAAAGAACTTCTATAACACTCTCACTTCTCAGTCTGGGTAGCCAAGGTGACAGCATTATTGTCACTAGGCAACGTAGAATGACTCCTCTCTCCCTTCCCTTCTCTTCCAGCTCTCCCCCCCCCCCTGCCATCTACCCAGTTGGCTGGAACAGCAGCTTTTTCTAGTCCTGATCTCTTTCAGCTGCTGTTTGTGAAAGAGTTACAACTGAAAGTCCCATTGATGTGGTAGGATGAATTATCAACTCAATGTAGAGCTGAGAGGAGAGTTGAATCAATGGGATGGCAGGGAATCTTAACACTTCAGGATGGGGAAATATTTAGTTGTGCAAATTCTGCTAATGCAGAAGACTACTGCTGCTTGGCTGATAAGTAGGACAGCCTGATGAAACCATGTATCACCAGTCCCGATAGTTCTGCATTGGCTGGAACTGTCGTACTAAGCCCAATTCAAGGTGTTCAGCTTATAAAACTAGCCCTAAATGGCTTTTGACCCAAGTACCTGAAAGTGACTCCACCAATTATCAGTCATCTTGGGTTCTACAATTAATTGGCAGGGAAGGTTGTCAGTGCCTCCACCTCTGTCTGCTGCCCAGTTGGCATTGACGGATGACAAGGCTTTCTTGGCTGTGATTCCCTCCTTGGTGAGGTGTGCCTGTTTTCCTCATTGCTAGTTTTCAGGAAGAATTTAAAAAAACATTCCTGTTTGCCCAGACATTTGATGGCTGATACTGCCCATGACAACCATGGAAGTCATAACTGTGGGGGTATGTGATTGCTTCTAAATGCTTTTAGCTGGTTTGTCCTCTATTTGAAGGACATTCTGATTTGAAGGTACCCTCTCTTTGAAGGTCAAAAATGAGTCGAAATCTGGTTTAAATATTTAAAAGCTCTATCTAAGTACAGTGGTACCTCGGGTTAAGAACTTAATTCGTTCTGGAGGTCCGTTCTTAACCTGAAACTGTTCTTCACCTGAAGCACCACTTTAGCTAATGGGGCTCCTGCTGCTGCTGTGCCGCTGGAGCACAATTTCTGTTCTCATCCTGAAGCAAAGTTCTTAACTTGAGGTACTATTTCTGGGTTGGCAGAGTCTGTAACCTGAAGCGTCTGTAACCTGGAGCGTATGTAACCCGAGGTACCACTATATATGACTTTCCTCCTCTGTAGTTTTTAAGATAGAGTCAGCCAGCTCACGGTCCACAGAACGCATGGAAACATAAGAACCATCTGGCTGGATCTACCACTGTAGAGCCTGGGGTCCCTTGATGTTGCCTATGGTCCAAAGCTAGCATCCCGACAAGAGACTGAGCAGCCACACCTGGGCAGACTCACCTGGGCACAGCCTTCTCCATTAGAGTGAAATGTGTTGTATTTCTATTTAAATTTTCATGATTATTAAATACATATAAATTAGAATATGCATTTTTTTTTGCAAATCTATTCCATTTTTGTTGATGCACTTCCTCTTTGGGCGCGACATAAACGGCCAACCTAATGTGCATATTCTATCACAATTTACTGTATGTGTATATAAAGGGTATGCATATATACATATGTGCGTACACACATATATACACACGCACTTCCAAGGCCTACTGAATCCTTTTTTTTTATCCCACTTTAACTGAAGTAAGATTTTGCCGTTTTGATTTTTGTTCTTTGTACCTTTGCAAACCGCTTACAGCCGATTGTAGGGGCATGCCAAATGTTCAAATATACAGATATACTTGTGGAAGATATATCTATATGCACACGTGCACGTGCACACTGGTCTCTTACGAATCGGCTTGCTTGCCAGTGATTCCTGGTTTAGGCGGGAACTTAACGATGGAATCCTCCTTTGCTAAATACAGTAATTTCCTTCAAACGCGTGAGGCGTTTCACCAGCTTCCGTTGGCTTTCAAAAAGTACCGTATATTAACCGTGCCCTGCCCTGCGGTCTCAGAAACTGCCGTTAAAAATAAATTTACCATTTCTACGCACGCGCGCGTACGTTTATATATAAAAAAGGTTACGCATATCCCTCCCTCTATATATACATTTTTTCCCCTCACAGAAAAGCACCTTGCTAGAATATCGACTGGGGGTGTGTGAGTATATTTTATCGGTTGCCTCGAGGCGGCGGGAAGGAAGCGCCCGTGGACGAGGGCGAAAGAAAGGGAGCTTGGCGCTTGCTCGGCCCGGCAGGGACAGGAGCCAGGCTGAGGCGGCGAGGCGGGCACGAGGACCGCCCGCTCCCCTTCGCCGGGCGCTGCTGCTGCTTCTTTGTAGGCCCTGACCGGAGAGGCGGGCCCGGCCTCCTCAGGGCGCGGCGGCTCATCCGCGCGAGGAGCGACGCCGGCGGGAGAGAGAATGAGGCGGGAGGGCCGCTGCGGCGCTCGAGCCGGGCTGAGGTAGGAGGGCCGGGAAGGGAAGTCGTAGGGCCGCTTGCTGGCCTCCGGAGGCCTCAACCTCGGTGGAGGAAAGAAAGCGAGGCCTTCTCCTAACTCCCACCCCATCGGGTCAGTTCTAGTATGGGGTGGCAGACAAGAAAGGGGCTCTCGGGACTTGGAGCACAGATTCAACAGGGGCAGTTCTCCCGAATATCGCACCCACCCAACTGCGTTTGTGGGAAAGCGAGCAGGCGGAGATTCAACAGGGCAGCGTGGTTTCTCTCTCTCTCTTTCAACCCCCCCCCCCAAATATTTCACTCTGAACATCGGATGGGAACGGGATGCTCATCATATGCTGCAGCTTGTCCTATCTCGCCCGCCCCTGTTGAGCCCCGATTTTGTTGCCCTTTTAAACATTTTAGGTCGTTTAACTTTTCAGATGTCGGCTCTTAACCTTCCTCAGCTTAAATCTCTCTGCTCCTTTGTCACCACATTTTTAGGTTCCTGGTCTTCAACCTTTTCGGATCCAGGACACCCCCCACCCCACCCCACCCCCTTTAACCCGAACGTGCATTTGGCCACGGGGACCCATTTGGTAATCTTTTGCCATATGTTAGCATGGTGGAAGTGCTCCTGCTTGCGACCCACCTTGGATCAGGCCGTGATCCACTCGTGGGTCCCGACCCACCTGTTGAAGACTAGGGATTTAGGTGAATGTGTCACCAGAGCTTTGTGTAGTGTGCAGCCTGCCCCCCACCAACTGCACAGGATACTTTAACCTGTGATGGCTTATTATCAGAAAAGTATGGCTGCATTTGTTTATTTTATTTTATTTTAGTTTACTATACTTTATTACTATCCAGCAAAACAAATACAGCCTTGGCATGTGGATCAGCGAAGGGAGAGGCTTACTGCAGAGTGAATGGACACAACAGATGGACAGTATAATTTGCTGGGGCAACTCAGCCAGTAACTTTTGATATGAGAAGTTTGCCATGCTAGGACTTAACCTTTAAAGCCCTCAACAGGGCTTGGCATGCAAATACCTAAAGGAGTGCCTCTTTCCAGATTCCTTTCCTCAAACTTAAGGTGTTGTTAAGCGTCTCCTGATGTCGTGGTGGTGCATTTTTGAAAGAGTGGAAGGAGCAACTGGTGATAGTAGTTTGGGGACAGAGAGGGAGATACTGAAATGATTGCAAGCAGAAAAGAGGGGGTGCAAGTAGAATGGATGAGCCAGGCCCAGTGTTAGAAACAGATATAAAAACTATTTGCCGTATGGCCCCGTAAACCTAGGTTACAGGTGCACTAACAGAATGTTTAGGCGCTTTTTAAAAAACAGGATTACAACGCCGAAAATGAATTGTGTGTATTGTCGGCTCCAGCTAAAATCTGACTCACACCATAGCAAGCATGGGAGGGGTGGTACTGTTTTTGTTTGTTACTATATATTTTTTGTGTTTTTATGTTGTAATTGTCCTGTGATCCTCAGGTAAAGGACAGTATAGAAATTTAATAAATAGTAATAGGTATTGTTTGATTTGTGTACATGCAGGACAGAATTTGAGTGTGATGTGTTATTTGAGTCAGTGTTGTAATGTGTGAGACTGTGTACATGCCATACATTTAAAGCACATGTCGTCTCCCCCAATAATCCTGGAAGGTGTAGTTTGTTAAGGGTGCTGAGAATTGTAGTTCTGTGATGGGTAAACTGCAGTTCCTGGGGGAAGTCATATGCTTTAAATGTGCCTTACATGTATCATGTGTATTCAGCCTGAGTCAGGGTGTGGTTTGGCAAGAAGGAGGCTGAAGAGAGATAGTTTAAGTTCTTTTGAAAACTATGCTACTATAATTTCACATTGGGGGATGTTATTTTTTAAAATTGCGTTGTTCCATTTGTTTGTTATATATGCATATTGTGTTTTGTAAACTGCTTAGAGACTGCCTTGGGGTTAAGTTGCATTTAAATACAGTGGTACCTTGGTTTACGAACTTAATCTGTTCCAGAAGTCCATTCTTAAACCAAAGTCATTCTTAAACCGAGGCGCGCTTTCCCTAATGAGGCTTCCCGCCACTGGTGCCCTTCCACCGTTCGGCTTCCCTTCTTAGACCGAGGAAAAGTTCGCTAACCGGAACACTACTTCTGGTTTTGCAGAGTTCGCATACCGAATAGTTCATAAACAGGGCTGTTCTTAAACCAAGGTACCACTGTATATGTAATAAATAAGATATTTTGTTGAGGCTCTTCTTCAGGTGCCTTCCCTAGTGGGAGGTACATCATAGAGTTACAAAGAAAATGACCTTTTCAGTGCTGGAGCCAGAAGTATGATTGGTGCCAAAATGAGACTTACTTCTGATTAAACATATTGTACATTATTACTACTCTTACTATGCTAAGGGTGGATTTCCCGTGCCTCTCCATTCTCTCCTCCTCCCTTTTGCTTTGTTTGGTCAATCTGGAAGATGACACACTGAAAACTCCTGCATGACAGCCCTTCATACAAGTAAAACAAGATTGTTTGTTGATCACAAATTATTGTTCCATGGATGGTATATGTCTATAGGTGTATTTATTACCAAATAAATGTAGAATCATTATGAATTAAGGGGGCCAGCTTTATTTTAAGCCATATGCGCCTCTTATTCCAAGGTTTAGTTTAAATACAGTATTTGCAGATTAAAACCTACCTTTATAGTTAGGAGTTTTTTAGTGTATAACTATTTACTTGAATAAATAGTTATTTGAAGGGACATGGGTGGCGCTGTCTAAACCACAGAGCCTTGGGCTTGCCGATCGGCAGTTTGAATCCGTGCAACAGGGTGAGCTCCTGTTGTTCGGTCCCTGCTCCTGCCAACCTAGCAGTTTGAAAGCAAGTAGATAAATAGGACCACTCCGGCGGGAAGGTAAATGGCGTTTCCATGTGCTGTTCTGGTTCGCCAGAAGCAGCTTAGTCATGCTGGCCACATGACCCAGAAGCTGTCTGCGGACAAAACGCCCGCTCCCTCGGCCAGTAAAGCGAGATGAGCATCGCAACCCCAGAGTCGTCCGCGACTGGACTTAACAGTCAGGGGTCTCTTTACCTTTACATTTATATATTTGAAATTCCAAACAATGCAGCAACAACAAATAGTCAACAATACCCAGTGTACTTCCACTTTAAGCTCAAAATACCCAGTGTACTTTCCACTTTAAGCTCAAAATATGTGCACACATAAGTTTAACCCAAGATGTTCCACAACCTTTGTAATGTTTCCATTGGCCTGCCTATCAGAAAATGTTTCTGAGTGCTAGCAAATATTAGGCACTTGGTATGAAAATAGTATAATTAGAAAAATAATTCATGTCCTCTCTTTCTTTCTTAAGATTTGGTGCTTAAAAATGCACTGATTTCTTATTAGCACGATTCAATATTTGACCTAAAAGCGGCATCATGTCTAAAGAGATGAAAGAACTCCAGAAAGGGTGGCACTCAGTCATGGAAACCGTTCATAGCAACCCACATGTGAGTTATGAATTTTGTCATTCTATTATGATACTTTTTCTTGTCTTTGGGGGTTGTCTCAATTACAATTGCACTGCAGATTTTTAAAAAGTGATTTTGAGCCAGTTGGTATAGTGGCTAGAGTGTTGGATAAGTACACGGATTGGGAACCTCTGGCCTGTGGGCCAAACTTGGCTCACCAAGTCTTGCCATTTGGCCCGTGAAACTATTTTGGGAAAGCCACGCCGACCCCGCCCAAGGATTCCAGTAGTACAGATATCATAATGGGGTTGGGTTGGGCAACAGCACCGTGAGAACTAAGCATGCGTGGGATGCTGATAATTTGTTGAAGAAAAGGAAGCCAAAAACTCTGTGGAGGCAAAGTGGAATGGAATATTGTTGTGGAGGGTATCCTGGTATACATGGTACAGAAGACAACAGAAAGGGCTCTCCACCAGCTTTTAGTCTGATAATATTATTTTTGCCTGTGTTCTGTAGCTCAGAAGCCTCCACTAGCCTTTGCTCTTAAGAAACATTGCGACTTCAATTCTCCTATATAAACAAGGTTTCACCTTCACAAAATCAGTCAAGAACCTTGTTCTAAATGGATTTGCCACATAATACCTTCTTTTTAATGGGTTCCCCACCTCTTTGTGCTTGATGCAAGATGCAGGTTCTGGGGGTGACCAGTGTCATACTTAATAGGATAGGCCTAATGCATTATTAAAACCTGCTGCTGCTGTAGAGTGAGAACGCTGACCTCTGAACTACTCCTCTTTCCTGTTTTCACCTTCAGAAGAAACCTGCAAATTAAATTTCCAGTTCGTTTTAGCTCCTGTATTTGCACAACCCTCACCAACTTTTTACAAAAAACAAAACACAGAACAATAGCCACCTTTCTGCACTGACACACATCAAAGGAGAATGTCTTCAGTTGCATACAGGATAGAACTTGTCAAGCTTTCAGCTGTTAAATAAGGCATGTAGGAAAAGCATTTTACACCAGCCTACCTTAATTTGTTGGCTTCCACATGTTTTGAACTACAATTCCCATCAGCCCCATCTAGCATTACTGAGTTAGCTGGGAATTTGGGGAGGGCACCAGATTGGGGAAGGCTGTTCTATACAGACTACCGTATTTTTCAATGTATAAGATGCCCCCATATATAAGACGCCCCTTATTTTGGGGGACTCTAAATTAAGAAAACACCCCTCAGCACTACCCATGTATAAGATGAGCCCCAATTTTAAACCTAATTTTTTGGTTAAAAAAAACCCCTAGTCTTATACACAGAAAAATATGGTAATATTCATAGCATGAGAAGATTTGTCTAATAATATTGCTAAGTAAGTGATTTCTTCTTGAAGTAACTTCACCATAGCTGTCAACGTTTCCCTTTTTTAAAGGGAAATTCCCTTATTCCGAATAGGATTCCTCGGAAGGAAAGGGAAAAGTTGACAGCTATGAACTTTACTTCCCAGAATTGTTTGTTTGTTAATTTGCTTAGGATATTTAAATCTTTATTCTTTTTCGCTTTATGTTGCAGGTTGTTGCTTTTATGAACTCTCGAGTTGGCCAGTACTTAGATGACCATCCTTTCGTTGCCCTGTCAATGTTGGTCTTCATTGCAGCGTCTGCAATTCCAGTTGCATTCTTTCTGGTTTTTGTTGTTGCCACAACTGTAATTGCCTGCATTGGAGTGATTGTCATGGAAGGTATTCTGTTTTGTTTTGTTTTTATGCTGTACGCTGGTGGAATTCCACCCAGGGACTGGTTATGGCTCAGTGTTAGACCACATGCTTTGCATGCAGAAAGTGTGTTTCAGTCTTCAGGTAGGGCTGAAAATGTCCCCGTCTGAAACTCTGGGTGGCTACTGCAATGACAGATGATGATGATGATGATAATTTATATCCTGCCCATCTGGCTGGGTTTCCCCAGCCACTCTGGGCTGCTCCCAACCAAATATTAAAAACACAATACAGCGTTAAACATTAAAGACTTCCCTAAACATATAATTGCAGAGTTGGAAGGGACCCCAAGTCATCTAGTCCAACCCTGTGTAACACAGGAATCACACAGCTAAAGAATCCCTGGCAGATAGCTATCCAACCCCTTGTTTAAAAACCTCCCATGAAGGAGATTCCACCACCTTCCAGAGGATTCTGTTCCACTGTGAAACATACTTCAACATACCTGCATATCACTGATGATTTGTGTTTTGGGAAATCCCTTCCCACATGAAATGTATATATCTTGGAAGTGCTGACTTGAACACTGTGCCATGTTTAAAATCTTCTTACTGAAGCGCAGAATCTTATATCTGGGAAGATAATTATATTGCCAAGATGTTTCTGGAACCTTGGCTTATTCTTATCCTCAGAGGTAAGTGTTTCTACAGTGGTACCTCGGGTTGAGTACTTAATTTGTTCTGGAGGTCCGTTCTTAACCTGAAACTGCTCTTAACCTGAAGCACCACTTTAGCTAACGGGGCCTCCTGCTGCTGCCGCTCCGCCGGATCACGATTTCTGTTCTCATCCTGAAGCAAAGTTCTTAACCCGAGGTACTATTTCTGGGTTAGCAGAGTCTGTAACCTGAAGCGTCTGTAACCTGGAGCGTATGTAACCCGAGGTACCATTGTATATGACTTTCCTCCTCTGTAGTTTTTAAGATAGGGTCAGCCAGCTCACGGTCCACAGAACGCATGGAAACATAAGAACCATCTGGCTGGATCAGACCTTGTAGCCATCTGGTCCACCACTCTGTTCTCACCGTGACCAACTGGGCACCCATGGGAAGCCTGCAAGCTGAACCTGAATGCAACAGCACGCTCCCCACCTGCAATTCACAGAATCTGGTATTCAGAGGCATACTGTCTCCAGCAGTGGGGGTAGAACATAGCCATTGTGGCTTGTAGCATTTTCTGTGTCAGGTTAGGTGAACAAGGTACCAAAAACAGGTTCTTCTGTAGCTGGGTACACATGGTACTGGCAAACTTCCCTCCCATAAGGATATGTGAGGACAGCAACGTACCTGTGCTACATAAGAAGTGGAGCTACATGTACTGGCTTTTTAAATCCCCCCCCCCCATTCAGAGATAATAAATTACCTCCTTCCCGAATGAAAGGTGCACCTGGTAGTCAAGACATAGGACCTCTGATACTGCTTTAGACCTGGCAAGAGGCCCCTCTCCAGCAGTCAGAAGAGAAGTCATCCCAGTTTACTAGATGAGCAGTTGGGCATTATGTTATGGGCTACTCTTGTAGAACATGTGGAACTGATACCTCCACATATAAACATAGATATAAATATATGTGATGGACATGTGTGGAGGTATCAGTGTTCTGGGATCAAACTTTCAATGAAATGGATAAAATTACTCAACAATCTTCTTAATAAAGACCCCAGAGCTTGCTCTACAAAATTTAGTTTCAGATGATAATGTGAACTTGAGAGATAACCCCCGATAGGATACTTAACCTGATAACTGCACATATGACTACTTCCACTTTTTAGAAGGATCTTAAAGGAGTTAATTTAACAGCTTTGTGCAAAAGGATTTGGCAGATAGCCCTAATAGAGAAACGTACATGTAAACTGAGAATCAGCTAAAGGAAATAAACATAGAAACTTGTTTGTGAAGGACTGGTGAAGCTTTATCATATATTAGAAATATATTTTACAATAAAAGGAAAATCCCTCTGTATTTGTTTTCTCTTTTTCTGATTTTTGTTTTCTCTTTTTCTGAATTTAAATACTGTAACTCTGCATTATGGGAAAATTGTATGCACATAGAAGCCTACTGGAATTTTTGTTTATGATTTTGTTCAGTTAGTTGCGGTCTTGATTTTGTAATAGTCTTAAATTTTTGATTAGTCATGTTTGTTATTCAACTTTAAAAAGAAAGAGAGAGAGAACAAACTGCTTTTTGTTCTTGCAGGTTTTGTAATCTCGTTGGGAGGACTCACCCTGCTGTGTGTGCTTGGCGGACTGGGCATGCTATCACTGGCGGTGTCTGGAGTGCTCAGTGTTTGTTACATGTCTCTTACTACTCTGCTCAGCTACTGGCCCACTCCAGAGTAAGTGTCCACAGACCCTATCATGAGGAATTGTGTTTCTGATATACTGTACTGTAATAGCAATTATAATTTTGTTAGGGCAGGAGGCATTTATTTTAGAAGTCATTCAGACAGACTTTTCTGTGGGCAGTTGCCTCACCTTGCCTCGTGACTGGGCCAGCCCTGTCCTGGGGGTACTTAAGTTAAACCCATTATGTGTGGAGGAAGTGTAAATGAGCACTCCCATGGCCCCCATCTTACCTTTTTTGTGTGTCATTTGTACGTTGCGCACCCTGCCCATATATAAGTAATGCTATTACCAGATCTGCTTGTGTGTGAATCTGTACCTGGCATGCATGTTTATGAAAGCAACCCTTGGGGGATCTTTCCTGGAGAAAACTGTGCTCCATAGATGCCATTGCAGTAGACACAATTACCTTAGGTATGCCACTGTTGCCTTGTTTATTTGGGGAAATTGGCAAGGAACAACAAATGCCAATCTATGTGAATATAATGTTCATTTTCATAAAAATGGTGGACAGCAATCAAAAAGGCTTTGCAGCTTGAAGCCCTGGTTCAGAAAGATAGAATAGCAAGCTGGTTCATTGTTATAAATTACACAGGCTACCCAAACTAACATTGCCTGGACCATAAGTTGAAATAGTTTCTATTAATGATATGGAGATAGCTGGAAAAAACCCCTGTGTGGCATGTAAGTGAGCAGTAGGGAACTAGACAGAAAGCAGTGGATACCTGAATGCACATGGGGGAAAAACTCAAATACAATGAGCAGGGTTTGAGCAAGCACATTATTGCTTATTAATGCTATTTAAAGACATCTTATTACATTAAATATGGTAGAGATACTGGGGAATGGTTAGCTTGCGCACATCATCATTCCTCACATCCACTGTTGCGAGGAATCTCCCTGTAGACCAGTTACTATAGTCATGCTATTTGGTGGGGACCTCTGGAGCTTCCCCTGCTATAAGTTACTTCAGATACCACTGCCTCCTCTGATTCCTTGTAACAGCACCATGCTCAGAGCAGAGCCAAACTAAACACTTAATTCCCAGGCATGTACAGAGTTCCAGTTGAACAATGATTCTTAGAAAAAGTAGCTGCTCTTAAGCAATCTCAGGCAACAGTGCTTTGACACACCTCTAAAAGACCTTGAGTAGTCACTACTGGTTTGAATAGACAGTACTGCACTCAATGAAGCAATGGTCTGACATAATCTTTCTCCATATAGTCATTCCCATCTTGCTCTAATCATACGTACACTCCAGCTGTCCCTGTTTTCCAGAAATGCCCCAGGTACAGACCCCTGATAAATCATTATCTGTATTTTCCCTCTTGGGGTGCCTTTTCAAAGACATTAGTCTGCAGGCTTCAGCCCCTCCATCCTAGGTCTCTAGAAGTGAAATCTCTTAAGTGTGTGTAACTAATGCGCACGCACGTAACAGCATGAGCGTGAACATAAAGCACACTGCAGGCTGTTCCATGCTACTAAAGCTCAGCTGGAAACTTGGATGGAATTGAAAAGAGGTTTAGACATATTCATGGAGGATAGGGCTATCAGGATGCACTGTAGCATTCAGAGGCAGTATGTCCCTCAGTGCCTTCTGCTGGGGAACAAGAGCAGGAGAGAGTGATGGGTCTCCTACCTTGCTTCAGTTAAGTCCACTGAACAGTATTTAGCCTTCTGTTCTTCCACATAACTGAGTATGTAGTCAAAAGTGAGTCAGAATGATTGTAAGGAGATAGTAACTTCTGTAAGGGCCTAGTCAGAGGTTCTGAAGGCTTGGTAAGAGAGCCTTTAGACAAGGTTGCATCCTGTATCTTTTTAAAAATGGGATTGCAATCTTGCACTCAGTACACAGCTAATGAAGAAGCACTATGTAAGGGGTTACATTATAGTGCCACCATCAGCCTGCTTTTGTTACTGCTAAGCTGTTTAGGATTGCATTTGCTCTTGCAGCAGAGAGGAGAACAGAATACAGTGGTACCTCAGGTTAAGTACTTAGTTTGTTCTGGAGGTCCGTACTTAACCTGAAACTGTTCTTAACCTGAAGCACCACTTTAGCTAATGGGGCCTCCTGCTGCCGCCGCACCACCAGAGCACGATTTCTGTTCTCATCCTGAAGCAAAGTTCTTAACCTGAAGCACTATTTCTGGGTTAGCAGAGTCTGTAACCTGAACCGTATGTGAGCTGAGGTACCACTGTAGTAGTAATAGCAATAGTAATAGTGATAGTATAAATAAATAAATAAATTATACTCCGCCCACCCCAGCCACTCTGGGCAGCTCCCAACAGAATATTAAAAACATGATGAAACATCAAACATTAAAAACTTCCCTAAACAGGGCTGCCTTCAGATGTCTTCTAGAAGTCAGATAGTTGTTTATTTCCTTGACATCTGATGGAAGGGTGTTCCACAGGGCAGGCACCACTACCAAGAAGGCCCTCTGCCTGGTTCCCTGTAACCTCATTTCTCGCAGTGAGTGAACCGCCAGAAGGCCCTCAGAGCTGGACCTCAGTGTCGGGGCTGAACAGTGGGGTTGGCAATGCTACTTCAGGTATACTGGGCTGAGGCTGTACGCTGCTTTAATCGCACAGTAAAAAACTACATATGTATGTTACCAGTTGCAATACTCAGTGCAGCTGCCATGTCAAGATCTGAACCTTTGGTTTGACCAGCGTTAAGCACCAGAACTCATGAACTGAATTACATGTCAGATGTACCCCAGTGCTCCTTATTAATCTGTTTCTACTTGGTGCTTTGCCTTTAGCCTACTAAGGACATACATTCTGCTGTCATGGTCATTGCTGCAGAGCCATCTCTCTTGACAAGGATACTTCTGCTTACGAAGCCTAAGGCAATCATGCCACACAAATAGGGAATCATACCTAAAGTTGAAACTACTTTTCAAAATGATACTGCTAAAATGGCATTGTCATCCCTCTCTCGAAGCCAAAATAGGTGACATTGTCCTCTATTGAAAAGCGTTTTGAAGATCATTGGGTACATCTTAGGAGAGACAATAATGAGAATTGTTCTGGAAATTCTGAATAATAAGCATGCTAACCTATGGTGCTTGGATTTGTGTGAGCCATGAAATCAGAAATCTGAAGTGTTGTTTTCCCCTCTCTTCTCTCTCCTTCAGCAGTCTGTCAAAGAAAGAAATAGCTAACGGAAGCAGGTTTCTGCCCAGCAACCCTCCTGCCTTAGACCAAGATGATGCTAATAAGAAGACTGAATAAATTTGACTGGTGCTTCCAAACACTTCCAAGAGCAGCACTTTTTAAAAAATGCAGATTTTTGAAGGAATTGTTACATTTTCATGACTACTTGCCTGTCAGAATGCTCAAGTCTTGGTTTCTGGGATAGTAGTGATAAGAACAGTGAATAAATTGGATTGGTGCTTGAAATTGCATCCTTCAGTAGCACTTAAAAAATACAGAGTTTTGAAAGAACTGTTACATTCTTGAAATGTTTACCTGTTAGAATGGTTTATTGTTTCTGGAACCTGGAGACCAGTTTTCCTTCCGGTTGTCATAATGACTGAACTATCATTAAATGTGTTGTCATGTGCTGGACAACTCATTCACTATAGAACAGAGTCCCATTCTCTTCCCCCATGTTTATCTCCCATGTAGGTCAGTGGATATTTTGTGTGAGAGGGAGTACTGCTGGTCTTACAGCTTGTTCAGCTTGGAGCATGAAACCCTTCTAACTAACAGGAAGTAAAATTCAACAGTGCTGGTAATAGTACTTTTTTGAATGTGGAAAAAGACATTCAAGCCTTTAAAAAAATCTTACAACACGCATTGTGATAATTGAGCTAGTACCTTATCAAAGATACAGGTGGAAAACAAGTAGTTAAAGGGCGTATCTCTCTATGAGTGTGGGTTTTGTTTTTTAATAGCTTGAGCACTTTTGTTGTGTTTTAAATTATTCAGAAGTGATATGCTTCTAGTTTGGTCTTTCTCATGTTTTCCAGAGGTTTGGGGCTTAGCAGAATACCTGACAGTTACGCATTGTGCCTTACTTTATGTGAGTGTTTCAAAATTAATGTATTTCAGACCAGGTGTTTTCATGCCTGCTCAAACATTTTTTTTAATAATAGCAACACTTTTGCTGTCTTGCCTAACTGGTAATGCCATTGTAAGACATACTTTGCCACTAAACAGCTACTTGTTTATCCAACTTGTCTCTGTTTGCCTTTGTATTTTTGGATCCATTTGCACCACCAGTGAATGTGAGTGTGTACATATATGAGAAAGAGACCCTTAATAACCAGCTAAAACACATATTTAATCTGCGTGTTTGGTCCAAACCCAAACCTCTTCTACCAAGGACCCAATGGCACTCGCCACTGCCTCAGCTTATTTGCAATTATGGTCGCGACAAAAACCACCCAGTCCATAGGGCAACAGAAGTAGCGGCGTCATGTTTCTAGACAGTGGGAGTTGCACAGACTCTGGATGTCTTTTGAGACACAGGTGGGGACAATGAGAGTTTGAAACCTGCCAGTAGGCAGCCAGACATGGCTTGAACTAATAATGAACCTTCATCAAAAGAGAATCCATTGCCTTGGTGCTGCTGCTGAGAATGCACTGTCTCATTTAGCTACTGATCATGTTTCAGATGGGGGTGGCAGTGCAGAAGAGAGTATCCATGGATTCGTTTATACTGAATATATGGGTGGAGTCATATTTAGAGGTCTTTAACTGTAGAGTTGGAAGGGACCCTGAGGGTCAAATGGTCCAACCCTTTGCAATGCAGGGATCACAGCTAAAGGACCCTTGACATTTTTGAGAAGGTGTCCCTAAGGTGTCAGGTGGCTTGTATGCCAGTGCAGTTCTCCCTTAGGGCAGAAGTGTCCAGTGACATTCAGAGCAGTTGGGTGGGTCAGCCCTCCACTAAATAATGAGATCTGTGGGTACCAGCTCACAAAGCTCTGGCACTGTGCAGCTGGGATAGCTCAAGTTTGTAGAGCATGAGATTCTTAATATCCGGGTTGTGGGTTCAAGCACCCCATCTTGGGCAAAAGATTCCTTCATTGCAGAGGATTGGACTAGATGACCCTCATGGTCCCTTCCAACTCTTGTGATTCTATCCCTTTCATAGACTTTACACACTGTTGCTTCTAAAATCCTTCTGAAATGGAGTCTTTGATGGATGGCTCCCTGGAGTTTCGAACTCTGGAGCATACTAAATTGATACATAATATTTTAGGCCCCTCTATTTCCTTTGCATTGATCTAAACACATTTGCTGAAGGATAGTGAAAGAGTTTGCCACTAATTGGCTGCTCTGGCTGCCTTCCCTGGTTGAAAAGGTGAGCTACAGTCCTCCGTTAAAAAGCAGCAGCGTTACATAAAGCATAGGATGCTTGCTCCTAGCTGCCTCATTAGGAACCGCAGGAGGAATGCTGATCCCACTGGAACTGCATCTGTCCCCAGAAGAGGCCTTGGGAGGTTCCACGGCTTAGTGACAAGAGCATAGCCTTTAGCTTTTGCATGTAGATGCTCACCAATCCAATTTTAAAAGTCCAGGTGGACAGCAAAAAGCCTCTTAACTGGGACATGGCAAAGCCGCCAATCCAAACAGTACCAATGGCCCAGTGGCCTGATCTAGCATAGGACAGCTTTTGTGTGTTTATATGTGCTTCAAATTACCCCTGGACTGGAAATGAATGACATTGGAGAACAACCCCCCCGTCCTTACATTCAAATGTAGAAAGCAGAATTGCGCTCCCTTGCTTGGGATGAATTCTCCATCTTGGTTGCTAAAAAGGTAAAGGACCCCTGACAGTTAAGTTCAGTCACGAACAACTCTGGGGTTGTGGTGCTCATCTTGCTTAACTGGCCGAGGGAGCAGATGTTGTCCGCAGACAGTTTTACCAGGTCATGTGGCCAGCACAACTAAGCCGCTTCTGGTGAAACCAGAGCAGCCCACGGAAACGCCATTTACCTTCCTGCCAGAACGGTACCTATTTATCTACTTGCACTTGGAGGTGCTTTTGAACTGCTAGGTTGGCAGGAGCTGGGACCGAACAACAGGAGCTCACCCCGTCGCGGGGATTCGAACCGCGACCTTCTGATCAGCGAGCCCTACGCTCTGTGGTTTAGACCACAGTGAGTTCCATATAATAAACCAACCCAGCCTTCTACGGGTGGGTGGATTGTACCTGGGCAGTGTTTCTTCCAGGTTTTATCTTGTCTTTCGCCTTCTATTTGTTTAATAATCTGCAACCTTTTCCTTTCCCAAAGGCAAAACCAAAGTGGTCAGCACCACGGTGGCTTGTACCCTTTGGGACTGTTAGGACAGGTGGCCGGGAAGCCAACACTAGGCACCGCAGGAGCCAATGACAGACAGGGCCAACTCATTCTAGTTATGCCCCCATCCTATCCCTGCTCAGTTCTACAAGGGCAACACTAAGACTAAGGAGGGGGGCGCTGACAGCAAAGGTCGCCCACTAGACCAGCTGTCAGTAGACAGGCAGGTGGGCGCTGCCTGAGGGCAGATTGAGGTTGGTAGGGCACTGCCCCATTTCCCTTATGGACCAGCCTCCACTGGGGTGGCAGGCTAAAATCAATTTGTAAACAATCATGCAAGTAACTTAAATTACAAAGCCAGAGCCATGCGTGCTCACACACACAGCATGCAGAAAAAAATCCAATTTCATAGCAGCAACAAACAGAGCAGATAAATTGCTTCATTAAAAATATGTTGAGACCATTTTTCAAGGTAAAAAAAAGCCCTCCTGGGGCAGCTGTAACCTAAAAAAGCAGCAACTTATAAAACGCAATTACAGTCGCGTGACATGCTGTGGGCAGATTTCCTGCATTGCAGGGGGTTGGACTAGATGACCCTCAGGTTCCCTCACTACTACACTGTACAAATGAGGCCAAAGATAAGACTTCCAACATCCCGCTTTAGAGCAGCTGGCTGGTTTTCAGTGGCTGTACTCTGAAGCCCTGAATCAGGAGTGGAGAACCTTTGGCCTTCCACATGCAGCTGAATTGCATCCTTGGTCCTGGTTGCTGAGCTGTTGGGAGTGGCAGCTCAACCACATCTGGAGGACCAAATGTTCCCCATCCCTGCACTAAACGGAGAGAGAGAAGGAAAGAAATAAAAGTCTGCCTGGGGAAACGGACTCGGGAACGTGTAATGGAAATATTGATAAAGCCTAATTGCTTTCCTCCTTTGTCAAGGAACTAAATTAACCAGGACTTGAGTTGCTTTGTAATTTTGCAAGCGAATAGAGAAGGAGAATCTCTTTTCCCTCTTCCCTTTTCCATCCATATGTTAATTCTAATGGTAGAAATTCCTGTGGAGAGGGTTATTCTCTGAACAACAAAATAAACCAACTCTTAAAGATTTGAAGGGCAAAGAAGGGTCTGTGCTTTTGAAACAGCCTCTTCTTATTTTAAAAAGCACCTGGGGAGGCTTGCAGACAAGGAAATGTCTTAAGATGAAAGGAGTCAGTGGGGGCCAGTGCTTGCTTTCTCCCCCCCTCCCTGCATTATCTGACTGTTTTGTTTTTCCTTCAACTGGTATCAAGATAATTATCAAGCATTTTGTTTAATATGGAAAGCAGTATTTGTTGCTTTCTGGACTCAGGAGTGAATGCATTTAACAAGAAAGCCTTTGCAAATACACAATGCAACAGAGTATTAGGGAAGGGGAATTGAAATGCTGAGATGTTGAACTTCAACAGTTGCTATTGCTGCTGTACATATTTAAATTTTTTTCCTTTCTTCTAGATTGTGTCAAATGAATTTGTGTGTGTGTTGCTTGCTACCTTGTGAACCGCCATTTAGACTGCTGTTTTAAATAACAGAATGGGATATTTTGTTTTTATGTCTTGCTTTTTGTATATAGATAAGCTGCCTTGGGAGGGTTTCATACATTTATTTATTTTTTGCCCTAAATTACAAACAGGCTTCCTCGTTGGCAAGAAATGGGAAACATTTCTAATTAAGAAACCAGCAGTCGGCATCTCAAATGTTTGATACTGCAGTCATCACAAGAGCTAAGAGATTAGTTGGTGACTAGCGCTAATCAGCCATCTATCAATTGTTCCATTAGCTACTTGATGAAATTCAAGTACATTTTGGCCTGACCAAAGCTCAATATAGAGGGGCACTTAGAGACGACTGAAGATAGTGCTTGTCTTTGGGGTGACAGAGCTTGCACTTGAATAAATAAAAACTGCCAACTCCCACCCTATCCTATACAAGGAAGCCCCATGGAGTTCAACAGAACTCTCCCCCAATTAATGTCCTTAAAGGTAAAGGGACCCCTGACCATTAGGTCCAGTTGTGACCGACTCTGGGGTTGCGGCACTCATCTTGCTTTATTGGCTGAGGGAGCTGGCATACAGCTTCCGGTTCATGTGGCCAGCATGACTAAGCCGCTTCTGGCGAACCAGAGCAGCGCATGGAAACGCCGTTTACCTTCCTGCCAGAATGGTACCTATTTATCTACTTGCACTTTGACATGCTTTCGAACTGCTAGGTTGGCAGGAGCAGGGACCGAGCAACGGGAGCTCGCCCTGTCGCAGGGATTCGAACCACCAACCTTCTGATCGGCAAGCACTAGGCTCTGTGGTTTAACCCACAGCGCCACCCGTGTCCCAATAATTAATGTCCTTAGCAGGGATCAATACATTTTCCTGAGCCCATGGGCACATTTGGAAACCAGCGGCATCACATAGGAACAAAGGAAACTTCTTTACACTGAGTCAAGTCATGGGTCGGTCTAGCTCAGCATTGACTGGCAGCAAGTTCTCCAGGATTTCAGGAAAGGAGCTTCTCTCCCAGCTCTACCTGGAGATGGTGGGGATTGAACCTGGGACCTTCAGCTTGCAAAACAGATGCTCTGCCACTCAGCTGCAGCCCCTTCTCCAACACACAACATACAGCAACCAGCCACACTCCCGAGCCTTCTTTCAAGCAGCGCAGGGGACCCTGCTGTGGGGTGCAAGGGAAGGCCTCTCTGGGTCCATGCACCACCGGCAGGCATCCTGTTGGTGACCCCTGATCTATGGGGCTGCAGCCTAGTTGTGTTTGAAGTATGGCAGGGAAGACTCCATATTTAATATGGTGTCAAAGCCATGATTCTTCAACATCAACTTCGTTGGACTGGTCATGTTGTATGGATGCCTGATGATCGTCTTCCAAAGCAACTACTCTATTCCCAACTTAAAAATGGAAAGCGTAATGCTGGTGCTCAACAAAAGAGGTTCAAAGACTCTCTCAAGGCAAATCTTTAAAAATGTAGTATGAATACCAACAATTGGGAAATACTGGCCTGTGAGCGCTCCAGTTGGAGAGCAGCCTTTACCAAAGGTGTCGTGGGCTTTGAAGACACTTGAACTCAGGACGAAACATGCTAAGAGGAAGGCATGCTTTGCAAACCCTCACCATGATCAACTCCCACTTGGAAACCTATGTCCCCACTGTGGAAGTGTGTGTGGATCCAGAATTGGCCTCCACAGCCACTTACGGATTCACTGTTAAAACCATGTTCATGGAAGACGATCTTACTCGGCTATGAGTGATCGCCAAAGAATAAGTAATATGGTTGCACGCCACCCAAACCTCCGAATGGTGCAAGATTCCAGGAGTTCAAGGTTTGTGTTTCCTTTGGAATGAGGGGTAGCGGAGACTGTGGTGTCTTCATGATATATGGTTTATTTAAACATATGTACAACCTGAGCCTACGAAGGGTCTTGCTTCTCCCATAGCCACAGCCTTGGATGTGAGCAGAAATCAGGCATGTCTGTCCATCACAGGCTTCAGCCTGCTTCTTCCCCTAGCTTCTAGCTTGCACACACACATCTCTGACCTTTGTCTTTCTAGCTACCAGTGAGTTGAGGGAGGGGTCACCCCTGTGTCTTCTGCCACCGAGCCTCATCCTTTGTTAGCTTAATGACCCATTACCTCACCAGGAAGAGTGATTTTTCTCTCTCAAACCAGCCAACTAGAAACTTTAAGCCATGTTTGCTTCATGCTTAAATGGAGATTTCAAATGGCATTGCACATGTGCAGATAATCGTGCATGCACAGATGAGAGCTTCATGAATAGGTGTTCCGGAGGCTAGAATAATAGAATTGTAGGGCCGGAAGGCATCTCCAAGGGTACAGTGGTACCTCGCAAGACAAATGCCTCGCAAGACAAAAAACTCGCTAGACGAAAGGGTTTTTTGTTTTTTGAGCTGCTTCGCAAGACGATTTTCGCTATGGGCTTGCTTCGCAAGACGGAAACGTCTTGCAAGTTTGTTTCCTTTTTCTTAACACCGTTAATACAGTTGCGACTTGACTTCGAGGAGCAACTCATAGAACGCGGTGTGGTAGCCTTGTTTGAGGTTTTTAAAGACTTTGGTGATTTTTGAAGCTTTTCCAAAACTTTCCCGACACCGTGCTTCGCAAGACGAAAAAAATCGCAAGACGACAAAACTCGTGGAACGAATTAATTTCGTCTTGCGAGGCACCACTGTATTCTAGTCCAACCCCCTGCAATGCAGAAATCGCAGCTAAGGAATCCCTGACAGATGGCCATCCAGCCTCTCTTTAAAAACCATCACGCTCTAAGGCAGTCTGCTCCACTGTCAAACAGCTCTCACAGTCAGAAGGTTCTTCCTAACATTTCATCGGAATCTCCTTCATTGTTATTTGAAGTCATTGGTTCAGGTCCTCCCCTCTGGAGCAGCAGAAAACAAGCTTGCTCCAGCTTCCATGAGACAGCCCTTCAGAGATGGCTATTTATCACCTCTCAGTCTTCTCCAGGCGAAAACATGCTCATCTCTCTCAAACGTTCCTCATCAGGCTTGGTTTCCAAACCTAGTTGCAAGGGTAGGAAACCAAGAAAAAGCCATACAGGTTGGTCGAAGACATCTCCCCACTTCCCTGATGCCAACGTCACTATGTAAATATACCTTTAAATGCCATAGGAGAGGGAATGAACCTGCAAATTTCTCCTACTTCCAGGATCCCCCTTTTCATCTGCATGCTGCAAAGGTGTTGCTGTGACGATATTCTAGACTCTGTTTCTTTCTACTCTGGTGTCAGTTTTGTCCTGAGGGTGGAGCAGAGAGCAAGCAAAGTCTGCTTTCTCCACCGCTCCCTGCCTTTGCAGTCGCTTTAGAGCATCCACTCCGCAAGGGAAACTGCTGCTTCCAGCTGCACAAAAAGAGTCGCTTGGAGAATGTTGGTTTTACAGGCTCTCCTGGGGATCCAGCCTCCCTCCCGTCATTCTTCCGTATGAAACAGCAATGAAAGCATGGCATCTTCCGACCGCTGATGGGATCCCGTTTCCCTTCCCTGAAGGATGGATTTCCACGTGAATCACACCATGAGCATGAATGACAGCACTCCAAATATCTCCAAGATAGGACAAAACTTTTCCCACAACGGTAAGTCAGGGGAGGGAGCCGTAGTATTTTGAGACAAGAGGAAGGGATTCTTTTCGATGGGAACTTTATATGGATTCTCATCTGAATCTCTTTCCATGTCAGACCCACCAACATCTGTGTGCATTAGATTTATTGCAAAAGGAATTGGGGCAGGTGATAGCTGCACATTAAACATTATGTGTGTCTATGTGCAGGAACTAGTGTATGCATTTATATAGGCAGCCACAGCTCTGGAACTGTGTGGCATAGGAACATGTAGAGTTAGGTGTGCAAAGCTCTTTTAATTTGGAGGCTTCTGCATGCATGTCTACCACTGTTATGGTCTGATATGCCCACGAGAAATGCTCTTTCTCCCGCTGTAACAAACATAAATGGTGCTGTTTTCTTCCAAACGCTTTGGTAAATAAGAGGCAAGGAGGATGTGCTATGTGTCTATTCCGAAGCCTTTTCCATGGAAAAAGCACATATAGACCCTTCTGAGTCCTTCTGATGCTTCTCTCCAGTCACATTTTCCAAGATTAGTGTAACTGCAAATGAGTGCAGTGGGCTCGGTGCAAACCAGACATGTCCAAAGAAAAGCTCAATAGAGGAGGCAGGTGATATTAGCAAGGGTGGGGAACCTGTAGCCCTCCAGATGTGGCCAGGATATCACTCCCATCCTCCCTGTCTGTGCTGGCTGGGGCTGATGGACATCAGAGTCAGAAAAACATCTGGAGGGCTTATGGGACATTGGATACTTTTTCATTCTATTGACCAAAAATAAGAAATTCCCTGCAATAAGGTGCTTATCAACTTTTGAAAACATTGTTTTGCTGGGAGCATGTTGTAAACCAGGGATGGAGAACCTGTAGTCCTTCACATGTCATTGGACTCCAGTTCCCATCAGCCCCAAACAGTATGGCTGATAGTATGGCTGAGGACAGAAGTTGGAGTCCAGGACATCCACCCCTCCATCCCTGCAATAGTCCTTAATTCATAGAGGGGACAAGGCAGAATGAAGCTAGAGGATAACACTTTGTGCATCTGACCAAGTGGACCCCAGTCCACAAGAAAATGTATGTCATAAGCTGTTTGATACCACAAGAGCATCTCCCTTTGTATCAACCACCTTGAGCCCTGAGATCAGCAGGGGAGGCCCTATTGGTGGGGCTGCCACTGTGGGCGGGGTATGTGTGCCCAGGTGTTGCTGACCCTTGACATTCCATTTGTGCAATGCCCTCCCAGGTGAGGTGCACCTGTCTCTCTCATTAACAGCTTTCAGTTGTAATTTTGAAACATCCGTGTTCACTCAGACATTCTATGGTCTGAAAGATGCTGTTCTGGACAACCTTGACATTGTTTTGAAGGAAAAGGTTAATTATCAATAATAATCCACAGGGAGGACATGGTGAACTTCATGAAGAATTTGTAGGAATTCCCAAAGGTGCCCAGGGTGGACATGGTCTTATAATCCTCTTCAACAACTGAAATGTCCTCTGTGCACCAGATAAGCTCAATATAAACTTAATATAAGATTGTGATGTAAGCTGACATCCGTTGCTTGAATCACTATCTATTAAATACTGTTAAAGTTAAGTACTTGGGTATTACTATGACAAATATGAACAGTACATTGGTCCAAAATAATTATGTCAAAACATGGGCTGAAATTTAAAAAGATATGTCAAGATGGGACAAGTTAAAATTGTCATTGCTGGACAAAATTTCAGTAATAAAAATGAATGTTTTGCCTTAAAAAAAGAGAGAGGAATAGGTTGGTTATCATTATTTTAAAAAGGTTTTCACTGTCTCTAGAAGCATGCAGCTGTATTATTATTGACACGCTTGCCATTCTGGGCTCCTTTGGGAAGAAGGGTGGGATATAAAATTATTAAATAATGCTACAATGTAAGTAGAGACTGCTGGATCAAGCCAATGGCCCATCTTGAACAGCAGCCTGTTGTCCCAGTGGCTAACCAAGGACTTGTGGGCAATGGGCAAACAGGACCTGAGTGCACCAGCCCTCTCCTCGCTTGTGCTTCCCCAGCAACTGGTAGTCAGCCTCTGACAGTGAAGGGTAGAGGACAGCCACTCTAGCCTCCATTGATAGCCTTATCCTTTGTGGACAGCCATGTGAGCACCATTTGAAGTTATTCTGTCTTTCCTCTCCTTCCCCGCTCCCCCGTTGGAAGGCGACCTCAGCCCTGCAAGCTACTCTACCTTCATCATGCCCACCCTGTTTGGCATCATCTGCCTGTTGGGCATCATTGGCAACAGCATGGTGATCTGCGCCGTCTTCAAGAAACCCAGCCCCACCAGCAGCGTCCCGGACATCTTCATCATCAACCTGTCCATGGTGGACTTGCTCTTCCTTCTGGGCATGCCGTTCCTCATCCACCAGCTGCTGGGCAACGGCGCTTGGCACTTTGGAGAAACCATGTGCACCATCATCACCGCCTTGGACGCCAACAGCCAGTTCACCAGCACCTACATCCTCACCGCCATGTCCATCGACCGCTACCTGGCCACGGTCTACCCCTTCACTTCCACACGCTTCCGGAAGCCCCCCATAGCCATCTCGGCCATCTGTATCCTTTGGGCTCTTTCCTTCCTCAGCATCACTCCCGTGTGGATGTACGCAAGGCTCATTCCCTTGGGCGGAGGCTTGCTGGGCTGTGGGATCTGCCTGCCGGACCCTCAGCGGGACGTCTACTGGTACACCCTGTACCAGTTCTTCCTGGCTTTTGCCATCCCTTTCGCCCTCATCACCGTGGCCTACAGAAGGATCCTGCTGAGGATGGCAAGCTCCTCGCAAGCCCTGACCGGGCAGAGGTGCACCAGGCTCCGTACCAAGAAGGTGACTCGGGTAGCCATCGCCATCTGCCTGGCCTTCTTTGTCTGCTGGGCCCCTTTCCACGTCCTGCAGTTGGTCCAGCTGGCCGTGCCCCAGCCCACCCTCGCTTTCTACTATGCCTACAATGTGGCCATCAGCCTGGGCTACGCCAACAGCTGCCTGAACCCTTTCATCTACATCTTGCTCGGGCAGAACTTCCGCAGGCGCCTTGTCATCTCCGTCCGGCCTGCGGATGCTGGGGAGGAGGTGACCCAGAACCAGGTCAAAAGCGCACGGGGACAGCCCAGCGAGTCTGGGCAGCCTCTGCTGCATTTGGTCTCTGTTTCAGCCAGGTAGGGATGAGAATATTACGGCCTTGTTCCCATTCTTAGACCAGTTAGCCACAGGGACTGGTGATAGTCCGCTGATAGGAAGAAGAGAGGAACATTCACCTTATGCATCTAGCTCAGTACAGTTTGCAGCAGGAGTAGCCAACATGGCGCTCTCCAAATGTTGTTGGACTGCAACTCTCATCAGCCACAGCAAGGAGCTGACAAGGATCAGGGTTTTCATTCACTCATTTGGTTGGTTGGTTTCATTGCATTTGTATACCTGAAGGAGCGTGTCCACCTCCATCGTTCAGCCTGGACACTGAGGTCCAGCTCCAAGAGCCTTCTAGTGGTTCCCTCATTGCGAGAAGTGAGGTTCCAGGGAACCAGGCAGAAGGCCTTCTCAGTAGTGGAACACCCTCCCATCAGATGTCAAGGAAATAAACAGCTACCTGACTTTTAGAAGACATCTGCTTGATGTTTTGCTGTGGTTTTATAATTTGTTGGAAGCTGACCAGAGTGGTTGGGGCAGCCCAGTCAGATGGGTGGCATTATTATTATTATTATTATTATTATTATTATCCTTGAGGTGGTGTACATGGTTCTCCCCACTCTGAATTTAATCCTCACAACAACCCTGTGAGGTTGGTTAGACCGAGAGGCACTGACTGGCTCACCGTCACCCAGTTAGCTTTATGGCTGAGTGGGGATTTGAACCCTGGCCTCCCAAGTTTGCCAACATCTGGAAGGTACTACATTTCCTAGGCCTGGTCACCACAGACTAGAAGTAGCTCTTCGGCATTTCAGACAGGGGACGTTCCCAGCCCTTTCTGGCGATACCAGAGATTGAATCTGGTAAGATGCAGTTCTTCCCCTGAACAGTGGCTTCCTACAGTGGTGGAATTCAAACCCACATCCTCAAAGAGATGGTGTTCTCCTGTGCCCTCCCAAAGCTTTTGGCTTGAGTGCCATGAGCTACATCCTTTGTAGGTTGACCTTAGTTCCATATGGTCATCTGGAATTACATGGCCAGAGTTTGAACAAAGTCTGATGAGCAGGAAGACAAAACAAAATGAACAACCAAAGAAACCTGGATGGGAAGCAGACACTTTAATGATAGATGCCTATCATCTATGGTTCTGCAAGGCGAGAAAGGGATTAGAAAGCTATTGGACAACATAGATTTGCTTCTGTTTTATTTATTTATTTATTGTAGGATTTCGTAGCCACCATAAGGTGCCAGGGTGGGTTACAATAACACCACCATACAACATACACACCAAATCTATACTTTTGATCTGTGTGGAATTGGGATCAGAGCCGGCGCTACCATAAGGTAAAGTGAGGTAGCTGCCTCAGACAGCAGATTCTGAGGAGTGAAGGGAGAGGAGTGTGGGAGGAACAATCTCTGTGCGTCTTATAGTGTGCTCCAGCCGCACGAACCCCTAACCTAGCTTTCTGCCCTCTGATGTGGAGGTGGTGTCTAACGTAGGTTCCATCTGTGCTATAGATCTAAAGCAGCATATACCACTTTAAACAGTCATGGCTTCCCCCCAAAGAATTCTGGGAACTGTAGTTTGTTAAAGGTGCTGAGCAGGGCCAAGGCCATCGGAGGGGAGAGGAGGCGCCCCAGGAGAAGGGGAGGTGGTTGGGCTATTGGGCATCTTACCTGTTCTTTCACACAGTGGAGGAGGAGGCTGGGGCAGCTTGGAACTGTCAATTTGGTGGGCAAAGTGGTCTGGGTCTCTTAGAGTTGGTGCCTATGGTCAGCAGCTCTCCAGGGTTTCAAGTAGGGGGCTGAAATTAGAGTGAAACCACTGGGATGAACCTAAGTTAGGCTAGGCATGCCCATTAATTTGAACAGGTCTACTAGGATTGGCTGGATGTGGGTGGCGCTGTGGTCTAAACCACAGAGCCTAGGGCTTGCTGATCAGAAGGTCGGCGGTTCGAATCCCCGTGACAGGGTGAGCTCCTGTTGCTCAGTCCCTGCTCCTGCCAACCTAGCAGTTCGAAAGCACGCCAGAGTACAAGTAGATAAATAGGTACCACTCCAGCAGGAAGGAAGACGACATTTCCATGCGCTGCTCTGGTTTCGCCAAAAGCGGTTTAGTCATGCTGGCCACATGACCCGGAAAAACTGTCTGCGGACAAACGTCAGCTCCCTCAGCCTGTAAAGTGAGATGAGCGCCACAACCCCAGAGTCGTCCGTGACTGGACCTTACGGTTAAGGGTCCCTTTACCCTTTACCTTTACTAGGATTAGCCACAAGCCAGGGTTCTCTCCCAACCCGACCTGGAAATGCTAAGACCTTCTTCCCTGTGAATAGATTCTATCACGCCCCACACAAGGCTGTTGAAAGTTTGTGACACTCCAACTTGTAAACTCTCTCTCTCTCTCTCTCTCTCTCTCTCTCTCTCTAAATTTGGCTAAATCTGAAAATTTCTCTCTTTTTTTTAAGTGGGTTGTGATGAGTGCCATTCATTAACAATGTATTTAGAGAACCCTGTTATATATTCTTTAATGCTAAGTATATGAGTTTACCTGTACTGGTGTTCTGACCAATTGAATGATGCAACTTGAACCTGCTACGCAACAATTTAATTTTGTTTGGTTTCGCTTCAGACTTGGCGTGATGTGCTGGAGGTATTTCAGCTCATTTGAACCGTGTCCTTGAAACGTCTTGAATAAAGAGTATTCAGTGTGGATTGTGTGAGCAGCTTAAATTTCCAAGAATATAGGAACTTGCCATGTCTTTGGTTCTGAGCCAATGCATACATATTAATTTAAACCTTTTCTAGACAGATTGGGTTTATTTTAATCCACTGCCTACATAAAAGCATTCATTTAATTCCCACAGCACTCTCTGTGAAGGCTCTTTTTTATTTTTTCAAGTGTTTTAAACTTTGGTTCTTTATTAAAAGATTGAAGGGAGCGGGGGAAGAAACACAAAACATCCTTGGTTCAGCGGATGGCAGGCTGCCGCAGAAATGTTTCTGGGATGAAATGCAGCAGCCTTTTTGATATCAGGGTTATTGTGAGAAGATCAGTGAAACCAAAAGCATTTCTCATCTCTTCCTCCCTAGAAGGAATAGAAAAGTAAACAAATTGCAATGCATATTCTCTCTCTCTTTCTCTCTGTGTGTAAGCACCACAAGATAATAAAATAATAATAAAATAATAATAATAAATAATAATAAATATTTATTTATACCCTTGCCGATCTGACTGGGTCTCCCCAGCCACTCTGGGCGGCGTCCAACAAAAGATTAAAAATACATTAAAACATCAGTCATTAAAAACTTCCCTAAGCAGGGCTGCCTTCAGATGTCTTCTAAATGTCAGATAGTTGTTTATTTCCTTGACATCTGATAGGAGGGCGTTCCACAGGGCAGGTGCCACTACCGAAAAGGCCCTCTGCCCGGTTCCCTGTAATCTCACTTCTCACCTCAGCACTGGACCTCAGTGTCTGGGCTAAACGATGGGGGTGGAGACGCTCCTTCAGGTATACTGGGCCGAGGCCATTTAGGGCTTTAAAGGTCAGCACCAACACTTTGAACTGTGCTCGGAAACATACTGGGAGCCAATGTACCGTAGGTCTTTCAGGACCGGTGTTATATGGTCCTGGAGGCCACTCCCAGTCACCAGTCTAGCTGCCGCATTCTGGATTAGTTGTAGTTTCCGGGTCACCTTCAAAGGTAGCCCCACGTAGAGCGCGTTGCAGTAGTCCAAGCAGGAGATAAGTTTATAAGTTGTAGTAGAAATGGCAAACCTTTTTCAGAATGATGACCACATTCGTTTTTGGTCAAATTTCCAAAGGTCATATGCCCGAGGTGGGCAGGGTCAGAGGAAAAAGTGGACAGAGCAATGAAGGTGAGGGGAAGGCGATGGGAAGAGAGGCATTGTGCTGGCCACCAGGCAATGGCTTCTTCCACCTCCAGTAGCCTTTCCCAGACCATGACAGGCAGAAGAGCAGTCAGAAGCAGCTGGGAAGAGAGAAGAAGAGTTCAGGGATATTTTTTTAAAAAATAATTTTATAAATTGTGCATCTTTGCTTCTCAGTTTGCACCGTGTTGTTTTATGCACTGTGACTTGCTGCTATTTTTATCGATCATAGTTTAGAAATTATTTATTGTAATTGTTAATAGTGAATTTCTGTTTGTTATTTGCTTGTATTTATTTTTTCAGTGTACTATTATATTCTCGTGGATTATTGAGCAGTACTTTATTTGACATAAGCTGTTTATTTTAAAGTTATGTGTGTTTTTTATTATGACATTTTTGTATTGCATCTGATTGTTGTAAGGTGTGTGTGATCTTTGTTGTTTCTTCAGCTTGTAAAAGCCTAGGGTATAGTGATATTAAAAAGGCGGTATACAAACTAAATTTGAAGTGAAACGAAATGAAGAGGAAATGAAATAAATGAGGAGATGACGAACACTGAGTTCCACCTTGAGCAAATAGAAGGAAGGTGAGACATAAATGTGATCAATAAATAAATCTTTGTCAGTCCCTCAGCCAATTTACTGTCACAGGATCCCTCATCCCAGTCTTAGGCAGTTATACTGATCAACTTCTCTTCCTACACACCAGACTGGAACCACTTAAGCATCCGATGTCCAGTCATGATGGCTGTTAAGTCTAAAGATCTTTGAGGAAAGACCTAGATGAGCTCATCCTGTCTGGACCCTGTTAAAACAGGCAAACCCAGATCTTCCATTGCCTGCAGAATTGTGAAAATCTCTTTGCAGACCTGACTGGAATAACAATCATTAAAAAAAATTCCTTTCACTTCCATATATATACGACGCAGCTGCTAAAAAACAAAACAAAAGCGCAAAAGGGCACTTTGAACATTTTCATTCTTGCAGCCTGCGATTAATTTTAGAGACACTTTCATTGAAAACTCCCACAGCCAATGTTTTTCTTCAAATGCCACTGTGGTGAATTGAACGATTATACTTATCTGTGACATAATGGCCCTAACAACGCATGCGCATAGAACAAGCACCTACAATCATAAATGGGTAG